GTTTTTTTGTCCCTGCATAACAATTATTATTACATCATACATACACAGAAGGATTATTTTTTTATCATATACTTTGACATAGTATTATTTAGAAGTTGTGTACAAGTCAGTCTTTGAAACACCTTTTTCTATCTGTTTGAACTGTGCTTTTCTATCTTGTAGTTAGTACCAAGTGGTGTTGTGGTAGGCGTTCAAAGTTTTAATCATTATCACGGGGATTTACTCCCTCAGTTCTTTATTAGATTTCAAACTTATTTGATTTATTAACAGAGGTGTGAGTCTGTATCGTACACACTTTATCAGAACATTTCAGAGATCTTCTGTCGTATGTCCATCCTTTATATCTACTACTTTTTATCTATGACTGTTATCACTTTGCAAAGAGAGATTCATTTCTAGAGCTGTTTAATTTAGACATTAAATATGTTCCCCCTTTTATTGTTTTTAGAAAAATAATATTGCGTTTTGATGTGACTTGTACTATTTTCGTCTTTAATTATGAATTTGATGCAAATGCCTTATTAAAGTTTTATGACTATTGTTTCTTGTTAAGAGTGTTATTACTGACTGAAGAAGTGTTTATTGTACACTTGGCATATACGTAATAAATTGTAATGCATTAACGGATATTACTCGTTTCCTCTTTTATCCTTCTTTTTCTTCTTCATCCTCTACAGGGTGTTAAGATAATTCCATTACATGTTTATTAATGCTGTTTGTTGAGTGTTATAAGTAGTCATATTAGTAGTAGTAATAGTAGTATGTGTCCGTGTGTTTTGGAATTCGACATCACTTTCTTGTCGTATTTCCTTTTTCCTTCTCATTAAACTTTATCTAGTACACACTTGATGTTTCATGTGTGTTTTTTTGTGCTATTCTAAATTAATGTGAGTTATTTTTGGATTATAAGTAGTCAGTTAGTATTGAGCGAAATATGTATTCAAGCAGATTAATAAATAAATAAATTCGTGAGAAATGTTGTAAACGTTGAAGAAACTTTATACATAGTAGATGCATGAATCTATATACTACTGATTAGCTGACATAAGTAGTTGGATACCACTTGCGCATCAACCAGTACTGCCTGATAGTCATACTGAAATGATCTAAATACCGGAAAGTCTTTTCGCTCGTTTGCGGCTGAACACATCAGTGATGTACCCAATTTGACTCAGATAACTGAACTAAATCAGTTCGAGCCACACGAATTATTTCGAGCTACTTCGGTGAAGTGGTAATGTGTTTCATCGCAGAAGTTTCCTAAAAATTTATCACTTATCACTTTTTTAAGAAGTAACCACTTGTTATTATTATTATTATATTCCTTTGCGTTCCCAGTGGAACATAGGGCTTGAAGCTAGAGCTTTGAAGTTGCGATAGCTGTGTTCTCATTTTTAGGGGGTGGAATCGTTAGTCTCATACTCAACCTTCCCTCTTTGCCGAGCTTATTATTAGCTGAGGGAAGTTTGGGAGTGCGTCGACCGGGGATCGAACTCAGGACCATCTAAGTGGCAGGCGAGCATTTTACCTCTGCGCTACCGACACACCAATTGTTAAGTGAAGTTATTCACTACATTTTCTGAAGACTAAGTTATTATTATTATTGTTTTAATTCTTGTTGTTCAGATGTGTGTGTGCACTAGAGCGAAGATGTTTACTATAATAGTTCTCATATTAGTCAGCGTTGTATTTTGTTGTATAAAATTCCCTACAGAAATACCTGAGATACCGATTTACTGTAGGATTATGTGTATAGTGAATCGGAATTCGGAGTTGAGATTTTTGATGTAGTTTTATCAATACTTTATGTTAAAAATCATATGAAAACTAGATGAAAATACTACAGGAATTTCATGAGAGTTATTTGGTAAATGATAGTGACTAGCAGTGAAATCCACGGTGTGCAGTGGCTCCTACTTACGGGAATCCCCAGTTGGGTATACCTGAAATTTCCAGTTATTGATGACACTGTTCCCACTGAAACTCGAACCCAGTACCCTTCGTTTCAAATGGCAAATCTCTATCCACTAAATCACTTGGGTCACACGAACCATCTCTTTCAGAATGGGTATCAGTTATCATTCATTTAATTTGATTTTGTATTTTCTGTTGATTGCATAAATTGGACGGAAATGTTAAGCCATTAGTAGACATATTAGCTCCTAGTAAGGACGCTTTGAAGATATCTGCTGATTAGTATCAGATGTTATCTGGTGTGGATGGTGACTAGCAGTGGAATCATGATATTGCCATGCATACTTCAGCAAACTATATCGGTTGGCTAAAATTTTCCAAACTAGTAAGTATATTGGGCGCGTTAGGTATGCTTTATTGCATGTTTTCTTTGGGGATTAAATGCTTTAGGATTTAACTATATATGCCCATTAAACATGTTAATGCAATGAGTTACAGTGAAGAGAATGCAACTGTAACTATTTTTAACCTTCGAAAGTTATGTCTCAATATGATTACTTGGGTTGAACTCTGATAGCTACAGAAGTTATGTTTCTTTTCGTACCCTTTTTTGACGCTTACTTATTTAGAAAGCAAAAGGATTAAGCGAAGAGATATTTAATTTTCAATTAGATCCTCATCTCTGGCACTACTCTAATACATATAGCATTTTTATTACAATACACAACAAATTGCCAACTATCAAGTGGCGATATGTTTTCTAACAATAATTAACCAATATCAACAAGGTCACGGGGCTTGGTAATAATAACTGAGATAGATAATTCAAACAATTAAAGGGTAGAAATGATTGCAACAATGATAACATGTAATTAAATATGAAGTAGTTAGAAAAATAGCAAAATCATTTGAACAATTATAATTTCTAAAGATTCAGGCCCGGTTTATACATTCTTCCTTACTTATTTTCAGTCTGATATATGAAGCATTTCTACTTACTTTCTCACCACCGCTTTTATGTTTGTGTTGGACTTCCTTATTGATAATTTAAGGTTAACTGCATGGAGGATTTTATCATTAGTTGACATCAGTTAGAGAACCACTGGAAAACCTGGGAGTACTGGACAGCTGTTTCTCCAGCCTAGTTTGGGACTTTTCATCAGTATGCACCCACCGGAGTTCGAACCCTGGACCTTCTGGTTACAAGGCGAGCTCGTAGATCATTAAGCCGCTAAGACCTGATCCAGTTGTCCTTGAATTCTAACTTCTGCCAATTGACAACACAGCGCGACCATTTTGCAATGTTTTCTTCGATGAGTTACTGTCTCATCGTCAATCTGCTGGTCCTATTCAGGCAGTCAACCTGGGGTTCTAGTGGGAAGCCGTGACCAGTAGGGTACAGCGGTGTTGAGCACAATTTCTCGACATACTAGTCTGAATTTTTCTTAAGTGCTTAATTCTTTGAATAACAAACAATTTCGTTAATAATGTTCTTTGATTTCGTTCTACTCAACCTGGAATTATGTTAATATGTATTCTGAGAACTGATATAGTAGCGACTCAAAAAATTAATCGATCCGATGAAAAAGAATATATATTCACTGTTCATTTTATTAGGCGGTTATTTGATGCTTTCCCTTTTTCTTATTTTGACTTCTGTTGCTTTTAATTTCTCTTTTGCCCATATATAGTGGTGTAAACATACGGTGTTATTCGATGCTTAAACATATCCACCCATTGTATAAGTCCTCTAGTCAGCATATGTTGTTATTGGATTTTTTTTTAATAAATAAAAATGATGTCTGGAAAGAATGACACTGGAAGACAACATTGAACTGTTCCAACAACTACAAGATAGCGGTATCCATCATATGGCAAACTTTCCTCAATTTAACAAATCGCTTCCCTTGATATGAAATATTTTACGGACAGTCAGCAATAGCAAGAATTCACAAAAAATGATTATTCCTGCTTGGATTTTATCACGAGTCAATAATCAGTTGGAGTAGACTATTGAAAACCAGGAAATACTGGATAGCCATTTCATCCTAGTTCAGCACTCTTCAGGGATATATACCTGTGATCCTACTGGTGATCAATTTGGGGGGTGGGGTGGGTTAGGTTATGAGATGAGAACGTTACCATTCAGCAATTTGAATTGAACTCAGCTCATATTATATTAAGTGTTAACCGTAAAAGATGCTGATATCAGCTTGTCTCACCTACTAAGACTGGTACCTAAACTGTATGATATATTGTTCAACTGATGAAACTCAAGGAAATCATACGCTGTGGGGTTGTTTTTTCTCGCTGTTCAGTCTTTAAGTGTGTTTGGAGGCAGATCTCTTCAGGAATCAAAATATGCTATAGAATTATCAATGCTGAAAATATTGGAATGGTGTTTTCACGCTGCTGAATCTACAGTCACTAGATTTCATGATCTTTAAGTCTGATCACAGATTGATACCAGGCGGGCGACCATTAAACATCACGAAGTACTCAGTAACTGTTTCGTCTGAGTTTGCGAGTGTTCAGTAGTAGTAGGAACTCATTATGCCACCATGGTTCGAACCCTGGGCCTTGAGGGTACGATACAAGCTGGTAGAACATTGAACAATTGGGACCTGATCCAATTACCCATCAATTCTGACTTCTTTCAACTCGCAATTCTTAATGCCATTGATAATTATTGACTTCACACACCAACTGGTCACAATTTTCATTAGAACTATGGGCTACTTCATTTTGTTGTGAATCGCTGGTGAGCACTAGACCAATTTTCAATTGTCACTTTGTAGTGATTTGATCGGTTTTCAGGATCTTTAATTGATATGAACAAATCTATTTCTCCCTAGTTTTTGGCGGTTTTGTAACTGATGTCGAATATTGGAAGATTTATCCTTGAATCGTGTTTCTATTTTCTTCTTAGTGAATTTACATTTCCCAGTTTATTTTACAGACTACCAACAACTTATCTTTATTACGTTGTCACCTTTCATCAAGTTTTAAAGGTTAAACTTAATTCCTTTTTACTCTCTTTTTTATGTTTAAATAACAAATAATTTAAAAAACCAACATGTTACCAGATATGAATAATCATGTTGAAATGGATTATGCTAATATGGATGCTTCAATGACATCGATTGGAATGAATGTCCAAGGTTTAATGCATTGTGTACGTTTATATGATCAGCTGGAAACTGCTGGTGGTGATAAGACTACCTTGAAACAAGCTGCACAAGCACTGTCTGATGCGTTTCTTGAATTAATGCGAACTACATTCTCAGCTGTATCGACAGACAATTCTTCAGATAAAGTGAGTCTCCATTTTTTTAACTTCATGGTATCTAGATAGGCAGTTTTTGTCTGTCTTCTATATTTGTAATTTACGGGTGACATTTAAACTGGAACTAAATAATTTGACTAGCTCAGTGTTCTCTTCATTTTCACTGACTGTTCAACTGACTTCGGTTTCTGATTAAGTCAACCATCTTTACGATTTCGCTTTCCATTCAGAAACTATATTTTCAAGAATTAATTTGTGGGGAATTGATCGATTTCCGGTTGCATTTCATCACCAACTGACATCAATTAGGAAATCAATAAGTCATGGAGTATTTGACACTCGTTTCATTTTAGTTTGAGACTCTAACTAATGTTGGTTCACGATGACAAAAATTAGAATCGTTTGTAAGTTTTAACATTAAAATGAGTTAAAAAGAAATTATAGTTACCATTAGATAACGATCGTTTCAAACAAATTATCAATTAGAAAGATGAAAATGTTAAAGTGTCTCTATATAGGGATTTAATTGATTTCAATTTGGATTTCATCACGGACTGATATTATTTATAGAACTATTTAATGGATGAACTTGTTTTCTTTTCTTTCACGTTCCCCAGTGGAACATAGGGCTCCAACCTATTGGTCTGAATTTTCTGTAGCAGTGTTTATCTTATAGGATGGGGTTACTAACCTCATGCCCAACCTTTCCTCTTCACCAACATTGTTTCTGGCTTAGCGAGGTAAAGGAGTTTGTCGGCCAGGGATCGAACCGCGGATTATGTACGTGGTCAGCGGGCGTCCTAACCGCTCTACCACCGACGCCCAAGCTACGATTTGAGCGCAACCCACCGTGGCGACTCAATCAGAAGTTCTACACCAGACTAGGCTGTGGCTGGATGAAATTGTAGGCATTAAATATTTGGGGGGCAATCGATATAAAGCCTTCAGCCCCGATTTTGTGCTATTTGTCTCTCATCAGTCAGCTTGGCGTGGATCTGCAACCTTAGAGGAACTCATGTCCCTTCCAAGATTTGAACCCGCATCACCCAGTGCTACAGTCAGAGATCTTACTACTGAGCTATTTGTACTCGCGATTGACCTCCTGTAAGACTGTTTGGGATGCTTTGATTGGACACTTAACAAACATGGAACTAGGCACACTACACTAGTTACTAACTAGTGTCCAATAAAAAATGGATGAACTATCTAGAATTGGAGGGATAGATTGTGACACGTTGCTTCCACTAAGTTGGATTTTTGGGTAGAGATACTCACCTATCACACTGGCTGGCGTTGACGCTATCTGTCACGAATTAGTGGGAATTAGGGTTCATTAGCCATACGATTCCGTCTCAGTGACTTAATGGTAATGTGATCATTTCATAACTTGAAGGTGCTTTTTTCGATCCTAGGTGGGTTTATGAGTGCCTACTGCTGTGAACAGTTCCCAACTCTCCAGTACTCCTCAATTTTCAGTGGTCCCTTAACTGATATTTTTTCTTGATGAAATATTTTTCTGATATTGATAAAGGCTGAGTAGTCTCTTGGAAAGGATAGGTCTGGTTTTAACCTCTGGTGGAACATGATAATCTCGATATAACATCTACTCCAATATATTTCATATCCAGAACTAGGCTCTTCATATCATTTTAAGCCCGATTAATCAATAGCATAGGGCACGTTTCTCTGCCATTTTACCTAGTCATGCAAGTATATTCCTTGTGTAGTATATTTGCTGAACAAGGCTTTATTCGTTCTGTATTGTAATTATCTTAACAATCATATTTCACACTTCGTCAGGCAGCAGTTATACAAATCGAGATATTATTCAGTTCACGTTTGTTTAATGTATCGCTTAGTGAAGTGTTGTCTTTTTGAATACTAAAATTCACTGCCGCACTTTAGTTATCATAACCGATTATGTTTTTGTTTTCAATGCTCTAGTCATCTGTACTGACACATTCAACAAGTTCATTATTTGATTCATCAAAGAGTGGTCCTGATCGTGCAGCTTTACTAGAAGCTGCTAGTCGTGTTGGTGATGCTAGTCGACAATTGTTACAGTTAATTGCACCACCACCGACGCAACAACAACACCAACAACAAAAATCAACAACAAATCTAAATGGTTCTGATAATCTTGGCGATAATGAATCACCATCTAATACAAATGTCAATTCATTAATTGACTGGGAAGCAAGAGATCGTCTGCTGACACTAACGAAGGTAAGCACATTGTTAAATTAAAATTTAAATCTAGTTTGCGAAGAAAAATTGCAACCCATCTTAGTGTCTTCTCATTCTAAAGTGAATGAATTTAGGAGGTAGTTTCGAAAACATTTACGTTCGAATTTATCATGCAGCTATTCGTCTGTGATATTATGTTTTTTGAGAGACGTCTAACGGCTTAGACTCTTTAGTCACAGGAAACTAGTCTTTCTTATGTTCCATAGATGTAAAAAACGACATTAACTTTCTCGAAATTGGCAATCGCTGACTGCCGGGCGCCTTCATCTCTATATCAGTCGTCAGGATCTTGATGAAACGCACCTTTGGTATAAACCAAGTGGGCACATACCTTTTTCAATTTTTATCAGTTAAAGTCTACTTAAATGAAAAAAACAATATTATTTACTAAAATATCTGATGAAGCAGGTATATCAAGTTCTCAATTCGCAGATCAATTCGCCACCTGCAGTTTAGGCAGTCGGCAGATGGAGGGGAGGGGAGGGGAGAATGTCACCACAATTTTTTCCCTTCATACCATAAACAGCAATGAAGAAAGCAAGCATGATAGGAAATGATTAGTTGGATACCAGTCACAGCAACCAGTAGTACTTGCTAGTTCTGATTTGGCTGTCTGAGCTGATTCAAACCCGGTACTGTGCTAGTGAGTCCAGTCTCAGTCGAGTGAAACAGCCATCCGGTGTTTAGGTAGATCACTCTTCGATCTGGCTGGCCATTAAGTACTGATGATTGATGATATGAGTGGCATTCAACTACTCATATCTTTTAATCAGTAGTGTGTAACATAATGCATTTAAGCATTTTTATCGCTTTGATGGCATTCAACCTCCTTTGATATTGTTCATTTAATATAGCTGTACTTTAAAACTATTATTATTATTTAATGTGGCTATTGCATAAACTGTACTTAGTACAATTTTTATATAGATTATTATTTAATGTTATTATCATTCAATTGATAAACTGAATAATTCAACTGGCCATGTTTTCCTACATATATTCTGTTTATTCTATGTGAAGTAAACATTTAGACTTGTTCAGTATTCCAAAAAGTATTTGTAGTTGTGTGTTATTTAAGAAAATGTATAGTGAAGGTAAATCATATCATTGCATCTATACTACTTATTAGTAGCTCATACACAGTAAGAATTATTTTGGGTTAAATTAGCTTAGTATTTATATATATATTCGCAAATGAGCTAACATGATGATTTGTATCAAAAGTTAACCCGGGGTGGGCTGGTTGAATTTCCTCAACACAGTCTTCACCCTTTAGTAATATTACTACTACTAATACCACTACCTAATGAAGGAAGAGGTCATTATCAATTAATATATTATTTGTAAGCTTTAATTATTATTATTTTTAACTAGTATAATAACAGTCTGTGCTTTCTTCTTAACCTATCATCTGAACTAATCTAAGTTTATTAGTTTTGACAGTTTGCTGTCAATGACCTGAGATTAACCTATTAACCTGGAGAGCGGCTTTTGAAGTGTTGTTTCTAAGGTAATTTAGTTGTGGATAAAAGACATTAATTAGTCTTTAAGATTTGTACAGTACTATTTGTTTGTGTTTGACCTTAGTTGAAATATGCGTTGACTTTGGGGTTGCGATTCATCACAGGTCACATTTTTATGGCATACATTTATTATTTTCTTGTTTTGATAACATCCTATCACCTCTATTCATCATTTCTTTTGTACATGAGGATTCATTCCCTTTCCTACTTTTTTCACAGTGGAATATAGGGCTTCAAGCTAGAGGCTTGAAATTTAGGTAGCGGTGATGTTCATTTTTATGGGATAGGGTTGCTGCTAGCCTCGTGCCAAACCTTCCATCTTTATCAAATTTATTACTAGATTAGCGATGTAAAGGAGTGCCTCATAGACCGGGGGTCGAACCCCGGACCACATGAGGCTTGGTCGACGAGCATTTTACCGCTGTGCCACCGACGGTCGTACATGAGGATACCTTTATGTATCTGTAATGAGGTAGTGAGATTGCTAGCTTCACGCGAAACTTTGCCTTCCTTTTCCAAGCCTATTACCAGCTAATCAAGATGTAGATGTGCGTCGATCGGTGGTCGAACCGGGAACACGTGCGGGGTTTGTCAGCTTTCTGCCACTACACGAATGGCTTCTAATGTACGACTTTTGGGCTAATCCCGATATTTAAGTTTAGTTGTTGTTACCTTGTGAAAATAGCTTCAGACTGTATAAAGATGAAATGGAGTAACTTTTTATTATCTGTTGAGTTAATTTTTAATACCAACCAGCTTTAAAATCATTGGGCTACTTAGTTTCTCACAGAGCGTAATGAGCGCAATTTATTCGGTTATACTTTGTCTTAATCACCTATTTACATCCTTAAAGAACAGTCTTCATTCAAGCTCATTTTCAACTGGGTTTCAGCGTACAGCCTTATCTGTTTTGAAGAGAGAAATACGTTGGAACAAATGATATGCTTTAGATTACTATTTAATAGACAAAAAACACAGATAACTGTGTACTATATATTCCATAGGATACGTTCTCAGCTAGACATCTTGCTGTGTATTAATAACTGAAACTTAGTAAGAACTAATCGTCGCCTCAGTTATACACATAATCGATGGATTACTTTTTTGACTGGCTATAAAATGAACTGCAAAGAGTATTATGAATGAAATAGGGCTACATAAATGGCATTGGCAACTCTTTAGTGACTATTCACTGGGTCTATTGGTCAACCAGATATTCTTCTAATAGCCCTTACTGTGCATATTCTACACCGATTTACCCATTGAACAACTATGCACATGTATACATATAACCAATCTAGCAGATTTAAATTGAGTAGAGTGTTGTTTCAGTGCATAGGTAAAACACAGAAGTTCATCTACTGTTGAAGTAACCAGTCCGTGGTACTTTTTATTGAAGAGGGATGTATCACACACACTGCCCATGTTTTTTCGATTTCAGTGTATACAACGATTGGATGTAGCCTAGTTCACACGTACATTACATTTTACGTATATAGTGATATTTATGGAACCAGTTCCATGGAGGTGTATTGGTGGTTCAGTGGTAGGAATACTCGCCAAATACATACATGTTCCAGAGTTTGATCCCCAGCCGACACACTCCTTAACTTCGCCTAGGCGGTAGTAAGTCCGGTAAGGAGAGAGGGTTGGGCGTTAGACTAACAGCCCCATCCCTTAAAAACATCACTACTACTAGAATATCAAAGCTCTAGCTAGTTTCAATCGAGGCACGAAGGATTAAGAAGAATATCGTATTGAAACATCGTCGTATTCAAAATTTTGCTGTTTATTATTTTTATTAATGCCCTGTCTCACGTAATAACATATTTTTTAAAATTAATTTTAATTTAATTAATTGAATTTTTAATATATGTATATCTTCGACTCTTTTCCTATGTGTTTACTCTATAGGGTGTTGCCAATTCAATGACAGGATTAGTGAAAAAGGCTAAAATGGGTGCATTAGTTTTAGATCAAGAAGTGAATCAACGCTTAGCTGGAAGTAATAAAGCTGATTCAAATGATGTGGTCGCACAAGTATTACGCAACGCTCAGTCAAGGTTAGTACATGCAGCGACAAGAGCTGGTAAATCAGCAAGTCAACTAGTTACGTGTGCTAAAGTTGTAGCATGTACTATGGAACAGCCGGAATCTCAACAACAATTGATGCATACTATTAAAGAGGTATATGATTTGTATATACCATTTCTATCATATATATTTGCAATAATTGTTTCATTTCCTCCAATATGTGTAATCAGACTATAAGATTAATGATGGTGAAATATTATTGTCTTCTTAGGTTCTCATAGGGCTTCAACGACACACCTACATTTTATCATGTTCTTTGTGGTCCTCCTTAGCTGCCTCCACGATTGACCATAAGCCCTCATCTCCTCTTCACAGGATTTCCTCTACACTACCCTCGAACCTACACCCAACTCGTCATTTCCCATTCAGGTTCCACTCTAGTGATAGCTTGGTGCGCGGTCCTCTCCGAGTGTGTCCACCCATCTACATTTCATTCAGCGTATTTTGTGGGGAATGGTTTATTATTGGGTTGGTTGTCAAAGTTCCTTACTGCTTATCCTTACTGGCCATCTGATTTTCAGTATCCAGCAATGGCAGCTGTTGATAATTCCCTTTAGCCTGTTGGATTTGCTCTTTGGAACGTATACGTCAAGTCTTTGAACCATTAATGTTGACAATCCGAATCTTTTTCTTTGTGCTGATTACAGCAGACATAAATCATCCGTAAAGTTCAGATCTTCTGGAGTTCCCTTATCGGTCTGACATATTCTCGTCTTCCCACTCCCCATAGTCTGCTGCAGAACTCAGTCCACCACAATCAAAAATATCATCAGTGATAGTTAGGGAGTCTTATTTTACTCCTGTCTTCACTCCAGAGACATCTTGGGGTTTCCCGTTGTGAATCACTATGAAATTTGTCATTGTCATATACCTGTTGAATGATATTGATAAAGATGTGGAGCACTTCATAGTGCTTTGGCAGTTTCCAAGTTACTTTGCGTTCAACACCGTCGAAAGCTTTTTCAAAGCCGATGAAACCAAGGGAGACACTTGCTTCCATTCTATTCTCTGTTCGATAATGGTGTCGCTCAGCACTGAAATTTGATCAGCATGTGATTCATTTTCCTTGAATCCAGCTTGTTTCTCGAGCACTTTGATGAAATTACCATTAAAATAAAACACCGAGTATTGATTATTTTATTTCGACGGCGAAATGCTTTCAAATTTTGGTATTTCCGTCTAAAGTTGTCAATCTTTTCTGTCATAAAAAGACTGCAGACATTCTGTTCTAAACTCTAGCTATTTGTCTGTAACATTGAAAAATCTCAACACTACTGATCAGATCTTTTCCGAGAAGTTCATTACAAAATGTGAAACTGAAAAGTGAAATTTTTGTTCAGATACTTGTTAGGTCTTCAGACGTTTGACCGACTTCAAGTTTAGCTTTACCATAAATCAAAGTCAGACGAAAAATGTTTTGAAAACTAAGGATCACCGGTTTCATTTCCTTCCAAGTTAAGAATCTTTCACCTGTAGATACATAATTAAAAATAATTGGAGATTAGCTTTTCGCCTAATAGTTCGTTTGTCCTACTTTCTATTTCTTGAGGTGTTGTGAATTTTCACGATTCCAATTTGTCCGTATATATATATATATATATATATATATATATATATATTACTATTCTAATTTTGACCCCATACTCTTGAAACAAAGTATTATCAAGAGAGTACACATCTAACCCAACCTTTAAATCATCTTTATCAGTGGAGCTTGATGATTTTAGTTTTACAGCTGAACTCAAGCGGTTATATATCCTAACATGAGTTCGTTTACCTGCCAAGAACCTATTGCTCAACAAATATGGATAAGGAAATGAAGATGGGTTAGATATATGCTTGGGTGATCATTCAGTGACGTAACGTGGCAGTCTCTAGAGTGGAGTCCAAATGGGAAGCGGGGAGTTGTCAGTCCGAGGGTGACATTTTGAAGAGTATATGAGAAACAAGTGAAAACCTGTGCGCGAACGTTGAGCCAGCTGAAGAAGATGGTCAACAACCGAGGAAAATGCAGATGTTCTGCTAAAACCCTATAATCTACTTGAGACGAAAGGAATGCATAGTATTATTATTACTATTGTTCCTTTGGGTTCCTAGTGGAACATAGGGCTTCAACTGCACGTCTCCACTTACTTTTGTCTTCTTCTGTATTTTTCACCTGCATACATGTTAGTCCATACTCTTTCAACTCCTCTCTCTCTCTACACGATCTCCTCCATATCACCCTTGCACTGACGTCCCTTTCGGCCTAGTTCCACTCGAGAAAATGGCCTGACGCGCGCGCGATGTCACCCAGCGGCCTCCTCAGCGAGTGAGTGTCCAGTCCATCTCCACTTTCTCCTGCATATTTGTTGGGTGTCGATTGGTCCTTGTTTTTTTTGTTAGTGTCCATAGTTTCTTGTTGGTGATTCTTTCCGGCCCGGTCCGGCCATCTGATCTTCATTCAGTATAGAGCGAAGACAGTTGTTGATGCAGGTCTGCAACAGGCTGTTGAAAATATTCTTTGTGACCCGCCCGCCAAGTTTCTGATCCGTATAGAAGAGCTGACTGACTTGACGTTTGTATTGAAGATCCGACCGAATTTTGTTGTTGATGCTGAGTTGAGTGACGAAGATTTCCAGATTGGTTTCAGGTTGATGAATGTGTTTCTCGCCTTCCCGATTCTCAGTTTGGAATGCATATTAATATAATATAATTGGTTCTTTATCTATACTTTGGGTATTGTATTACTGGCTATAGTAGAGTTGCTCTTTTTATGCCTTTATTATTACTTTTCTTATGATCCAATCGATGTTGCTTCTTCAAGTAACCACACTTCACCTAATAAATGATGTTTATGTATACTTGTGTTGTTTTTTTTAGGTTGGAGTAGCAGCAGATGCTGTACCATCACCAGCAAAATGTTTAATTGATACATCCTCTACAGATCCTGTGATAGTATCATTAATCAACGACAATGAAACATTTAATGTACATTGTAAATTAGTCAATGACTTAGAACAGGGTGTTTATGCTGTACATAGTGATTTAGATAATTTAATTGAATGTCTGATGGGGACTTCAATACAAGTGAGTAACCTTCAAGAATGTTTATTTTATTTGACTATCTTTTTGATCCCAGTGTCATGCTGTTTTGTAGATTGTCATGTTGGTTCTGATACGGTTGTCGCCGAGATTTTTCGTTAAAACTCCACTATTTCGAAACTGTCTGTTTATGAGATTGATTGGTTCATTGTGTTCTAAATTTCTTTGAAAAGTTACAATTGAAGATTCAAGGCTAAAGAAAATCATCGTTGTTTAAGCGTCAGTGTTACATCTCTATAGCATTTGGAGGAGTTGTACCTGAGAAATTTATAAATTATATAAATGTACTTCTGCACTAAGAAAAAGTTAATCAATTTTTCTTATCAGGTGTCACTAACTGAAAAAACTAATGCTGAAACTGTGCATATTAGAACATCACCACCTCCAAGTCAAGAAAAAGTCTACAGTGGTCAGGATATGGTATATAATCTATGACATTCGTGCATGTTTGCTCAAATCATTGAGGAACTATTTTCTATGTGGGTTAGTTCAGGGGAACTACAAGATGTAACCTAGTTGTACTAACCTAGACGTTTTATCCGGCTACCTGTCAAAGTGCGTGTGTACTGCGGACCGGTTCTCTCTGTCCTTCGTAATGGGTGCGAGACTTTGACAGTCAAAGTAGAAGGAAGACCTTTAAAGGCTAGTGATTTTTAACCACAAATGTTTGCGTTGTGCCTGTCATGTTAAATGGTATAATATATTCAGTAATATTGAAGTTAAGTGTAGAATGTTACGTCAGGAGGCCAATACAATGGATGAGATGACGCTGCGTCGATTGAGGAGGTGACTACGGTACATGTCAAGCATCTGTCTGTCTGTCTGTCTGGATTCAACATAGAACTTAGCACTGAAGTGCAGCAGTTCGAGTTGCCACGTTCCAAATAGCACACAGAGGTAGACAAGAAGATGAGTGAAGAGAATTAATAGAGTTTCACAAGTGTAAGAGTGAAACTGAATGGGTAATGGTAGAAAGGAATATGAAAGATTACAGAGACTGAATACATCTGCGCTGGCCATTGACAACGATTTTGAGCCATGTCACCTATTGTCTCCAGCCATTGATTCCTAGAGTTCCGAGGGCCCCAACCCGGAAGTCTGCATCTCCCTACCTGACTCAGTTTAACTGTCAAGGATTTCATGGATTGATGAGGCCATGTTTTTGTTTGGCCACCAATTACTCTTTTCCAACCTGCACCTATATCAGCTAGTAATGCCCGTCGGGGGAGGCGATGGTTAGGCATGCGCACCACGTGACCTAGCCATCTTAGTCTATGTAACTTTACAGCCTCGTCGATTGATTTTCCCTCTTTGCCCAACACTCTACGCCTAACGTCAGCATTACTTACCTTATTAAACCACCTAACGTGAGACAGAGATCTCAGACATCTATGATCGAAAGCAGTCAACCTTTTCATGTCTTCAACTCGTATTGGCCATGTTTCAGAGCCATAGAGAAGGACATAGCGAACTGCTGAGCAGTACACACGTCCCTTGGTTGATAACCGGATGTCACGCCTACGCCAGAGGTGGTGTAAGTCAGCGAAAGCAGCTCGAGCTTTTCGGATCCGTGCTGAGATTTCATCGCCAATCAGTCCGTTGGTGCTAATACAACTTCCCAAATAGGTGAAGTGGTCAACATGTTCTATCACTTCACTCCCTATCACTAAGCTAGGAGTTGACGTAGTCCAGTCCTGTAGCAGCATCTTACATTTTTCAGGGGCGAATCGCATGCCAAACATACGAAGATTGGTGCTCAAGGTGTTCAGAAGACTCTGCATTTTGTCAGCATCCTCCCCTAACAGGACTATGTCATCTGCATATTCTAAGTCCATAGGACTATTCCCTGGTAACTGATTCCTAAGTCGTTACGTTCAGTTAAGGATACTTCCATTAGCATGATGAAGTTAAATAGGAATGGGGAAAGTGGACATCCCTGTCGGACACCACTGGTTGTTATCAATTCAGATGACAATTCCTCATAAGCCCTTACACGACTACGTGAGTTTGAATAGAGTGCCTTGATTAGTGCAATGTACTTTCTTGGCACTCCCTTCACAGTCAAACATTCATTGCCATAGTACCTTTCGACCCACGGAGTCGAAGGCCGCCTTCAAGTCAAGAAATATGGCAATTGTTGGACGCCGAAAAGTGTGTCTATGTTCTAGAATCTGTCGAAGAGTGAAGATATGATCTATGCATCCTCTACCTGGTCTAAAGCCTGCTTGATTTTCCCTCGTTTGTTCCTCCCGAGTTCTGCTTAGTCTGTGCATGATTACTGAGCCTAGGATTTTAGAAACTATGTTCGTTAGTCTGATCCCCCTATGATTATCACACGAGGACTTGTTTCCCTTCTTGAATATCAGTATAATAAGTGACTTACCCCAGTCTGATGGAACTGTCTCTGATTCCCAGACGTTGCCTAGTACCTCAGTTAATCTACAAACTAGTATGTCACCCCCATATTTAAACACCTCCGGAATAATTCCGTCGGGCATACTTAGCTATAGCCTTCCTCGACAAGCACTGCTGGCTGACATAGAATTAAGGTGGAAAGGAGTTAAAAGAGTGGTCAAATCAAGACGTTTCATCAATTCGTGACGTCTCTGACAGTTAGTTTGAGCCACATAGTGAGGTTTAGACTGCGTGGTTCGGCTTACTGAGATTATAAGAACTAATGACTTGTGATTGTTGATTATTTGGCTCAAAATTCCTATCATTGGCGTAAACGCGTTAAATCTTTTTTATCTCTACCTTTGTGTGGCAACTTATAATGCTTTGCTTCTATGCAAATTTCCGCGTTAAAACTCGGTCAGTGAGTTAGTTACTGATGCAGTCCATATCATTCTCTTATTTCCACGTATTGAGTATTACATTGGTTCTTATTTCGATTTCTTATCTGTGAGGAGAATATTTATCTAATGTAAAATCCTCGTGCTCATTTCGTAATTGGTCAAGTTCTAAACCGGAGTAATTGTAATCTTGTCACCCCTGTGGCTTGTGCTACTGATAAGATTTGTCAGTAGTATGTATAGAGAGACGTTCATTGGCCAAAAACCATCAAATAGGCGACGACAACAAATTTAAGGGGTGCCAATCGTTATTACGTCCTACAACAAAATGCCAAGGATAAATGGAATTTATCCGAATGATGATGATGATGTAGTATTCATCGGGGATTGATTGTTGAAGAGTAGGTTAGTAATGTCGTCATCAGTCGAGTGGAAGTCATCAGTGTAGACAGTCTTTTCCTTAGGTTATGTTATCCCATCATATAACAGTAGTTGCTTAAATTTTGACTCCATAAATTTCAGTTTTATTTATTTAAAGTTAGTTTGTACAACAATTCCTTTTTTTATGCTTTTTCATAATTTTTACATTTCTCATAACATCATGTGCTATTCTATTGTATTAGAGAACAACAGCAGCAGGTGTTTAGAGAATGTTTTATGTATGTATGATATATTATGTTTGTCAAAGTAACACTTAACTTCATACCTTCAACAAAAGAGGAAAAAAGAACGGTATTGTTGTTCTTCTGGTGATAATGATGTTGATAACATGGTATAACAAAATGTTTTGTTTTTATTACTGAAAAAATAGATTAGTTTCTGCACTAAAAGGTTATAATAAACTGATGTTCGTATATGTATCTGCGTATACTAATGTATTCTTTGTGCATGTGTGTGTATGATGTAATCAGCTTTCAGACTGAACATGTATTTTGTATAAATAAAGTGTTTTTTTAATACTTTTCATTTCCCTATTCATGTATGATTTATTCATGTCTTCAATTTTTAGGCACATCAAGATCCAGTAATATTGAATCTGTTGTCTGTTGGTCATCAACTTCCTGGTAGTGTTGGAGACGGTCAACTACTTGTACGTAAAGCGAATGCATTAGCTTCAGCTGTTGAATGTTTAGTAACAGATTTACGGACAGAGGCAATGAGACAGAAAGGCAGTTTAGGTATATCAACGAATGAAATAAACGGAAGAGCGGATTTATTAGAAAAAGAAATTTATCATTTATTATTAGTTGCACAGGTATGTTTTTAAGAATGTTGTCGTGATGGATGCTTTTTATGTTTTCTTTTGAATAATCTGGAGTATGTTTTATCGTTTGTTATTGTGAAATTGTGAAATTTTGCTTATTACTAAAGCCCACTGGATGTTAATTTTATTATGTTGTGCCACAGATTGATAACGACTCATTGTTATTGTGGTTATTTGTCCCTTAGGTTTTGAGTGGAACATTTGGTTGGGGGGGCTTTAAAAGCATATCATCATTTCACTGTATATCCCTTGATCTTTTTTCTAGCTAGCTCTACAGTTGCTTGTAAGCTTTCATTTCTTCCTCACATAATCTCTATTTTGACTCATTATTTCTAGATAATTGCACTACAAATAAATACTTTTCTCTTTTCAAGAAACTTATGATACAATGATAACATCAGTATTTAAGGTGAGTATGTAAAACTTCTACCTCAACTTTATCGACTTCGGAAAGGCTTTCGACAGAGAGCGTTGATCAAGAATTAATTTGGAAACTTCTTCAACATTATGGTGTACCTCAAGTGTTTATCAACCTCGTTCAACAGCTTTATGATAATGCAACGTGTCAGGTGATCCACGACCGAAAACTCAGTGAGGCGTTCGAATTGCATTCAGGAGTAAGACAAGGCTGCCCACTATCACCGACAATGATATTTTTAATTCTGGAGGACTGGATTGTGCGTCAGGCTGTGCGTTGGGAGCGAGAAAACAGGTATACGCTGGATCACCGATGAGAAGTCTCTAGAAGATTTGGATTTCCCAGATGATATATGTCTAATGTCACGTAAACTCGAAGAATTACAGGCGAAAACCAACAAACTGTCAGAAAGGGTAGGCACCGAAGACAGGATTGTAGGCGAACATAGAGAAGATAGAGGTGATGAAGATAACCAATGAACTGAAACAACAACAACAAACAGCACCAATCACCATCAACGGGAGAAACTTGAGAGAGGTTACTTCCTGCCTTCACTTATCTACGAAGCATTGTTTCAACTAAAGACGGAACTCATGAAAATGTCAAAGGTGGCCAGAATCAGAAAGGCGAGATACACCTTCATCACCATGAAACCAGTTTGGTAATCTTCTGCTTTCACTAAGCCAGCATAGAGAACAAGATTCGCATTTTCAACACCAATTTGAAGTCGATTCTTCCATACGGGTAAGAAACTTGTCCAGCCTGTCACGAAAAGGATTTCTAACAAGTTACAGACTTTCATCAACAACTGCCCGCTACGCTGGCTCCATAATGAAGATTAAATGGTTGACCAGAAGGAATTAATAACGAGAAAATGTGGAAACAAACCAATCAAGAGGTGTGATCGCCTAATAAATATGTCGGAGAAAATGGAGATGGATCGGGCATTGAGTAGGGCGTCGAATGATATCGCGCTCAATGCAGGCCACTGCTTGGGTGTAATTCAAATGGGAAGCGACGAGTTGGTCGTCAGTGCGAGTGTTACATGGCGGAGAGCGTGTGAGTTGGAGGAGTAGATGAGAGATTATGGTCAATCGTGAAGCCAGTTGAATAGAACGGCAAAAAATAGGACTAAGTGGAGATGTGCTTCACTCGGAACCTAAGCGAATAATAATAATGTAAAACTCAACAGAAAAAAATCAATTGAAGAGAATGTACTACCTCATATGTATTGTAAATGAAGGAAGAGTCACAGATTTTGGATCGGATTTTATGATTGAGGGATTAGTGATGGTCATATTACGCCACCTTTTTTATATATATATATATATATATATATATATATATATATATGGTGGTCTCTCTTTCTGTTGCTCTCTTAGTCTGTGACCATTTCACTTTGATGAACCTGTCTCCTTTAACAATGTATATTCCCCTTATAGTATATATAATGTGTGTTTGTTGACAGTCTGTTATATTTCGCTATGTATATATGGATCGATACTCCATTATAATTAGCCAATCATGTTAAGACTGTCTATTGATTTGTTCATACACTTGTTCGGACATTCATATATATTTTGCTCTCACATACTTGTGTGATATATTTGATTCTCCTCGTGTTTGGAAAATAGAAGTATCATCGCATACCTAGTGGTCTTCTGATTTCCGTCTTTCTTGCGCCAGGACTATTAAATTCTCGACCAGTACATAGCAATAATTTGGCGACGAGTACATAACACCTTTTTAACCGTTCACTTGTTCTACATTTCTCAGGTGTACGTCCATCATCATTGATAAGTATCTTAGCGGATTTCAAAACTCCACCACTCTCTGTAGAAATTTCAAGAAATCTATATTGCAGCTAGTTGAATGATCTGTAGAATCCGATTTATGTCTTTAAAAGCATATAGAAATGATACCAACAATTGAGATTTAATCAGATTTTTCGCATGTAGTGCACTGTAGAGGAATGTGTTTATTTAACCTTTAAAAGTTATGGAGATGTGGATCATTGAATTAAGCATTCGACTTTCAGTCAATGTGTCCTGAGTTCAAATTCCGTTCCATCTACTTCAGACTGCACAACTAGAGGCGGTTTCATATACCCTCACACATTAGGTTCTCTAATAACTTGGAATATAAAAAGTCTGTTCTGGGTGACGGAATCAAAAAGCCCATGTATTTTACAGCTCTGCCGATTTGCGGAATCATCAGTGAGTGTTTGTCTACAACTTGCTAGACTCTGTGTCTCTAATTCATATCAGTTCGTGATTTAACTTTAATTAAAACTACACCAACAAACAATTGAAATATATTTGCGTGGAAATATCAGTAGAATAGTAAAATAAAAGTTTTAGGTTATTAGTGTTGACAAAGTTAACTGTATTTCTCTTTCTACTCTAATATTTGAATGAGTTACTTTCAGAATTGATCTTTTATATTGAAATTAATTTTTCCCATGATGATTCACCTATGATGATGATGATGTGCGTCGGTGGCGCAGTGGTTAGGACTTTTGCCGACCATTCTCACATGGTCCGAGGTTCGATTCCCTGCCGACGCACACCTGATATCTATGGTTGGCCTGCGAAATTTGGGCTACCGGTATCCATGCTGAAAATTTCCATACTTGTATCAAAAATACAGTGTGGAATCAAGCTGTAATCAAAAATAAAAATAAATAAATAAAAATAAAAATATTAGTTTCATATTTCAAAATCTATAAAAAAATAGCTGAATATGTGGAAAGTTACTAAAATTTGTGAGTGTTAATCAGGATAGATTATGGGCATAATAAAGGTGAAGAAGTACAGAGTAGTGGCGTAGTAATACAATGTGCTTAAGAGGCAAAGTACTAGCTAGATCATCTCGAACACAGGAAAGGGGATGATGTCACGCAAGAATTACGTCTGGTGAAGAAAGCAGCAGGATTCTTTTTAATATACTGATGATTTTAACATGTTGAATCAGTTACTTTTGTATGAGAATCCCCCAGTTTCTCCAGTTCAATGACTAAAGTTCCATCATTACAGATGACGCAAACCCGCTATGATTTTGACAGGATGTTTTCATCTTATAAATAACTTTGCAAGAAGTGATTGTTGAGATAAAATGATGAGTATTGACAAGGTGTTCAGTTGTCACTCTCCTCTTAGAACGCAAGATAGTGTTTAAGAACCCTTTTCAACATAACCTACGTTGAATAACCAACATATCTAGCTGTACAGGATCAGTTGAACTGGTATACATATATGGAGTTGGTCAAGTTTGAGATCTCATCTTTCAGGTTTTGGGAAAATAGTGATAACTGGAAAACACTACTCTCAGCCAGTGTGCAAAGAATTTTGTATTCAGGAAGTTTAAAATTCTTCTTTCAAGAGTTTCGTCAGCTAGGTCATCTTTGAGTTCGAGTCCCATTGCATTACAAATCACATCTCATCTGTTTCGCTACAGTCGATTCGGTTGTTTGGTTAGCATCCACACCACTAGAATATCGTTTACTTTATCATACATGGCTACTAGATTATATTATCACTGTCATAGTACACCATAATTTAAGCCTAATTTTCATTATTCGACTCTATAGTGTTGTGTTCAGTTGTAATGATAATTATACTAAAGTTACAAAATCATTGCTTTATAATGTTCTGTTCAACTTTATTATAGGAGTGTGCTGACGGTAATGCACAATCCTTAGAACATCAACAAATAGTTATAGCAGCAGCTGAACAATTGGTTAGCACAGCGCATGCAATGGCTGCACCCATTATTCGATCACGTCTAACTAAAGGCTTAGAATTTGCTACTCGACTTACAGCCAATAATGCTGGTCCACTAGCTACAGTTGGAGGCGAAGTTGTACGTATTTGTCAAAGTGATACTTATCAGGTAAGACAAAAAACAACAGAATGTTATAACTTTATTTTTAAAAAAATGTTTATTACGTAATCGTTTTATTGTATGTAAAAATGTCTATATAGATTCACTTATCTGATGTTGACAGACGTGTTGTTTAGCATGTTGTGAATTTTAATCGATTACTTTTTTTACCATGCGTAAATATCATACGGTTGCTTGCCTCTTCCTAAAATGTTAAGACGAAGACTAAATTAGGTGGAAGGATACGACTTATAAGCGTCATATTAAACATGAATGTGTGTACTCTTTCAGGTGAATAAATCTAGAGGTTAAGTTTCGCTTTCCAATTTAAATTTGATGACTGTATATGTTATAGTAAAGTTACAACAGACCACCAATTTTTTTTCAGGTGTTATTTTGCAGGATATTGATTAGTGGCAAGTGTGATCGGAGACTGACATCTGTTAGATAACCATTTAACACTAGCAGAGAGTACTGGGCGGCAACTATATTGGCCCAGTTTGAAATTCTTCATCAGCAGAAGCCATGGGCTATCGGGTCCCATTCCAGTCGCTGAATGCTTGGCGAGCTTGCCTCGGGACCTGAAGGTCCTGAGGTTCGATCCCCTGTCAGTGGGGTCATGCGTTTGTACTATTGAGGAGTCCCAAACTAGGACGCAATAGCTGTCCACTGATCCTTGGTTTTGAAATGTCATCTAATTAATACTTGTTTTGTGCCCCAGTTGATCTATTTGGTTGGCTGACTGAAGGAATAATGGTGCTGAGAGCTTGTGATAGTCCTCTTCAGGGTAGCTTATTCAATATTCATTTTAGTTCATAATATCCGTCATACAAGTAACTGAATTTTAAACATTAGGAGTTAATCATCTTTAAGCTTTGGACTCACCAATATGGTGTGTCTACAACCTTTAATAAATTGAATTTCCTTACTAGATTCGAAATTGCAGACACATGTCTATTCGATTTCTTCCGTAGAAAAGTAGTATACTAATGGCTGATAAAAGAGATAATGTAGGTTTAATTACCATTGAAAGCAATATATTACTTCTTAATATCGTCGTTAATATTGCACTGAAAATTCTGTTCAGTACCTTGTTCCTTTCGGAATTCTCGAAGAGGGTCTTCATATGGCCTTTTGAATGCACTTGAGGACACCATACATTCTCTGTGTGTCTGTGTGTTTGCTTGTACTTACACAGACTCTAGCTAACCGAATTGTTGAGGATAGTTGGAGTTCTTAGTGTATTAAATTACAGTGAGTATTAATAAAGTATTTGAGCTCTGCATTCAGTCTATTTCGTATAAACCATGTCTATTTTCTCTCTCTGTGTTATTTCCCCTTACGCATTTATTCCTGGTATTTGTCCTTACTTTCCTTTGCGCCTTTTGTGGTTGACTAATAACTTAGTGTTTTCTCCGGGAAGATGACACCAAAAAAAGCATCTGTGTTTGTATAAGTTATTTACTTCAATTTTTAAATGAAAAAATCCCTGACCAAATCATCGTTTCTCATTCGGGTACCACTGTAGCGCCAAATGCGTGATATCAGTCAACGGTTTCCTAAGTGTGTGTGTGTGTGTGTATCCGACTCATCTTCATTTTCTTCAACTTATTCATTCGGTAATGAGTTCTTGGTTAGTCGTTTGCACTGCGGAGTTCGTTGTTGCTAATCCTTCTCCAATCTGGAGCGAAGGCAACTGTTGACAACAGTCTGAAGCCTATTCGAAGTTCTTTTGTTGACGCAAGCGCCGATTCTCTAAATCATATAGAAGAATTGACCTAACCTTAATGTTTAGAATTCGAATCTTGTTCTTTATGCTTAGTACAGTAGATTTTCACAATGATTTTAGAATGATGAAAGGCTGTTTTGCCTTTCCGATCCTGACTGGTTTTGACATCGTCATTCGTCCCGTCTGTAGTTAGAACGATGCTGATGCACTCTACTCGTACTCATGCAACCAGGTGAGGGCTTACGGCGAGTTGTCATCTGAACTGGTGACGACTAGTGGTGTCCGTCAAGGATGCCCATTATCACCATTTCTATTCAAGTGGTATAGTAAGGTGAGCAATATTGAGGTTAGGCGTCGAGTTCTAGATAAGGAGGGGAAATCAATCGACGAGGCTGTGAGATGCTTAGGACATGTGTTACCTATGCCCAGTCATCGCCTTCCTCGACAATGGGCGATGTTAGCTGATATAGGGTCAGGTTGGAAAAGAGCTAGCGGCCGTCAAACCGAAACATGGCTTCATCAGTCAATGAAATCCACAACAGTTAGTCTAAGCCACGTAGGAAGGTGTGGACTTCCTGGTTGGGGTCCTCGGGACGGTAAAATCCAATGGTTGGAAACAGTTGGTGACATGTCTCAAAATCGTTCTCAATGGCGCAGATGCATCCACTCCCTGTGACTTATGATTTCCAATGAAACTATATTGTTCTTCGTTATTACTATTCATTTGTCTCACACCTCTGTTTACTGTCTCTATTATGCATTTCTACTTTCTTCTCTTGCTTTGTGTGGTACATGGAGTGTGGCGACTTGAACTGCTGCACATCGGTGCAAAGTTCTATATCGAAATCAGACAGGCAGACAGATACTGCCTATTCCAATAAGTGAAAAAGGGACTTCCTTCAAATTTCTCCCGTTGGTCGCGGTTGGTGCTTGTTGTTATTCACATGGAGTGTTGTCTTCTTCGCCTAACTCTTCTGCCAGCTTGTTGATTTTCATCTGTAGATCTTCAAGTTTGTATGGAAATGAAAATAAATCGCCTGCGAAGTCCTAATCTTCCGGAGTCTTCTTCTTAGTCCATCATATTCTTGTCTTCTTAGTGTGCTACAGGATCTAATCAGGCACAATTGAGGAATATTGTTGGTGACAGTAGGCAGCAGTCTTGTCTTTCTCTTGTATTCACTTCAAAGGTATCGCCGACTTTTCTGTTTGTGAATCACTTGACATATGGCATCATCATGTAGCTGTTGAATGAGCTTGATGGACATCGCACTCTGTAGTGTTGAAGCATTGAACAAAGTGTCATAATGAAACCTTATTGATGGTAATAATGTTATACTCACACATCGTTTATTTTATTTGTTTTGTTAAAAACAAAACTTTACTCACTAAATCTTCTGCTTGACTGAATACTTTTCACAATCAAAAGGTAGTTGTAGAAGATATTTTATCAATCTATCAGTGAAACACATATGGACTGTGCATAGTGTATGCCTAGTCACAGTAGGGGCTATGTGTAAATAATATGCTTCTATCTAGTGAACTGGTAATTTCTTTCTCCACACACACACACTCACACACATAAACTACCACAATTTTACTTCACACTGAGTCCCCATAATCATGTTAGAGTAATCCATACAAAATAGAGAAAGCCATTTGGTGTATTAAATGCTCCGGTTAAAGACATTGTACAAACGGTATAATAGTGACATGCATGACCTATTCACACATATCATTCTTCCTATTGTTCTTGTTCTTTGACTTCAGATATCACCTGTGTAAAGGTAATTCTATCACACTTTAGAGAAAAATCATACTAGAAATAATCAATTGTAACGATTTCATCTAGTAAAAGCCCTCTGTGTATATAAGTCCGCTTGATTGAATAAATTAGTTTATTACTCTACATAATTCTTGCTCCTTTGTCTTTTACACACAAATCACAATCTCAACAATAATGATTTCCATGTTACACTTTAGATAGTTTCTTGAAATCTATAGTAATAATATGGCGTACACAGAGTACATTATAATGGATGGATTAATGTGACTCTATGTACCTGTGTGTGAGTACACCTGCCTCCTTAGGTGGTGTTATATAATAATAATAATACCACATGTTAAATTTTCAATGGAGAAGGATTTCGACTAGTTGTGATCTTTTTTTTATATGTGTGATTACAATTCATATACATTTCAATCAGTTGTTGTCCTAGACGTCAATGGAAATGACAGGTATAACCACCATCTAGTGTAATTTAATGTGGTAATAATATTAATAATAATAACAGTAATAATAATAATATAAATGATAACTATTAATATAACAAATAAGAAAATGGTGAGTGAATATAGTCTACACTGTTATAAACATGTTTAATTATTAATTTATAATTAATATTCTCATTTTATTTCACATTAATGACTACTGTAATACACTTCTATTTCTGTTGACCTCAAGCTAAGATAGATAGGTAGATATGCAAATAATGTCTTGTAATTCTGTGCATTGATAATCACTCACTCACTTACTTAGTGACTCGCTCACTTCAACTCAAATTTATGATTGTGTACAACAAACACAAATGTATTCTTGCCACAAACAACACTGTGAAGTGCAGCATACTATATATATGTATAAATGCTTGAAATGCTATTCGTTGAATTCTGCTTATTGCTGTTTCAGTTGTAGGTATAAAAAACACCAATCTAATGTGTAGGGGATTTAGGCTATCCAGTCTCACATATATATATATATATATATATAATAACAACACTATGTAATTCACACAGAATGGATTTGTTCATGTCTATTGGAACAATATACACCGATCTCGTATGCATGTCTTCTCAATACTTTAAAAACTATAATTATAATTATGTATATAACTCTTTTGAAACTTTATAAGGCATCAGCATTGAATGAATAATCGTCATCTTTTCTTCTCTCTCTCTGTCTCTGTTTGTCTCTCTCTGTGATTTCAGTTAGCTGCTGACTTGGAACAATTACAAAAACGTGTTATGCCTCAAGTGAATTTATCTTGTAATATAGCTCGTGTTCAACCGTATGATATCAAAAATCAAGCTAATTTACTTGCTGCATCACAAAATCTAATGAAGGTATGTTAGTTCTATATTGTTGTATCATTATTTTCTGGATTAAAAATATGAAAAGACATTTTTATAATAATGCCACATTTAATTTGACACATTTTATTCCATTTGCATTCCAAGTGGAACTTAAGGTATTAGGCTAGAGCTTAGAAGTTTCATTAGTAGTGCTATTTTTTTCAAGCGGGGAGGGGGTAGTTGTCAGCCTCATACCCAACCTCCTCTCATTACTGGTATAAGTTATTAGATGGTTGGAGACACTCATCAGTCAGCAAGATGTATGTACAATCTTGAAAGAATTCATTTCCCTTCTGAAACTCGAACCCAGTGATGCAGTCAGAGGCGTAATCACTGAGCTATTCGGGCTCTCAATTGATCTCCTGTAAGACTGTATTGGGTGCTTTGATTGAACACTATAGGGGACATGAGTTTCTTCAAGCTCACAGATGCGCCTTGCTGGATGACGAGTACCAACTAGCACGAAACCTAGGTCGAAGGCTTCCTGTCAGTTACCTCCAATCATCCAATAACAAGAATTCACAATGCACCATGATGGCGAGCCACCTAGTGGCATGCTGGCCACATTGTAAACTTGACTGATAGAGTTCAGATTTCATCAAGCAAAGAACTAGACACATTACACTAGTTACTAACTGGTATCCAATCAAAGTAATGACATAACGCCCGGTAAAGTGAGGTTGGGAAGTTCGTCGGTCGAGAATCGAACTCTGAACCACACGCTTCTTTTACCACTACAGTTGTTTAGGTTAGAGAGAGACTTGAAAATAAAAAAGCAAGGTATACAAATATAATATGACACTGAAAAGAATTACTTCGAAGTATATTTCTTATGTACCAGAATCTTCCCTTCTTTATGCCCAAACTCTAGTAAATATCTTAAATCGGTACTGTATGGGATTATTCACAACGACTGAAAGGATGATCTTAGTTCTTATCAGTTTTAAATAATACAAAACAAAATGTTTTATATTTGACCATACGTTTGATCAATTAACAATAGTGCTTTTTCTCCTCTCTCTGGGTTTTTCTAATCATTGGCTATCGTGTTTTTTTTAAATGGTTTCCATTGTAAATCCTGTGAGTGACAAATGGTAATGATAATAACTGTGAAAAAAGGTAAGAGTGGCGTAATAAGACAGGAATAATTGAGATTCTGACGTCCGCGATGATCTCATGATAAAAGGGTTAGGATAAATGTACTTTTTTCACACACATAAGTTAGATTTGTTCTTATTGGCCCCTGTTGTTTCAGTGATGGCTAAGAAACCTAAATGCTTACCCTTGGGCACATCGTTTAGGCAGTGTTTGCTACCCAATACATGATATAAGATAGGGCTATTTATTGATTTGGTTACTTATTATCCAAGACAAACAATAAATTCATCTAAGTAACGGTTGTTTAGACTTTCTAATCACCACCAAGTTTCAGTAGACTATCGTGTTTGATTTTAGGACATTTTTAGTTGTATTGATTCCTCAAGGAGTTTACCTGGACAAACAAACACCTTCTTTAATATTGAGACTTGAATCTTTTATTTGCGTGGATGCAACATGCTTGAACTACCCTATTTCATTCGGTTTTTTGAAGCGAATTCGTTTTATTACTCTTCTACCTTCAGAACTTTTCATCTCTTATTATTCATATTCTTGTATTCTTCATAAATTTCATCAGTAATCAGACTTTGTTGAAATAATGGAGAAGATTTGTAGCTGTGATTGGTTTAATTGTGAAGCTTTCGTCGTCCTGCTTCTAGACAACATCTTCAGCTCAGGTATTTAAGCATAAAATGAACTCATTTAAATTCTCCATGATTGATGATATAACTGTATCTCCTGGCAACCATTATCATGACTTGTTGTTGTTGATTTACATCGCTATTGATTACTTTTAATTGACTTGGAATTCTAACTTTCTTGTCATCATGTGATTTACTTTTCATTAGCTGATAAGATAAATTTCGTGTATACTAATGCGTTTGTTATAATTGCTGATTGCCTTGAGTACCAGGCTTCTAAGAATTCCCTGTTGGCATTCTCGGTGTTTCCTCTATTTAAAATATCTACATTATCTCAATCAACCAGATCTCAGAGAACACAACTAATTCAATCAGACTTTGTTTCTTATCCTGCCAAAAAAGCAAACACTAGTGACTGGCCCTATTCAGGCAGTTAACCTGGGGTTCTAGTGGGAAGCCGTGACCAGTAGGGTACAGCAGGTTGAAGATGAGGCAGTAACTCATCGAAGAAGACATTGCGAAGTGGTCGCGCTGTGTTGTGAATTGGCAGAAGTTAGAATTCAAGGACATTGGATCGAGTCCCAGTGGCTCAATGGTCTACGAGCTCGCCTTGTAACCAGAAGGTCCAGGGTTAAAATCCCGGTGGGTGCGTACTGCTGAAGAGTCCCAAACTAGGCTGCAGAAACAGCTGTCCAGTACTCCCAGGTTTTCCAGTGGTTCTCTAACTGATGTCAGCTCATGATTAAATCCTCCATGTAATCAAACACAAATTATGATTTTCTAAGTTACCATAACTCATTCATGTTCACAATACTTGTGTAGATATTAAGATGAGTAATGTGTGTGTGTATCAAATTTGTGAACAAAAATAGCAGGAAGTCAATTATATAAGGGTGGGGGTTAAGTAGTTGGAGAATTTGTGGCATATGTATATTAAGTGGAAAAAAATGCTTTGAGTCATGCAAACTAATTGATTTGATAACGGAATAACGATTAATCGAAAAGCGTTCACATCATATGAATGGGTGTTAACCGGTTCACTCCTTTTTTTTCTTGTCACTAAAACTCATTCGTCTGGAAATCAAAGGTACATTCAAGTTGGTTGATTTCCTCAAATATCTGAAATAATTACTACACAGTGAATGCTCTTAGATTCTCTGACTAAACATTTTTTTAGTGCGACGTTCTTTTCCGCAGTACTTGTCTACTCGTCGTTTTGTCTTAAATGAAAACTCCACTGATCGGTTAGTGTATGTGACCTTGTGGGATACTGGTTGTGTTATTGATACGCTGTACTGTACCAGGCTTACTAAACGTAATATGTCTAGTTACTCAATCAGTCGTCAATCAGTGTAACCACCTGACTTGTAAGTACTGATAGAAAAGCAGAAATCAAAAACAGAACTTAACTATTTAGGAATGTGCTCTAACTAAGTAGTATATTTAATAGAATAAAACGTTAAGGTTATTTAGTGATTAAAAGGTTTTAGAACTTATCTGGTTAGTATGCCCTGAACTATAAACTCTGAGGGCTGATTTCATATAGCATATGCTAAAAGACCTCAATTTGAATGATTGTCACGTGGAGAAAAACAAAAATGAAGAATTTCTGATGCAATAAACCGCAATATAGCAGCATAAAATCATGAAAATGCACTTGTATATGTCTAACATTTGAAGCCTAGCATCTAGTTATGCCACGCTGAGGAAACCATCAAGTGACATCACTAGACAAGCCATTGCTCAAGTGGAACCTGAAAAAGAAGCGGCGAGTTGGTCGTCCAAGGGTGACTTGGAGGAGGTCATATGAAGAGCAGATGAAAGCATGTGGGCAGACTTGAAGCAGAGTGAAAAACCGAAGGCAATGGAGATGCGCAGCTGAAGCCCTATGTTCCTCTAGGAATTAAAGGATATAATAATAATAATCTAGAAATGACTGTGAAGTGATATTTACTGTTGAAGATTAGCAAGAGCTCTAAAACCCTCCAAATAAATACCTCATAAAGGATTTAAGTGTCAAATATTTAGATGGTATATTACTTATGTCATTACATGGACATTGAAACGCTACAATAATCATCGTTGTTAGGCTACTTTTAAGCATACTCAACTCTAGGTGTATGCGTATGTTGGCAGCACAGGGAAGGAGCAAAAAGTGGTGTCTGAGCCTGGTTGGATGTGCTTTCACAGGTGGGCTAGACGTTTGTGTAGTTAATGGTTGATTGATTCCGTTTGATGTATTCATTTTAGCCTTAGATTTATTTTGATACCATAGAAGGTATACTACATCCTATTCAGCATGGTTATCATCAGTTATCACCCTGTTTTCGACATCTATTCATTCATTTCCAACTTTTGTGATAGTTTGTTTTTCACTTATCTATTTCGCTGATAATTGATTGATTGGTTGACTTACTGACTATGTTTCAGTGCCTTTTAAGGTCACTATTTCCCATTTCATGTCTTTGTGTACCCGCACATATACTTGTTTCTCTGTATTCATCCTTTTGTTTACCTTATAAATGAAATATGCAAAGTACTGCTTTCATTTGCCTTGCACAACAAGTGCGCACACAGTTTTTTTCTGTTTATCGATTTTTAATATACCTTGAATCGTTTACTGCACTAACCAAAGACTTGCCGAGTCAGTATAATAACTTAGAATTTATTGCCTTTTTCGTTGTTTTTTTCCACATTTCTCTACTTTCTAACAGTGTTTAGAAGATTTATTAAGATCAGCTGATGCAGTCGCACCGACTATTCAAGATTCCGGTGTTCAATCAGTACTTACTGGTGTTACACGTAACACACAGGCTTGTCTTACTGATCTTCGACTGTGTTATGCTAATTCTGAATCAGTCCTAGGTAATGAACCACCTGAGTTACCTGATCAATTATATCATCATATGATGAATGGAGGAGCGAAAACGTCGTCGCCCAACGGAATAGACCAGTCAGATTATCATGTTACTGATTTGCAGACGAATGAGTTGGCGAGAATTTCAGCTACAATTGAACAATTGAGAACAGAGTTGTTTGATGTTTCATATCATTTATTGCCAAATGAAACAGTAAGTTACTTCACAAAAAACAATGAATAGATTTCAATGTGTTTTAAATAAAACTATTGAGTTAATATACTTATACATGGTGATGTTATTTCGGTTGATGGTAATTTGGCCACTGATTGAAGTAGCCGAATGGACGAAACGATGACTGCAGGATTTGAGTCTCTGGTGGGCATGCCATCATCCACTAAGACTGCAAGCACATCCAGATGACGAGTTCAAAATAGACGGGAACTTTTCTCCTGGAGTTCACTGCTAGTCATCATCGACCAAAATGAAATAACATCATGTTCATCCTTTGACGTCCTCGAAGCGTTCGTACTACTTACCGATATGTCAATAGATAACAAGCTTTTTAGTCCAGCATAATTAGTCGACAGAAGAGATCTAAAGCAATTCACCTCTTTCACTTATCTGAATAGATGACATTGTTTCAATCACAGACACCGCAGATGATTATGTGTCAAAGACAGGATTGAAAAAGCAAGAGAGACCTTCATTATTCTGAAGTCAGTGTGTAGATCTGCTTCACTCAGTGTAGGGAATAAGGTCGGGATTTCCAACACTAATGTTTAACCACTCAGTGTGTTTATTTGTTTCAGAAATTTGGCGTACACGTCACCCTAATCATTTCCAAAAGCCTGTTGCAAACTTTTATCACTAGCTGCCTTCTCATGGTCCTGAATGTGCGTCGGTGGTATAGCGGTTAGGACGCTAGCCGACCATGCACATAGTCCAGGGTTCGATCCCCGGCCACAGACGCACTCCTTTACCTCGCTGAGCCAGAAATAATGCTGGTAAAGAGGAAAGGTTGGGTATGAGGTTAGCAACCCCATCCTGTGAAATAAACACTGCTACAGAAACTTCAAGCCACTAGCTTGAAGCCCTATGTTCCACTGGGGAAACGTGAAGGGAAAAAATTCTTGTTCCTGAATATCAGTTGATCAGAAAGGACTAGCAATACGGTACTCTGTCAACACACCGACCAAAAACCTGTGGCGCAACAAATACTCCGAGGGAAATGAAGATAGACTGGATATACGCGAGGAGACCGTTGGGTGATATTACACTCCAGGCCCTAGAGTGAAACCCGAATGGGTAACTACGAGTTGGACATGGATCCATCGATGAAATGGAGGAGATCTTGTGAGTTGAAAATGAAAACTTATGGTCAATCTTTTACCTACTTGGAAAAAGCCGACTGGAGAGAACATATTGAAATGGAAATGTGCTGGTAATGCCCTATGTTTCACTAGGAAACCAATGGAACAATAATAATAATAATAATAATAATAATATAGAGTAATTTAATATAAATGAAGTTCTTGATTGTGTGTACAACAATTCGACATTCCATTATGGGTAAATTTTGTTTTGATAGAGTCTCACAGTGTTATACAGCAATGTTTACTGATGACGTTTCGAGCACAATTTATTGCTCATAATCATATCAAGGTAATCACACGACTTCCTAAACTCACTTGTATAGTTCCATTGTTTTTCTCTTGATTTTCACTTGATTTGATTGGTAATAGTATTTTCCATATTTCAGGTATGAGTGACGAGTCATTCCTATTGCATGTGTTGGGTGTAGACTCGATGAACAAGGATTCAGTAATCAACCTCTCTCTCCACCTACCTAGATTACTTTTTAGAATTTTAACTCTCTCCCACCCTATTGTGTGGTTGTGTGTTAGCGCATGCATTGCAATTGCTGACCTTTTTTCTAAATTACTTATCTTCTCGGGGTCAACCATTCTTACCTTAGCTAAATTCTTATGCTCTGACAATCTGACTACCCCTGACTTACTAGCTTGACCTATGTAGTTGACTTAGCTCACAGTCATTGCATGGTATTTTGTAAATAATATTATTTTGTCTAATTGGGTCAATTGGCTCCTTTAACCTACAGAGCTTGTCCCAACACATGCAATAGGAATGACTCGTCACTCATACCTGAAATATGGAAAATACTATTACAAATCAAATCAAGTGAAAAACAATGGAACTATACAAATGAATTTAGGAAGTCGTGTGATTACCGTGATATGATTATGAGCAATAAATTGTGCTCGAAACGTCATCAGTAAACATTACTGTATAACACTGTGAGACTTTATCAAAACAAAATTTACCCATAATGGAATTATACTCTACCACAGTGCACAAGTTTTATTCTTATAACAATTCGACATCTTTTTCTCCGTGATAGAGGCAGCTTAGATTACTGTTGGTTTCGGGTCAACTTCATCTTTAGATTTAAAAGCGTCAATTAAATATCAGGGTTATATGATACTTACTTCTTAAGTGTGAATGAGTAAATTACCTCTAATACATTAATTAACACATTGTGTTTTTATTTTGGTTTTCAGCTGGATTCAATCTGTGTTTTACTGTGGTCATCAATTAAAGATTATAATAAAGTGTTTGGTTCACCTGATGATGAAGATCATGAAAATCATATCGACTCATCATCATGTAATGAATTAGAACAGTTATGGCATAAATTGCCTCCATTAGTTGAACGTGTCAAACAAACCTGTGATGATGATAATGATGCTGCCACTGGTGTTGTTGATAAAGGCAACAGAAAAAAGATGATACAAGCAAGATTGAATATAGTTCATGAATTGCTACACTATCTTGCACCTGTACTACGTGGTATGCGTAGTCTAGCTAGATATTTCAATATTGTTGCCCAGTCGACAGCTGTAGATTCTAGTAAGTCAATTTTGGATTAACCTTTGTTTTTGTCTTCTGATTTTGATTTCAATCATCCTTTGTTGTTATTGTTGTTGTTCTATTTCTCCCTGACCTTTTCGTCAGGTCACATAAATTAACTAGTGACCCTATGCAAAACATGTGAAGCTTACACACACTCACATAAATGTTTATTCGTTTGTTAATAAATCAATAGTCAGTCGTTTGTATGTTCTTCCGTTTTCGGCTATCGTGAAATGCCTTTATATACACAGGAAATACAGTACTTGTTTCTCTAATACCTGATTCATGCTAATGTAAAATAATGAATATTCTTAACCACGCTTTTTGAAAAGTATTTTTGAGTGTTTTTCATATCTTCCAGTATCGGGAGTGTTGTTTTGTCTTCAGGAGGTGGGTTTGATAGCTTCATGCCCAACCTTTCCACTTTTCCCGACTTACTGTTGACTAATAAATTAGGCGAGGTTTAGAAGTAAGTCGTCTGGGAATTGAATTCCACACCACGTTTGTGATTGACAAGCATCCTAACATTGGACCACTGACTCCACATTCATTTTTGAATGTGGAGTATTAATTACTGTCTAAAGTCTTGAATCTTCGGGGGCTTAAATGTTTATACTGATTATTTTCAACATCCAGGTTTTAACTCGTCCTTGCGAGTATCGTTTATCCATCACATCACGATGACTATACATGTGCAGTTATCGACTGTTAGTTTGTCTTCACGTTTTAGTTTTTTTCTTTATATTGTCTGTACATCATTTCAAGGAATGAAGCTTCAAAATAGCACACAAAATAGAAGGGGAAGTAAGTAGATATATATACTACAACAGACGAAAATATTTGCTTTATATATGAAGAATGATGGAAAAAATGTGAAAATATATGAGCAGTTATAGGTCAACTTTCAGTTTCGTTTCTAAAATATACTAAGCATTCTTGATGCTTAGCAGTTAATAGCCTCTAGTCAGATAATCTTTCATCAAAGTGTAGAGTTTTCGTGCATAAATTACACATATCAGCAGTCTAACCACCTATAAATCTTTTCTTACCTAGTATTACATCAACTGACATTGTTAATCTAGAAGTATAGTAGCTAGACATGTCCTGGCCTTGCTTAGTGTGTAAAAATTCGTAATTCCTTCAACTGATTTCTCCTTATTACCTTTCAAAAGACAATCTGGTCTCAGGATTTCTCACCAACTACATAATGGCTAGTTCTACGAACAGACTTTTTGAATATGTACACAAATTGTACATACCTTTTTCATTTCACTGTGATGATAATAACAGCAGTTATGGTAGTACCAGTAGTAATGATAATACAAGTTAAATATTAGTTGAATGATGACAACCACAAGAACAAAACAAGATTTTAAACCTTCATTCAAGAAAAAATAATAATAAGCTTTTTTAGGTTGGGGGTGTGAAGGCCAAGGGAGGGAGAGAGATTGAACGAAATTTTTCTGAACACAGCGATTTGGTTGGAAAATCATTATGGCAACCGCCTGGTCTATGCTTAGCAATCAAAGATGTATCAACCTAGGGAGTTCGTGTGGCACCTTGTATAGAATTGTAAAAGCTGAATTTTTGTCATTTTTTTGCTCCATGTCCACTAGGTGTGCCAGTATAGAACATCTGATTGACTCTACAACTCCTTTATTAAACCACGTTGGACAATGCTCCAGAAGGTGACGGTGGGTTGCCAAGTGGTTCTACCTATGTAACTGTCTTCACATGAACAGTTAAATCATAAATGCACATTGGAATTGTACACCGAATGGCGAACTTTAAACACAATACTGTGGCAGAGAATGTTTTAGTTATTATTTTACGAAATTTCAACGCCAGTGAATCAGATATGATAGAGAAGATTCAAATTGAAGTATGCACTGAAGATGTCACCCAGTAGGGTGATGAAAGCTTCTCAAATTAACCATCCAGTTCAGAGAACAAAACCACATCAAAAGCCAGTGAATCAGTTACTGCGTCTCCTTTAAACGCTATAATCATGTAAATACGTTAATCGGTATGCCAGTATGTCACATAGGTAGAACCACTTGGCAACCCGCCGTCACCTTCTGGAGCATTGTCCAACGTGGTTAGATAAAGGAGTCTTAAAGTCAATCAGAAGTTCCATACTGGCACACCTAGTGGACATGGAGCACAAAATTGACAAAAATTCAGCCTCTGCAATTCTATGAAATAAGCTTTATAAATCTAAGAGAAGTATCAATTATGCATAACAGTCAGAGGTAAGCATGTTCACAAAATAAAAGGAACCAGAGGATGTGATCATAGTAGTACTAACAGATAAGCTATTACCAACAGGTGACAGATTGAGACTATCAGTTTGAGTATCCGAATCTAAGTTACATGAAGGACCGGTAAGAACTGATCCTGACAACTATAAATAATCACTTTGGCGTAGAGGACAGACTGATACATTCTTATCATCATTTGTATTATACAACTTTTGTACATCATTATAAGAATAATTCCCAAATTCCGAATTGTTGATAATTCATATAAAACTCTGTCTTGCAGCGCGATAAAACTATCCAAATCTAATTAATCCGTTTCACTACCTGCAACAGAACTCTTCAAAAGTTTCAGTTTTGACCACGGATTGATATCAGTTACAGTATCATTGATAAAACCAGTTACAAATGCTGAACAGCTATTTCGTCCTGGTTTGGTACTCATCATCAGTACTCATTCACTGGGATTCGAATTCAGGATCTTCCAGAATTATCATGAAGTCTTTTAGGCATAAGACTAAGAGGTGAGCATGTTCACAAAATAAAAAGAACCAGAGGATTTGACGGTAGTGTCAATAACAGGTAAGCTTTTATCAGTAGTTGACAGATTGAGACTATCAGTCTGAATATCCAAAACTAAATTAAACGAAGGACCGGTAAGAGCTGATCCTGACAACTATGAATAAGCATTTTGGAATTGAGGATAGACTAATACGTTATCACTATCATTTATGACACAAATTTTGTGCATCATTGTATGAATCACTCCAAGATTCTGAATTAAATAATCATCTGAAACTCTGTCTTGTAGTGCGATCAAACTATCAGGATGTAATTATTCCGTTTCACTACCTGCAACAGAACTCTTCAAAAGTTTTCCTTTTGGACACGGATTGATATCAGTTACAAAATCATTGACAAAACCAGTTGAGAGTACTAGACAGCTGTTTCGTCCGAGTTTGGGAATCATCATCAGTACTCATCCACTGGGGTTCGAACCCAGGATCTTCAAGTCGCGAAGTAAGCTTGCAGACCATGAAGCCACTGGGACCCTACTCAATGATCCATAGATCCTAACTCCTACCATTTCGTCATTTTAGCGCGACCACCAGCTGATGTCACCGGCGAGTATTTATCCTCACTCCTAACCGGGTAAACCCCACTGGTCACAACCTCTCATCAGGACTCTAGGCGACTTTGTCCTTCAAAAGTTCACCTCTCTCCTGAAGAAGTAATTCATCTGTTCGACTTGTAGGCTCTGAATTGTTAATACTTCTCAAGTTATCAATAAATTCAGTTGGTTTTGACTCCAAAGCTTCTGCAAAACGTATGTGTAATATTTCATTTGTCATCTGTGTGTTGAAAATGCTTTGCATAAAACTCTTTCTATCTATTTATCCTCTTGCTTGGTTCAAGTTCACTTTTCTATCTGTCTTATCATTCTTTATCACTTTTTTTTTGTTTTTGTTAGATTTAGCTCGAGTGATAAATGTTTCACATGGTGTTGCATCAAAACGACACAGCAGTATATCAGGTTGTTCAAATGTTATAGATCATAACTCCAGTATGCCTAGTGGTGAACAACAAACTCAAATTACAGCAGATGTTATGCATCAGAATCTGATGTCTATCGCTGAAACCTGTTTAATGGCATCAGGTCAATTTATTACATGGGCATTGAAAAATCATTCACACAGCCTAACTGATGATGAATTACAAGAGGCTGCAGTTGTAGCTGATCAAGTAATCAATATTTTCGTTTTCATTCATTTATTTGCCTTTCAGTAGCAGTAGTGTTGATTTTTACGGGATGGAGTTGCTGCTAGCCTCCTGTCCAACCTTCCCACTTTACCAGTCTGATTACTGGCTTAGCGAGGTAAAGGAGTGCGGCATCGGCTGGGGATCAAACCCGGAACCACATGAGGCGGGGTTAGCGAGCATCCCACCGCTGTGCCACCGAAGCACTTTACAAGCTTACTACTGACTGACAAACTAAACGCGTTTAGGTGTGTGGATCAGCCGGGAATCGAACCCAGACTACATGCTTGACTGACAATCATTCTCTGTTGACTGGCATATTAAGCTGAGTGGTGTTTATAATCACCAATGGTATTTACATTGTTGCTGTCGATTATGTCATATGCTTTACTGTCATGCTCAATCTCTCTCTCTCTATGTATGTGAACCTATCATCGTGATTACTGATTGCTTGTTTCCAGCTAATTCAGTAGATTCATTCTTTTCATTTCTAGGATAAGTTCTGTCATCATCGTTGGAAGTATTATAATAGTGATGTGTATGTGTTATCATGTTGTACATATCGCCGAAAAATGACAACAAATCGTGTCAAACATGCCTGTGCATTATAATTGTTTACATTAATCATAATAAATAAATAAATAAATAAAATATAAGAAAATTCTTATAACAAAGTATACAATTAGGTTATACGATTGATTGTGTAAGTTAACTTTCAAATTTATCAAAATATCGCAAAGAAAAAATAAGAAGAATAACGCTAATTAAAACATAATTTATGCAGTGTGTAGTTAAAATGTTTATATTATTGATAAAGTTGTCTTCATTATACGACAAATATTGTTGTGTGTGTGTGTGTATACCTGCTTTTTTAGCGTTGTTTATTTTGTCTTTAATCCACTCCAACTATACATGCATGTGGTGGTACACATTGATCAGGTTAAATCTAGTTATGCTTTTATCATAGGTGAAATTAGATCATATCTGGTAATTAGTTGTATGTACTACTTATAGGATATTGATAGTATGTCTGTTTCTAGTAATAATAGATAGATAGGAATAGCATGAATTGTATGTAGTTGTAATTTGTATTAATGTATTTATTTATTTATTTTTGATGTTATTCTTACAAAGGTGTTAATTACGGTAACAGTTTTTGCTTTACATACATAATGGTAATTTACAGTATTGGTTTGTAAGGATTTGGTTGATTGGTTACAGGATTTTCATCATGAGCTGACATTAGTCAGAGGACCATTGGAAAACCCACCTGGGAGTATTGGACAGCTGTTTCATCCAAGTTTGGGACTCCTCATCAGTACGCACCCACCGGGGTCCGAACCTAGGACCTTCTGGTTCGAAGACGGGCTCGTAGACCATTGAGCCACTGGGACTCGACCCAATGGCTAGCCCATGAATACTAACTTCTGCCAATTCACGACATAGCGCGACCCCTAGCCAATGTCTTCGGCGAGTATTTGTTCTCACACCTGACCTGCCGCACCCTGCAGGTCACGATTTCTCACTAGAATCCCATGTAACTACCTACCTAAATAGGGCAAGTCACTAGTGAGCATCTCATTGATATTCAAGTGTTGGTTTGTAGGGATTTGATTGGTTACAGGATTTCATCACGAGCTGACATTAGTTAGAGAACCATTGGAAAACTTGGGATTATTGGACATCTGTTTCGTCCTAGTTAGGGACTCCCCATCAGTACGCACCCACCGGGGGTTCAAACCCAGGGCCTTCTGGTCCCGAACTAACTTCAATCAGAGAACCATTGAAAACCAGAGGTATTGGATAGTTGTTACACTCTATTTTGAAACTTTTCAGAAGTACATACCTTCAAAAAATAAAAAGGCAGGAGCATTCAGGTTACAGGACGAGCTTGTTGAGCATTCAGGCACTGGAAAGAAATCCAATGGCCCATGAATTCTAACTTCTGCCATTTTGCAATATAAATAGCGTGACTACCAGCCGATGTTATCGACTACTATTTGACCTCTAAATCACCTTGATGAACCACATTGGTCATGACTTCATACAATATCGTCCCATTGTCAGTCACTAGTGAGCACTAGATTAATTCTCAAGCGTTGAATTGATTGATTTCAAGGTTGGTGAATAACTGACTTCAGTGGAATGGTTAAAAAGCCTATCTTGTAACCTGAAGATCCTGGGTTCAATCACCGGTGTGTGGGATAATGGATGCGTACTGATGAAGAATCCCAGACAAGAACGAAACAGCTTTCCAATACTCTCTGGTTTTCAGTGGTTCTCTAAATGATGAAATTTTAAACCAATAAAATTTCTGCAAACCAGTACTTGGAAATTTTGATTTCACTAAGGAATTTACTTACTGTGGACAGATGTTTTGTGTACCAGGCTATGAGCTAGTGATACTGTCCACTTATGCATTGAGGCTTGACTATTAACTTGCTGAGCGAAGGTGCATAGTTTAAACTTGACTTGGAAAGTGACCGTTTTATTTAATGATTACAATTACACTGCCTATTTAATCTGTGAGTTTTGGACTTCTGATTTTCATGTACTGGGAACACGTAGTTTCTGTGTCATTTCCTCCTGTGGAAGGCTGAAAAACACACGCTTTCTTGTTGAAAAGGAATGGGTATAGTCAATACCCAGCTGTCAGATGAGAAATTCTTAAGATTATGTGAAAAATTGTCCGTAATACTTCATACTATTGCTTTGGTATTTATCTAGAGGACAAAGCTATTACTTCAGCATATTATGTAAGCATATTCTATTAGTTCGTAAAATTGGCATACATAGCTGCCGTGTTACCGTGGAATTGTTGTAGATCAGAGTTGAAAAGCAACCAGTCCTAGAAATGTCTGATGTTTCATTCACTTATCTCCTTTTGCGAATTTGATGAAGTAAAAATAACAGTTTATGCAGAACAACATGGAGTAGCATCATTTACTTCATTGGTTCCCCATCATCTGCGTACAACGTAAACTTTTAACGTATTTGGAAAGGTGAGGTGTTGTCAGTGAACAGAAGTCACCAAAAGTGATAAACGGTGTTCAGAAATCACACTTATATCACTTTATAAGGTTCAAGTTAAAACAAAACAAAACCAAAAAGAGTAATAATTGTTTGGAAACAGCGTAAATGGAGTTGTGTAATAAAGATGTCAATAAGATGATAAATAACTAATAAGTTGAGTAACAATGTGGGTGAGTTCAGCTCAAATCATAAAAACGAAAAACAACGAAATTGTACTATAGCAAGGGGAAGAGTTTAAAGCCAAAGACTACTGAATCAAATGAAAAGAAAATAATGGTTACTATACAAAGAATTTTCTTTTCGATAACTTCGTGATCAGGTTCTATAGTTATATATACATAATAGTCAGTGGATAACAGTTTGATAGCATCAACAAAACGATGCACTGAATATCAGAAAAATTAGGAAAAATAATAATACAGATTCATGCATTTAAAGCCTCTACTGAAGTCCAGGGCAGTAGTAGTGGCTGGACTTGCTTCTTCTGTACATGGAGCACCGGTTGCTTCAGGTGAATCGCGATAGCCTCTGCTGTTTGGAGTACGCGGTATATGGATGTTTTTGGCAATTCGTTTGGTACCCGGTGGTAGACTATGGAGAAGGACTCTTCAATGTTAGCTTTGTGGCCAGTTTTGACTAAGTCTTCTAATATCGAGCTGTTGATGCTTCTCACTACACCTTTATTTAACTATACCATGAAAAATCAAGTTTCCAGAGCAACGGCCAATATAACTCGTCCCATAAGTGTAGTTGAATCGGTAGATACAGTTAGAAGTGGCGAGTCTAGCTTCGATGTTATTTAAACATTAATGTTAATAATATCACTGATTCATTGACTACATTATGTATATATAGCTGTAGAACCTGATGATGAACTTATCGAAAACAATATTCTTTGTATAGTAACCATTCTTTTAAAAAAGAAAAGACACTGAGTTTCTGGGCCAGGAGAGACTAATGACTGCTTCTTTCCACACTCATAAATCTGATAGTGATCAAACAAACTTCTGAAATAAAAATTAAATATTCTTAGAAAATCTGGTTCCAATGGTTTCTAGTAAAGATGTCTTCTTCGCTTCATGCTTAATTTCTTATGTATCTGAGTAAGATGTAACATTACGCGGTATGGTTGACTAAAAAGTGTCAGCCTTCTTCAAATATCAGGAAGAATTTGAATCATCACTGCTTGCCATGGCTCTGCCTCTCTCTACTTTCGTTTCACCTCCTTCCGATTCCGCTTGTCACTAAACTTCTCTTCTTGTTACATCCGCTAGTTATGATTCCGTCTTGCAAAATTTCAAATCTAGTGAGATTAAAATGCATTTTTAATCCATGTTGAATTATTCATTGTCTTTTCTCTGTATTAAATTCTATGAGTGATCTTATCGATAGGAAATCTACTAACCTATAAACAGGTGTACTGTATTTTTGAAACAGGCACACATGACTGAAGTGTCCAATTCATTCGGTCTGACAAGTAAATGATGATGGTGATATAAAATTCTGTTTGTCAGTTTTTTCCATGAATAACTTAAAGGGGATTTTATAGGGCTTTTTACCCATACATTATTTGGTTTGGTTGCTGAGAAAATACATCGCACTGATCAAGGCACTCTACACGAACTCATGAAGCCAGCCAGGTGAGAGCCTATGGAGAGTTATCATCTGAAGTGGTGACAACTAGTAGTGTCCTTCAGGATGCCTATGTCCTCATTTCTGTCTAATTTTATCATAGACGTACTAAAGAACTTAACGCTAACTGACCCCAGCGACTCAGGAATTGACTGGTCACCAGGGTAGAGTCTTTTGAACACACTAAGTAGCAGTCTTCCAGTGTTTGGCATGCGATTCGCTCCCTTCAAATGTAAGATGACTGGACTACATCGACTACTCTTAGCTTTAAGAAAGGGAGTGAGTGAAGTGGTATCTTAGCGTGTTGTTGACAACTTCACTTATTTAGGAATTCGTATCAACCAACGCCAGTGGGTTGATCGCTCAGGGAATTTCATTACGGATAAGAAGGCTCGTTTGGCATATTCCAAGTTACGCCATCTCTGCTTAGTAGACGTGACATCCGGCTGGCTGTCGACCAATGGGCGTGTGTACTGTTCAGCAGCCCGCTCTATCCTCCTTTATGACTGTTAGCAAGACATGACCATTAAAAGTGAAAGGCATCGAAAGGCCAGTTAGCTGTGTTTGTTCACTGATGTCTGCGTTCCATCTCCCGTCTTAGGTGGTAGTATAATAGGGTGAGCAATATTGAAGTTAGTCATCGAGTTTAAAAATAGGGAGGGGAAATCAATCGATGCGGTTGTGAATTTACACCGATTCAGATGGTTATGGAGTGTTACGCATGCCCAACCATCGCCTTCCTCGAAGACGGCAATGTTAGCTGACATAGGATGGATCAGATTGAAAAACAGCCAGTGGTGGTCAAACGAAAACATGGCTTCATCAGTCAATGAAATCCATAACAGTTAGTTGAGGCCAGCCAGCCACGTCGGGAGGTGTAGACTGGCTGGCTGGTTGGGGTCCCCCGGATGGTAAGAACTGATAGCTGGAGACACTTGGTGATATGGCTCAAAATCGTTCTTGATGATGGCACAGATGAATTCACTCTTTGTGATTGGTCTTATCTGAAAGATTTCCAGTGTTCTTCCAAATTAGTATTCTTTTTGCCTCATTCACACTTCTGTTTATCATCTCTCTTTTGAATCTCTCTTTACTCTCTCTTGTCATGCTTTATCGGCTACATGGAGGGAGAGTGGTGAGTCAAGCTGCTGCACATCCGTGCAAAGTTCTGCCTTAAAACTAGTCAGTCAGACATACGGTATTTAGTTTACTGTTTGTGGTACCAAAAAAACAAAATCTTTTTAGAGATTTATTACTTTATTCAACCAAAGTGGATTTTAATTTTGATTAATGTTTATTTCTTGTCGTTAACTTTCCAGCTGAACACATCAATAAATGCTGTGCTGGGTTATATACCTGGAGAGGTAACAATACGACGTTATTCGCCCTACTTCGAGATGCTTCTAGAATAGTAGAAGTGTCTATTAATGAAGCCTCAGAGTCAGGAAATATTCATCGTAATCATACTGAACAAAATGTTGTGCCTGAATCACCACCAGCTGTTCCTATGCGTTCATCAAATCTACCAGTTATAGATATTTATGAACAAATGAGTGAAGCCGCTAAACAACTGGCTCGTGTAAGTAAACATTGTCTGCACGAATTTGTATTGGTCCTATTTGTTTTCTGTTATAAACTTGTAATTGTTGTCATTCAATTATGAGAATTAGTACTAAGAATCTTTGAACAATACGATAAGGAAATTTCTTTAGACTTGCGTATTCTCACTCCTTGTATTCCGAGTGCAACATGCTGTCTAGAAAGGCAATGTTAGTTTCGCAATTAGTCTATCCACCTCACAGAGTACAAGCACACCAATATAATTAATTCTCTGTTTACTGATACTTCTGTAGAAAGCATCAAGTTGTGAAAATTGGCTTTTGATCAAAAACGAGCCTATGAATTCGCTAAGAATCCTACTAAGAGTAAAGTATTGTCACAAGTATAACCAACTGCGTAGAGCTTTATCAGCAGACTTCTTTCTCCTGAAAAAATTAAGAAAGTACTCAATTTACTGATATTGAAATGTGTGTTTTACGTTATCAGACGGTTATTATTATTATTCCCTTGAGTTCCCAGTGGAACATCTCCACTATGTTCTATATTTTGCCGTCCTCTTCAACTGAGTTCACGATTACCTAAACTCTCTCTCGTCTCTTCCTCTCACGATCTCCTCCATATTACTCTAGGACGAACTACTCGTCGCCTAGTTAACCGGTTTGCTATTTTTCTTGCCGGCTCCAAGTTCGGGTAAAGAGGGATGTTTGGACGTAGGGTTAGCAACCCTACACCACTAAACCTATCAAACCGCTAGAGAAACTCCAACCCACAAAACATATATTAAAAATACAAAAAATTCAAAAAAATGATCTTATTCTTTCCTGGAATCGGAGAGGCTAAATGACGCGGGCTAGTGAAACCCTTCAGGAAGCCAGTCAGCTAGTCGATGTGTCTTCTCTCGATGAAAGTAAGAATAAGAATGGGGACGTGGAATGTCCGTACAATTTACTTGACTGGGAAGACTGCCCAAGTAACCAACGAAATGCGAAGATATGTCATAAAAAGTGCTGGGTATCTGCGAAAGCAGATGAAACGGATGTGGATTATCCAAATTGTCAACTGGAAAGTCTGTAATCTACTCCAGCCACCCAGACCTTAACCACGTACGTCACTACAAGACGAAGTTTATTTTAAAGTATTTTATATGCTTACCTAATACATTTCGAAAACTCCAACCACTCATCTGCTTCATTGATATAAGAATAAAACTTGTGCACTGTGGTAGAGTGTAATTCCATTATGGGTAAATTTTGTTTTGATAAAGTCTCACAGTGTTATACAGTAATGTTTACTGATGACGTTTCGAGCACAATTATTTATTGCTCATATATCATATCACTACTCATCTGCTTGGAAAACAATAAGGTTTTAAAACTTTGGTAAGTATGGGTGCCAGACTAGCATCTATTTCATATATAAAATTAAACACGTGGACGTGTTTTTCACCAAAGATCGATATTACAATTACCCTACAATTTTACAGAGAAAGGGCATCGCTCTACGTATCATTGATTGATTGAGTTGAGTAGTTGGATGCCACTCACACCAACCAGTAGTGCTTCTTTGCCAGTTAGATTGATATGATATAAACACTAGATGGCTGTTTCGCTCGTTTAGGCCCGAGCTGATCAGTGATTTACCTGGTTTGATATAGGTCAGAGATCCGAGTTAGTTCAAACCACCAGGATTCAGTTTAGGTATTTGGGTGAACTGGTGACACCGTAAATTGAATGCACAATCCGCAAATTAATTTGCAATTTTCACAGTTGAAGACGAATATTTCCCCATAGTTTTCTTTGGAAGCTGAGACTATTCAGATCACAATATATATGATTTTCCTGATACCATCAATGATAATGAAGAAAGCGAGCGTAAGTGCAATTAGCTAGCCAGGATTCGGTGGGTTTGAACTGAGTCCAACAGAGTTCAGCACCAAACGAGCAAAATTGCCGTCCGGTGTTTAGATCACTTCGATTTGTCTAGCAAACACTACTGGTTGGTGTGAGTGGTATCCTGTGATTCATCTCACTTAATCAGTAGTAGTATATTGGGTGACGCATTTATGCCCTGCTTTCTTGATTTTCCATTGATAGTATCAAATAGATTATATGTTGTGATCTAAATAATCTTCGCTTTCACTGGCAACTATCTTGAAATAATCACTTGGAAATGTGAAAACTGTGAACTAATTTGCAATCTATGAATTCGATTTGTGAAAAAAAATCTGTCATGTGTGCATACTAAAATATGCTGAAGCGATAAACTCTTTCGCATATCTAAAAACTATTCGGTATTTCATTTCTAAGATGGTTAAATATACGTCAAATGAGAGTTAGTATTCTTGTTAAGTATCCAAGTCCAGTGTTTTAAAAAGCCATAATTCCACTTGTTTTGATTAGCCGATTGCTGTTCTAGTGAAATGCAAGTGGAATGCAGAAACAAAACAGATAGCTGATCTATCTTAGTCTGTATTGCACAACAACCACTGAACAAGAACTAAATTGTAAACATTTGTTTGCGGATAGTATTGAAAAAAGCAATTATTGTGAAAGCATACTATTACATACTACTTACTAAGTAAATTTGTATAAGTTTAATTTCAATTTTGTCGTTGATTAATTATATTGAACTGAAATGCCTGGCTTCTGTTGACATATTGACTTCTAGTACGTACACTAAGATGACGGGTTGAGATAAAAATGATGTTACTTGTTTGGTAGTAGCTGGCTATCCAGCTGGCAGTGAAATTCAAAACGTACGTTTCGTCCATTTTGGATCTATCAGTTGTTATTCCTTGTAGTTTTGATTCTCCGTGGCCACTTGCTGTTGATGTGGCAGCTACCGGTGCGGATGTTTCGACAATACTTTGACGTTTGAAATGATGGCTGCTGGTCATCAGTCTCAGTTGAATGACCGTCACTCCTTTGGGGAGCAGGTGCATCCAGATGACCACTCTCAGGTCGGATGAAATTCGCGTTCTGAATTCTACTGCTTGCCATTCACTGACCAAGTAATATTAAGCATATTATTATTCCCTTGAGTTCCGAATGGAATATAGGGCTTCAACAACACATTTCCACTATGTTCTATATTCTGCCGTCCTCTTCAACTGAGTCCACGATTACCTAAACTCTCTCTCGTCTCTTCCTCTCACGATCCCCTCCATTTGTTTTCGGTGGCACAGTGGTTGGGACTCTCGCCGACCATACACATGGTCCGGGGTTCGAGCCCACGGCGAGGCACACCTGATATCTATGGTCGGCCTACAAAATTTGGACTACCGATATCCATTATGCTGAAAATTCCATACTTGTACCAAAAATACAGTGTGGAATCAAGCTGTAATGAAAAATAAAAAAATAGAATAAAATTATTGGAAATTTAAAGTCTAAATATCAGTATTTTCAACAGGGTAATATACTTATTGAACTGGTAGATACTGGAACTTGTTGATAGATGCGGCTGGTCTTAGTATTCAAATCAGTTGATACCCGTGAAACAAGAGTACTTGTAGCTCGTATCTCCATTCTAAACATTTTGTGCTATCCCGTTTTGTTCACGCTACTGGAATGAACGGTTAAGTTTTTAAGAATACCAGATCACTATTTTCTGTGTGAACCATGAAACAGAGGCTAAATGACGTCGCTTAACAGTTATTCCCTGTTTAATCAGCTTCACTGTTGTGTCGAGACAATTATACTAGTATGCATGCTGTGTAGTAGTGTTTTTTTTCTCAGCTTATACATAGTTTATTGATCTACACTCTTTGTTGTCTTATACAAATATTTATCTTGTATTTGTTGCAATAACGTGTAAGTCTTATTTCTTTTGCCTACTATTTGTTCTCTCCAAATTTTTAGGCATGTTTAAGTGCTAGTTATGAAGTTTCTGGTCAAATGAAACCATCAAAAACTGATTCATTCGGTTCGCATAGTAATCTTACCTTATTGGCTTGTATAGCCGACCGATTGACTAGCGCATTAGCTGATGTTGTTCGTGCTGCTGGTTATCGTAGTGCACAAATCCGGTCAATTGGTCATTTGTTAGCTAATTTTAATGAAGCTGCTGAACCTGTCGCTATCAACTTACAAAATGCAATGCATACTTTAGACTCGAATCAAAATGATACGAAGGTTAATAATATCTCTGGTATACCATCATCGAATTTAACACTTGGAAAGTCAATACTGTAAGTTTCTTTTCCTGTTGTTTCATGTGTCTGTAGTTTTTTTTTTAAATTTTTTATTTATTTGGAATTCTTGTTGTTGTTTAATTTTTTGGTGATGGACAAACAGAATCGATATAACTACACTTTTAGCAGAATAAATTGGTACCATCTTTTATTTCGTTACCTTCTCGTCAGCTGCTTACAGGCCAAAGACATTATTAAATATATCTACAACAACAATTTTAACATACTTGCACAGAGTTCATTTTTAAACAAAAATCAATCGATCAATATATGCATACAGTAATAATATATAATATTTATATATATGTAATATTAAACAATATTCCGAACAATAATAATCACACACAATGGAAGCTTTTTAGCATTTCGCATTCAGTTAGATATCTACGATTTACATGTACCAAAAAAGCTTATGTCTAAAGGGAACAAATGCTTTAAACAGAGCCATCGCCAGGCATCTCCTTGACACGGGTCATGAGGTGGACGTCGAAAAGTCGTTCAAAATTATCAACAAGCAAAAGAACTCAATTCTCCTCAAGTTTACTGAAGCCATTTCCATCAACCGCCTGAAAGCTGATTTATTCGTCCAGAAAGAAGCGGCTATCAGTCTTTCTTTGCCAACCTGGTAACTGGATATTTTCACCTCTCTTTCTTCCGAATGAGAAATGCTGAAAAGTTTGCATTGTGTATGATTATTATTGTTCCGAATAGTGTTTAATATTGCATATTTATATATGTATATATTTTTAGTGTATGCGTATATTGATCGATTGATTTTTGTTTAAAAATGAACTCTGTGCAAGTATGTTAAAATTGTTTATATATATATATATATATGTATATATATATATTGATTTTGGCCTGTAAGCAGCTGACAAGAAGGCAATGAACTAAAAGATGGTACCAATTTTATTCTGCTAAAACTGTAGTTCTTCCTTTGTTCAATTTCATTAAGGCGAATAAATGTATGAACAATCGATAGAATAGGGACTATGAGAAAAAAATAGATTTTTACACCAAGGTCATGCTTTATGGCTCTTCTCCAATGGATGCCTTGACTTCTTTTTCTTCATTATTTTTGCGTTCCGTGTGGCACATAGGGTCTCGAGCTTGAGCTGTGTGAAGCTTCATTAGCTGTGGTGCTTTTTTCTACGAGATAGGGTTGCTAGCTTCACATCCAGCCCTCTCCCTTTGCCAGGTTTACTAACCCGGCTAAGCGAGGTTGAGAAGTGATTCGGCTGGGTATCGAACCCAAGCCATGTTCGTAGTTGTTGAGGATTCTGCTATTGCACTACCAACAGACAGACCTTGTCTATTGGATATAGACATTGATGATACGGTTAATCCCACAAATCACTGAATCTATAAGTGTCATTTAGCAGGGCTGACTAAGCGATGGATTCGAAAGAATGCTTTGACTTAAACACATACCTAGTAATTATTATTATTTTATCCTTTAATTCCTAGAGGAACATAGGGCTTCAGCTGCGCATCTGCATTGCCTTCTGTTTTCTGCCAACTTTTTCACCCTGCTCCAAATCTGCCCACATATTTTCATCTCCTCTTCACATGACCTCCTCCAAGTCACCTTTGGACGACCAACTCGCCACTTCCCTTTCGGGTTTCACTCGAGCAACGGCTTGTTTACTGATGTCACTTGATGGTTTCCTCAGGGTATGGCCAATCCATCTCCATTTCTTCCTGCCTATCTGTTTCACAATCGGTTCCTGCAGGGTTGGTTTGCTCACTGCCAGAGATCCGTGTTGCTGCTCTTTTCTGGTTGGCCATCTGATCTTGAGTATTGAGCGAAGACAACTGTTAATGAAGGTTAATTGCAGGCTTTTAAATTAACACTAATCTCTGGGTGCCGGGAATCTAACTCATGAATTCCTTACTGAAGAAGCTATCACTATATGCACTTGTTGCAGATTACACTTTGCTATTCTTGAGACATCTGTAAAGTAGTGCTCACTGACTCAGTTAATCAAAATCCCATTTTTCTATTTCTCTATTGTTGTTCGCATGCAACTGTTGTTTATATTTGAACAGTTCACAAAATGACGAATTCTCATTGTCATTTGTAATGTAATTTGTGTGTCTGTCTGCTTTCAACGTAGAACTTTGCACCGATGTTCAGCAGTTCAAGTTGCCACACTCCATGTACCACACAAAGCAAGAGAAGAAAGTAAAAAGGAGTGCAAAATAGAGACAGTAGACAGGGATATGAAACATAAGGAATAGTAATAACGAAGAACAATATAGTTTCATTGGAAATCATAAGTCACAAGGAGTGGATGCATCTGCGCCAGCCATTGAGAACGATTTTGAGCCATATCACCAATTGTGTCTAGCCTTCATTGGTTTTCACCGTCTCGAGGACCACAACCAGTCAGGAAGTCTACACCTTCTTACGTGACTGGCTTAAACTAACTGTTGTAGATTTCATTTACTGGTGCCATGTTTTGGTTTGACCACCGCTAGATCTATTCTAGCCTGACTCTATGTCACCTACGATTGCCGGTCAACGAAGGCGATGACTAGACATCCGTAACACATGTTATGTAATCCATCAAATGTTAAGTTATATCAAGTTAATTCATAATTTTCATCTTGGTATGGGTTCGTGGATATGAAAGCTGGAAATTCAGTAACTTTATTCATTTTAATACTGTTCAAAGTTCCTACAGTTAGTCTACCAGATACCATAGAAGAATTCATACGAGAATTTACATTTGCTTTAATGGTTCGGGTTCTTTTATTTTCGTACCTATAATAAATTTGAAATTGACGCTGATGTATGACGACGAGCCATCGTGATTAACATTTCGTCGGTGGTTCACTGATAGAATCCTCATTTGCTATGTGCGAAGTTACTGTTTGAATTCAAGCCGTTACATTCTTATACCTTGCCTAGAGAATGGTAAGCCCTGAAGAGAAAGGAAGTTAGGTGTGAGACTGACAAGCTCACTGCGTAAAAAAATACCATCACTGCTGAAACTTCAAAAAGCGTGTGCAGTGTTATGTTCCACTTGAAACTCAAGGGATGAAAAAAGAAGTCGAAATTATCATAACTTTTGGTGTATATAGATACTCATCAGGTTATTGTTTTGTAAACTTCCATTTTTGTTGTTGTTTTGTTCTTTGAGCTGGATAGTTAATTTGCGAAGCTTTCATTGCCCTACTAATCAACATCTTCAGCGCACATTTCAATTTGAAGTGAACTTTTAGATTTCTTCACGAGTTTATTCGTCATCTCTCCTGGTGACCTTGAACGGGATTGGTTGCTTTTGTGTGTTTTCATACCTTCTAGAGAACACAACCACATCAAAATCATCCACCTGATCTACAAATCTTCTCCATCATTTTTAAACTTCCATTGTCTAAGTCATGTAAATCTCTTTATTCAGTGCATTGTCATATCTGCTTCATCCTAAATAATAATCTTTTGAGGTATTCTTTAAAAAAAGGTAGACAGTTTGAGCACAACACATTTGTACGTAGCATACAACTCCACCTAATTGGTTGAATCTGCTTTTCATTATTACCAAACTGAATGCATTACAAATAATCGCCGATGACATCGGCTAGTATTTCAAATTGTCAGAAGTTAAAATCCATGAGATTCCTTTCTTTTGATCAATAATCAATGAAGTCGCCTCTTGACCTGGAGTTCTTGAGATCGATCACTGATATGGGGTCATGGATGCGTACTGATGAAGAATTCCTAACTAGGGCGAAAAAGTTGTGCAGTACTCTTTGGTTTTCACTGATTCTCTAATTGAAATCATTTCGTGGTTTCACTTGAAACTAATCAAATCACTGCAAACGGAGACTTGAAAATTATTCATCATTTTGAAAACCGTGAAAAATTGAAAACAGAATAGCCTCTCCTTTCTACACCTTTATCGAGTTAATGAATACTACTTTATTTTTATCGCTGTGTTGATGATGTGTTTATTCTAGTTACATTGTTAATTTTGCTCTGAGTGGCTAAATGCTTCGATTATTAGCATTCAAACTAGTTTTGATCACAAAGTATCACTAGTTTAAGAAAGAATGGAAATGAAAGTGATATTTTGTCTTAGTTTCGGAATACTCGAAGATTCTCACCCAAGTAGTATCTAATCACTTCGCGAACATGTTATCAATCAAACATGTAGTCAAAACCCTGCGGTGTATGTTTCACAGATCTACTTATTTTAGAACCGAACAGTATATTATTTTTCCGATTGAACATAGGGATTCAATATTACACCTTTATTTCATCCTGTTATCTGCGGTCCCTTTGCAGCTGACCCCACGACTACCCAAGGATTTTCCATCCCATCACACGATCTCCTGTCTCTGTCACCTTCGGACCCATGCCCGAATTGTTGTTTCCCATTCGGGTTCCACTCGAGGACATGGCCTGGTACACGATATCACTTTAAGGTATCCTTAGAGTGTCTCCGACCAATCTCCATTTTCTTCGGCATGGTTGTTGAGTAATAGGTTCTCGCTTAATAAATGTACCGTAACATTAAATGTACTTTTATGTTTTTTATTAATTAACTGTGGATTGACATTAGTTTGCAAATGTCGTCAAGATTCGACTGATTACAGCTTGAGCAAATATTTTCCATAGTACGATAACATTCTATTTTATTTTAGGAAACTACGAGATTGGGCAATTGAATTAGATCAAAAAGCCTTGGGATTAAGAGAGAAAACATTTGCATCTCATGTTGACTCTCAACAATCTGTTCATCCATCCGTTGACCAAGATAATAATCATGAAGATGATAAATTATCTGAGATATTTATGCATATGCGTAATCAATGTGATGTATCACTGCGTCGATTGGATGCTATAATGAATCCAAATGTCTATAATGACGATAGAGAGAAGCTAGCTGGTAAAACTGACCAGTCAAAAGAGACGGATTGTACATTTTGTCCTATCCTTTTACCAATCAATGATTTAAATTATCCACAGTGTTGTGATATGGTCTGTGATATAGATAAGGTAAGATTGATATATGCATTTTTACTCTCTATAACTGACCATTAATTAATGTTAATTTGATATCATCGTCTAATGGCTAATAGTTTTTTGCATAAAAAATAATTGTCTAGTCAGCTTCGTTATATGTTCTCGTGTTAATAGTTCTGTTGGTTCGTAATGAATCGAGTAAATCTAATACACAACCTAAATACTTTAAAAATTAATCCAGTGCACATTTTTGATTGACTACAGGGTGGATTGTACTGACTTCTAATGACCTATAGGGTCGACGAAGTCAGGTGTGAGGACAGATACTTGCCGATGGCATGGATTGGTGATGGCACCATATTGCGAATTGATAAAAGTCCAAGGGTCATTGAAATCCAATCAATAAGGTCTCCTTCTAACCAAAGGGTCTTGAATACCTTCCTTGGGTGCCATTATGAATGTATCCCTTGAAGTCCGTCTAATCCTTCCAACCAAAACGCTTGAAAAAATCTCTCTGTAGTTTATTTGCTACTAGGTTATCAACAGAGGGAAGTATTTTCGTTGTCTCAGTGCATTTATATTATAATGGTATAAAGTATTTTAAATTTGGTTGCACCTATAATTTCATACAATTCCCCTGTCATTGTTATATTTCAAGAAAACAAGAACAATAAATGTACCAGTATAACATGAATTCGTTCTGATTATTTTGTGAATTCCTTTCAGAATCTTTCAACCTAAACAATACCAAACTACATAAATTACACGATAGGGTTTGAACATGCTTTTATCACATATTTTCAGGGTAATTTTGCATTTCTTATTGATTCATTATGTTGCTACGATACATTCTCTTTCTGTTGACATGTTGGTTCCTAGTACCGGAGGCTTTAACCGATGTCTGGGGAGTTATTTTTGTTGGTTATTGACTGGCTATATAATCCAACATAATCAATCAACGAGAAGTGCTAAATTAACTTGAAAAGAAACAGTAACTGACATCCCTTGCACAAAAGGTGTCTGTCACGGCTGTCGTGACCTAGTAACTAATGCTTTAGAGTTTGAAACGATGGATACTGGGTTCGAGTCCCAGTAAAAGCACCATCACTCACTGAGAATGCAGGCATATCCAGATGATGAGTCCCAAACTGGACGAAATGCTCATCCTGGATTGCGATGCTAGTCACCATCAACCAAAATATAATCTTATTACTTTCACAGCATATATATACATACGGTTTAATGTATTGAGTGAAGTAGTGCAGAATGTAATGTATGTATCGAAGTCTTCATGCCATTCTTCATAGAATCGGTACGGAATTATATCAATAAAATATCATATATTTGGATAGCGTTATTAAAAGACGGAGATTATCTGAAAAATGTGATGTATTTGCGCTATACATTTCGAACAATCTGATCACACACCTCAAAATGCCAGACTACTGACTTCTCCTTTAGGCATAAACGAGATCTACAAACACTAGTAAGCACTTATGAAGCCTGTAGCATTGAGGGGACTAAAATTGAAACTAAGTCTAATGCAAAATACTTCGGACTAGTTCTATCTTCCGACCTTACTTGGTCATCTCATATCCAAACGATTTCTAAGAAAGTGTTTCGTAACTTTTATCAGATTTTTAGTGATTACGTTCGACTAAAGTTCATGATCGTAGATGACTGAATATATAAAATATATATGTGTATATGTGGTATATATTGATGTGCGTGTGTTCATGTGTATATGGGGAAAGCAATTGTAAATCATTTGTTAGCCTCTCCATAAGAAGATATAGACAATCGGGAATTTAGATTACTCTATGATTAATCAGTGATATATATCCATTTTTATCTATTAATCCGGACTTGTCATGCATCAACTAATACCACACCTTCACGTCTGTTCAAACTGTTGGGATTCACCCATATATGTAGGGCTTCCGCAGTCAGTCGTTCTTTATACGAACCAAAAACTTTCTGTAGAACCTTAGTCCCATCAGAGTCTATCTTGTGTCCCGTTTCTATCCAGTGCAGTACAGTCTCTGATCTGTTTTCTAGCTTCTTTAAGTGTGCAGAGGTCTTGGGAACCACCTTTAGACATTGTTTGTGCTCCTTCACTCTTACATTTACCTGTCTAGAAGTTTCTGCTACATATACGGCGCCACAATCCCCACAATTGATCTGGTACACTCAGTTCTGTTGGTTGTCTTCTATTTTAACCTTAACGTTTCACCAGTGATGAGCGTAAGGTATTAGTTGCACGAAAATACATTCTTATGTCATTTGATGTTTTTCTTTGAGTTAAGGTATCACCACTGTACTAACCTAATTCTTAGCAACAGGTTTCGATTCATCCTTATCTTCACATTTTAAATATCTTTTTACAAAGGCTTTGTGATAATTATTTGATTCCAGAGTGAATTGAGCCAATTTTAGTTCCTTGCTGATCTCATTAAATAGACATTTGGTTCTGTTAATCAGATTCTTGGCCATAGTTACTTTGGTGGTAAAGGGGTCTGCTGAAAAGTAGTCTAGGAATCTTTCCGAATCTGTTGGCTTTCCAAAAGTATTCTAACCAGTTTGCCAAGCGAAATGTTGGAATAACTCATTTCACTTCCGCTGAGATTTTAGAAATACATAATTTTTACATTGTCTACTTCTCATTCGGCGCCCAATTGTGTTTTGAACTATTCGGTCAAATCTTGATCACATCTCACATGAATTATTCACATTCGTTTAAGTAAAGAGAAGTTGTGTAAAGGGAATTATACGCTGTCAATTGGGAAATCTGGTTACCTTTAAATTGTTGCTTGATATGATCATCAGCCCACATTTTTCATGTATCGTTTCAAATTAAGGGAGGAAAACCTTTCCTTGGAGCGCACATCAAATCAATAAAGTTCAAATTATGAAGACAGCTCATAGTGAATGCTGTATGACATGATACTTCAAAGATAACTATTTTTCCAACCGGAAATGTAATATTATCCTGGCGGCCGAAAAGCAATTAAGCAAAACCAAGCTTTAGAAAACATAATAATAATAAAGTAGAAATGCTTATGAGAGAAAGTGAATACGGGTTTTCACTTATTCTGAATGTGTAATGCGAATCACTGTGATAGCATACTTCTGAAAACCTTATAATCCAGCTCACATTCATCTTAGGATATACGTGCATTGGAAAATTCTTTTTTTTCGACCTACAAACCTTGTTGATTTTGTGCAAGGTGCCTACTCATCACCCTTTAAATATAGTTCACATAAAATCAGTCAGTAAACGAATCGGATACCTGTGAAAGTCTAGAATTGAATGCTGTTCATACCATTAATGTTTGTGTTCAGTATTCTATGCGTTGCACCATGTGAATACTATATTTACATTCCTTTTTTACTTCTTTTGTTTATCCGTGTAGGAGTTCAATGGACACTTAGATGTGATTCCTTCATCAATATCTGACAATGAAGCTGCCTTATTTATACAATCTATTAAAGGCTTAGCTCAGGTTGCTAATCACTTAGTACAAGTAACCTATCAAGCTGCTTATTTGATAGCTGCAGCTCATCCAGCTTCAAGACCAGGTCATGTGAGTCGATTTACTTCACCGGATCAATTAACTATTATACATGATCATGTAGCAGCTATTCGTCAAGGTGTTAGTGAAATATCTAGATCTCATGTTGAAGCATCATCTAATGGATTACCATCTTTAGAAGTAAGTAAACTGCTTTTTTTCTTGCAAACAAAATAAATTTCGAATTGAACATGTTTTCAAAGGTACTCTTTCTGTATTTGTCTTTCTAGTTTTGTAAACTACGATTTTATCACTTGCAAATAGGCTCTGCGTCTAGATAGGTAATAACAACGAAAGGTTGAGGATGAGGCAGTAACTCATCGAAGAAGACATTGCGAAATGGTCGTGCTATTTCGTGAATTAGCAGAAGTTAGAATTCAAGGAACATTGGATCGGGTCCCAGTGGCTCCATGGTCCACCACCCCGCCTCGTAACCGGAAGGTCCTGAGTTCAAACCCTGGTATGTGCGTACTGATGGAGAGTTCCAAACTAGGACGAAACAGCTGTTCAGTACTCCCAGACCTTCCAGTGGTTCTGTAACTGATGTCAGCTTATGATGAAATCCTCCATCCAATCAAGCAAAATCCCTACAAAACTAGTACTTGAAAACAACAATGAAACTTTACTAGTTGTTTGCATAGCTGTCCATTTGGAGGAGCAAGCGTCATTGTGTGTCGAACTACTTTACTACTATCTCATTATTGATTATTATTCCTTCTTTGGGTTCCTAGTGGAATATATGGCTTCAGCAGTATATCTGTATTTTACTCTGCTCTGTGCTACCACTTTCAACTGACTCCTTGATTGCCTACAAGCTTTTGTCTCCTCGGTACATGACCGTTTTCATGTCACCTTCGGACATCAAACATGTTCCTTCAAATTCGAGTTCAAATTGGGAGCCTGGCGTTTGATGTCAAATCTATTTCCATTTCACCCTACATATTTGTTGGTTAGTAGGAGGTTCTTGCTTGGTTTGCTGTCTGCCCCAGACCTCCTTGTTACTCATCATTCTCGGTCAGTCAGTCAATCTTGAGAATCGAGTGAGGGCATCTGTTGATGAAAGTCTGTTAGAAATGCCTTTATAAACACTTCAAGTCTCTGAACCGTATAGATGTGTTGAAAATTCAAATCTTTATCTGCCTGGCACAAATTATTCCTTGTTGTTTTAGATGATAAGCTGGGATAAGCTATGCTTTTAAATAGGCGTTTCAGTGTTAAATGTCAAGAATCAATCTCTTTCCTGATTAGGTTTTTCTGCCTACGGATAGGCCATCATTAAGATTTAGGCTTAATCACGAGGATAGTTGTATTCTGTGTTGGACTCGAGCCCGTATCACTGACTGCTAGAATCAGAAACATTACATATATGGTAGGCAGAGGTTAGGATTACTATGTTACAACAATAAGCAAGTACCACTGGCTTGTTAATCAGTCACTTTAATCCATATGTCTCAAGTTATTCAAAGATCCCATTAAATTAATGTCAGAATTACCACTGTTTACCCTATAGTTATTTCATTGAGTATTGAATTATAGCATCATGAGCTGCCATTGGTTAGAGAACCATTGGAAAACCACCTGGGAGTACTGGACAACTGTTTCGTCCTAGTTTGGGAATCTTCGTCAGTACTCACCCGCCGGGGTTCGAACCTGGGATCTTCTGGTTACAAGGCGAGATCGTAGACCATTATTTATTTTTTATTTATGTAATTCCTTTCGTGTTCTGAGTGGAACATAAGGCTTCAAGCTTCAACTTTCAAGTTCGAGTAGCAGTAATGTCTTTACGGGATGGGGTTGCTAGCCCCACGTGCAACCTCCCCTCTTTGTCGGGTTTACAACGGACTAAGTGGTGTAAAGGTCTGCACCTTCCGGAGATCGAACACCCGACCACATGCATAGTTGGCAAGCATCCTACCGCTGAATCACCGACGCACACGTGGAATATAATCTCTACTATATACCCTTTTTCACCAAACCCTTGAGGTTTACATTACTGAATACACAAGCATAACATTAGTGTTGTAAAAGCTTGTATCAGTTTACACTGACATTTCAACTGGTTGCATCACAGTATTAAGTGGAGTAGGCTTTTAAAAAAAGTGAATTTATTTGATAATGTTTCAGTGTTATGCAGTATTATTTACTGATGGCATTTCGAGCACAGTTTAGTGCTCATAATCCTTTGATTGGACACTAGTAAATTGTGTGATGTGTCTAGTCCTTTATTCGGGGCAGACTGAATTCTATCACTCAGGTTTGCGATGTGACCACCATTCTAGGTAGTTCACGGTCACGGTGTACATTGATTTGTTGATATTAAATGGTTGGAGGCAATCTGCAAGAAGCCTTCGACCTAAGTTTCGTGCTAGTTGGCACTCACCAGTCAACAAGGCGTATCTGCAACCTTAAAGAAGTCCATGTCCCTTCTTAGATTCTGTGCTTGAAACGTCACGAGTAAGCAATACTGTGTAACACTGTGTGCTTTCATCAAATAAACTTACTCTATGAAGGAATTATATTCTACTGCAGTGCCCAAGTTCTGTTATTATACCATTTTAAAAAAGGTATTATACATTTACCACTTATCTGTGTGTAGTAGCTCTTCACACTACTGAGATCAATAGACGTTGAGTTTATGGAAGAATATCATGAATATTTCTAATTATGCTTATAATACCCTGCACAACTATTTATTGCATTCAGAAATGTCTGTTGAGATGTTTTTGTGGTTAACGGGATAAGTACATCATTTATTTATGTATAAGTCACAATGAAGCGTAAGGATAAAAGCTAACGCGAGGTGTTTTCACGCCTACTGTATCAAACACTACAGCAAATATAACATCTGAGTAAAAAAATGCGCAGTTGATTAAGCACTTCTACAAAGGTGAACCATGTAACATCTGATATGAATGCCGCGTTCCTTTAAAAACGCAAAGAAAGACCAACTCTACATGTGGAAATTCAAACTATAATTGACCGCCTTCGTTTAGCCTATTCAGATATATCGACACGAAAGCGCGGCAATTTTGTTTTGTAATAACTTATAATGTTCACCCAACGATTAAATTTTAATGTTTTTATTCATTTCCCTTGTACTTATAATAAAATTCAACTGTTTTTTCCACTGATCAAAACAGTGGAATTCATTGCATTATTTATGTATAAATCCCACCTGTTGTGTAAAAAGCAGAATTCTATCAAGCGTTGCACATTAGACTTCATTCATTCATTTTACCGCCATGCTTCAATAATAGCCCAATTTAAGTAACATGGTAAAGAAAGGAAAGTTGGCAAAGTTAAGGTATCATAGCTAAAGTCAAGGTGTTCCACAAGTTGACCTTCAAGAACCAATCAGATACAGGGAATGCTATGAAAAGTCATTTCAAATCAAATCATGCCTGGGTTTTTTGACCTGGATAGGATAAATACAGTATGCCACTTATTTACTAGCTACTTTTTCTGTAAATCTACTATGTTAGGTAGGCTTATGACTGACTTTTAAGATGACGGTTTAAGCTCTACGATCAGGTTTAGGAGTTGGGATTATGGTTGAAGTTAGGGGTAGGTTGAAGAACAGTATCATAAATACCAATGAATCTCAAAGTGCCATGACCTACAGTCACCTGGATGAGTGGATACATCGTGCATGGTATGATTTGTCTCTAGATTATCTATGTATTAACTGGAAGACGTTCTTACGTCACATAAAATACAGCTATAAAGTATAAAGTCATGTTTGCAATGTTTTTTTAGCGTATTTTTCGACAGTAATGCGACTTTTTTGCATCTGAATTCTGATTGGTTGTTCAAGGTCACTGTGGTCTTGGTTATGATGGTTTAACCTTGCCGGAAAGTTTGAATAAGTAGTAATTTTGTACTGATGCCTTATTGATGATTTACTGACTTGACTTCCGGTCACTGAATATGAGTTTTAAAACCTAGTTAATAACATACTTTAGTGTGAGCTGCCCTGTATAGAGTGTTGTATATGACTCATCATCCTCGACTTCATTGAGTGACACTGTTTAACATTAAAGTGTAACACAAAAGTACTTTTACCTGTTACTATTAAGAGCTGTTTGTTAACTTTCAATACCTTCTAGTCACAGCATCCGTTTGTGTATATATCTCAGTACCGTTTTTTCTAAGAAGTAATTTCCGCACCAAGTACTAACGCAACTTGTAAGTGAGATCACAAAATAACAAGTAGGATTGCAACAGTTATTGGTATATTATCACAATAATCGAAATTCAGACTAATAATCAGACACACAGTAATAGTATTAGTTTTCTATAGTTTTGGTTTGTAAGGATTAGTTATGTTTTACGAGTTGATCACGGATTGATATCAGTTAGAGAACCATTGAAAACCAGGAGTACTGGACAGCTGCTGTTTCATCCTAGTTTGGGAATCATCGGCAGTACGCACCCACTGGGTTTCGAACCCAGGACCTTCCGGTTACAAGGCAAGCTCGTATACCATTCAGCCACTGGGACCCGATTCAATGGCTCGTGAATTCTAACTTCTACGAATTCGTGATTTAGCGTGACCCCAACCATTGTCGTTGGTGGGACATCCATCCACACACGTGACATCTAATTGGACCTCACTAGTCACGACTTCTCACTAGAACTCAGGAAACTCCAACCTGTGGCTGAATGGTATACGAGCTTGCCTTGTAACCGGAAGGTCCTGGGTTCGAACCCAGTGGGTGCGTACTGCCGATGATTCCCAAACTAGGATGAAACAGCAGCTGTCCAGTACTCCCTGGTTTTCAATGGTTCTCTAACTGATATCAATCCGTGATCAACTCGTAAAAATAGTATTAGTGTTTATGTATCGATCAGGAGAACTCAAGCGTACAACACTAACAAAGGTAAAGTTAGAAATTATTAGCAGAATGGTGGGAACAACTGCTAGAACTAGAATAATGAAGCAGACTGTCATCACATGCGCCTGTATTTACTAGACTGGAAACCAAATTAGCTAACCTGAATGACTCATTGTCTCTATCATTTCAACTGCTCCTGTGATATCAGTTATATTGACCGTTGATCTAGGATCTTAATTTTCACGCGTGAGAACACCAACCAGTGTATCTAAATAAAGGTGTAGTTAAAGCTGTCAAAAGTTCAGATATTCAATCACCTCATCCAAACAGATCACACAGCTGGCAGCATTGAAGAGTCTTTTTATATCATCTATTGAATGCCGAATAAATTGCCGAAGGCGTGTAAATACGTGCAACACTCTAAACCAGCAGATGCAATTGCAATTCGCTCAAAACAGTCGGAACTGTGTTTGGTGCAAAAGAAGCAGGTCTAGCCACTATTGCTACTTTCTGGCCTTCTGTGGAACCAGTGAATTTATAAATTCTGTTTTATTTTTCTTAATCTATCTGATATTCACTTTAATACTAAATTTTAATGCTATAACATCACTTATAGATGCTTTCAAACTGTAATTTATCGACATTAATGACTCAGTGTAATTTAAAACTTGGATCCTGTTAGTAACAGTAATTCTTTATTCAGGTGTTGGTTTGCAGGGATTTGATTGGTTACAGAACTTCATCATGAGCTGGTATTGCTTAGAGAACTATTGGAAAACCTGGGAGTACTGGGTATCTATTTCGTCCTAGTTTGCGACTCTTCAACAATATGCACCCTATGATCAATCAAATCTCTACAAACTAACGATTGTATATCAGTTTGAAACTTATTAGTGAATAGCCCTATTCAGGTAGGTAGTTACTTGGATTCTAGTGAGAAGTCGTGACCAGTGGGGTACAGCAGGTGGGGTGTGAGGACAAATACTCGCCACAGATAACATTGGCTAGAGGTCGTGCTATACCATGAATTGGCAGAAGTTAGAATTCTTGAACCACTGGGTCACGTCCCTGTCACTGAATGGTCTACTAGCTAGCCTCGTAACCGGAAGGTCCTGGGTTCGAATCCCGGTGGGCGCGCACCGATGAAGAGCCCCAGACTACGGCGAAACAGCTGTGCAGTACTCGTTGCAGCTTTCCCAATGGCTCTCTAACTGATTTCACCTCACAATGAAATCCAATAATTCTTTAATTGTTACAGTCTTATTACTGTATAACTTGATGAAGTTGTCGAAAAGAATATTCTTTCTGTTCACTAGTCGGTTTGACAGAATAATCAAGTCAAATTATTTACAGATCAGTACAATTTTGTGGGGTGTTTTTTCATTTTAAAAGTGATTACAAGTTACTATTTGTGGTATTTTAATCCATTTTATTCTTTTTTTAAAAAAATTAGATTTTAAACACAGCTAATCATGTGGCACAAAGAGCAACACAACTATGCCAAACTACTCGACCGTATTTATCTGAAATCAGAAATGTATGTGAAAAACGACGTCTAGCTGATGTAAGTGTTTACTTATCACCTGATCTTTAACTTGACATTTTTGTGACGACTTTCTTTGCTTAATTCGAAAGGTGAATCCCTCATTATTAATTGGTCAATTTCAGTCGATGGGTCACAGATTCGAATCCAAATTCACCTACTTCTGAATGGGCAACTGGGTAATATCATCAGCCCTTACACAATAAATGTGGCTGCCAACTTGATACATAAAAAAATCTGTAATTGAGCTTTCAGAAATTGATTGTCTTAGGTAGGTCAGTCACACTTTGAATCGATGACTAATCAAAAACTGAAGAATTCTTAAGAGTGCTGATAAACAATACCTGTAGATACACCAGTTTGAATGAACATCAATATGACACAATTAAAATCGAAAGATATTCGATGTTGTAGACAACATATCCATATAGATGCAATTTGATATGTTTAGTACTGAAGCTTGAGGTCTCGATATGATTATGGAGCAACACTTACTGTCACAGATACCAGTAAGAATTCTGAAGTCACCCAAATAAATGTCTCATAAAAATTTTTCCAATTCACAATTTAATATTAGATATCTAGATAATATGTTACGTATATCATTACGTGACTATAACAACGGATTCTGTCATTACAGTTAGCATCGTTGTTAGGGTTTGTGTTATGACGTCGCTGAGTGTGAGTACGAATGCTAACTTAGTAAATAAACGCTAGATAATTTCTTGGTTGGTCATTCCTTCACCCAAAGTAGGTCGAATCCAGAAGCTTAACACAGTAGGATCGGAAACGTATCATTCCAAAACAAGCGAGAGAAAAAGTGACCAAGATTACAAAAATATATGGTATATATCGATCCAGTTACAAGGCTGGAATAGTAGACGTTAACTGCATTCTGGATCCTTATTGGTTGACTCCTATCATGTGACAACATGTGATTTGTCTTTATCCGACTAACAGTGTAATGAGATAGATTAAAGACAAATATCAGACTGACCGACTGATGAAATGAATTGTGGGGTACATATCCGTATGCTATATTATCATCAGTCATTCTAAAAGTTCATCTCATCTTTGAAGTCAACGTTGAACGTGTCGCCTGGAAAGACAATGAGAGCTTCCCAGTGAAGACATCGAGTTTAGTGAACATAACTACATGAATAAAACTTGGAAACGACAGGTTGGAAGTTGACTAATGTGCGTTTTTAAGGGAAAGATTGCAGTTTGAGTAGCTAAGTTTTCAAACTGTTTACTATTCGCAGCTGATACCAATAACAACATGTGGACCAGACAGTAGTTATTCGTCACTGAAGAATAGGCTAAATATCCTATTAGTTATCAGTTGCTATTCCTACATCAAATGCCTCGGTGGTTCGGCTGTAGAATGCTCACTAACCACAACCGTGGTCCGCGGTTCGACTTCCACCTGACTCACAACATCACACCTAGTCGGTAGCAAGCTCGGAAAAAAGGGAAGGTTGTTTGTAGGGCTGACAACCTCACCTCTGTAAAAAAAAAAACGGCACCACCTCTACTGAAACTTCAAGGCATCAACTCTAGAGCCGTATATTCTACTCGGAACGCAAGGAATGAAAGAAAACACAACTTCCAACATATAAGTCTTCTGTTTATCGTGAAGAAACGACTGTTTCTTTAAAAACAATATCTATCCTTCAGAGTAAATTATTATTTTGTTATTAATATAATTTTGCATATATCTAAAATTACCTGTCTGGTTTGTCGTACACTTAATGATGTCGAGGTTACTTTGGTTTGTTTGTTCGTTTGCTGGCGTGCTTGCTTGCATTTCTTGTTATTTCACCTTATGATTGAATCATTCCAGTAAAGCATCAACTTATCTCTCCATCTATGAACCATGCATATTTGTTTCTATCATTGCATAATTTATGATACACTTTGACAAGTGTTATTCACTTATTTCTATCTCTACTTTCCACTCTACTGTATCTATCTCTCTGTCTCTCTGGCTGACTATTTGACTGATATATGTATATGATGGTGCTATCCGTGTCTTACCACATGTCCTGTGTATCCATTTTCTTCTCATCATACAGAGATACCAAAAGCTAGTCTCGTGTAAATAAGGCTAGTTAGTGGTGGTTACATTTAGTTATAGAGAAACGCAACAAGGCTTATTATGATTTCAGTATTTTGTAATGTCGCGTTCTCCGAGTTACATGGTTTCAGTAAACTTAATAGTGAAGAGGTGTGGTCTAGAAGGACAATGTAAGCTTTGCGATTAAATTCCCCACCTAAGAAAGGATACAACAATACCAGATGTATCCACCTGAACTATAAATCTCCTTCATTATTTCCTAGTAGTAGAATTCTCTCCATCCAAGTAAAATGTACAGGTTCAGTTGCCGGCTGAAGCATTCCTAAACCTCGCCTAGTTCACTCATCACTAGCCGGTGGTAAGCCCGGAAAAGAGACAGAAGCTTGACTGTCAGATTACCAACAGTAATTCACATAAAAACAATACCACCACTACTGGGACTTCAAAACTTGAGGCCCTGTATTCCGCATGGAGCCCAAGGATTAAGAGAATGATAATCTGATAATTCTAAGGCCAAGGAGGAAATTGTGTATTGTACTCAACATACACACGCCTTTGTTTAACATAGATTTCATCATCCATGAATTTGACAACATTGAATAGTTGTCAAGCTTAATATTATTAAACAGTTGCTGAGGGAAAATGGTTATCTAGAAAAGTTTATTGGTAAGAATATGAATCTAAATTCAAAGCAGCCCAAGATACCAACAGTTCCAAAAAAGGCCTTATTTTTCAAACTTCAGCTTCTCGGTGATAACATCAACGAGATATTAACTCAACGCCTTAGGAATGCGGTAAAAGGAGTATTCCCTGCTGCTGAATTACACTGTGTCTTCAAAACTACTCCTCTTTTGCGTTCGGGAGTAAAAGATAAACTGCCTAATTTCGCCTCTTCTATTTGTATCTACCAATTTGACTGTTTCTGTGCAGCCAGTTACATATGCTGTACAATTAGGCGTGTTTCTCGACGGATTTCCGGACATCACCCTGCGTGATTAAGTAAAGGGCAAACAAAATCCATTTATAGCGCTATTCTATCTCATCTTGTGGATACAGAACACAAGATTCATTTTAACGAGGCTTTCAAAGTCATCTACAGCATACCAACTAATCTTAACTATACCTTAAGAGTTCATCTACTAAATATTGTTGAGGCTGTCAGGATCCACTTTAAGAAACCTAACTAATGTATCCAAAATAAGTTGGTTGGTTGAGACACTGTCCTTACTTTGGCCGCCAAGGTTTTAATAATCCTTAATTTGTCGTGTAAATTTCCTTAATTTTATTTGATATTCTACTTATTATTGTATTTCTACGCTTATTATAATTGATGTGTCTTTCGTGAACTGCAATTTCAGTGACCTTACTTAGCAAATCGATAGTATTTAAAAACACCAATATTTTTGATGGCGATTATTCTAGAATATTCTATTTATATAAACTTATATATAACTGTAAATCCAGAAGAGGGAATTATCGCAAAGGATATTCTTTGCACAATTTTTTGTTTTTTCTGATTGTTAAGTGTTAGTTTGCAGGGATTTGATTAGTTACTGGATTGGTCACGAGTTGAAATCAGTTGAAAAAAGAAATATGATAAAGCCTGAGAGTACTGGACAGCCGTTTCGTCCTATTTTGGAGCTCCCCAGCAGTGCACATTCACCACCGGGGTTCGAACCCAGCACCCCAGTTACGAGGCGGGCTCGTAGATCACTAAGCCACTTGGACCTGACTCAATGGTCCATGAATTGCAACTTCTGCCAATTAGCTTAACCACCCGCCAATGTCACGAGCTAGTAACTATCCTATTGTCTGACTTGGTGGACCCCGCTAGCTATGAATTCCCATTAGAACCTCAGGTAACTTCCTGTGTAAGGCCAGTCGCTATTGAGCATCACATTAATTGTCAAGTGTTGGTTTGCAAGGGTTTGATAATCGTTTGTTTACAAGTCGAGCTTGTAGACGATGAAGCCATCGGGATCCGATCCAAGCACCCATGAATTCTAACTTCTGTCCAGTTCTAACAGATTTTCTAATGGTTCTCTAATTGATGTCAGCCCGTGACCACTCCTGTCACTTTAAATAACTTCAGTTGAATTTACACAACATTCCATCGCAAAATAATTCGTATTCTACGGGTGTCTTATCCTACCTGCAACTACTCATGCTGAGAATTGTGACCAATTATTTTGTGATGATAATCATAGCTCAATATCAAGCGACGAAAAAGGTTATATGATTTATAAAATACTCCATAGAATGTGTAGATCTTGGAAAGGGATGTAAAATTTTAAGGGGATTAATATAATTGGCAGAAAAGTAAAAATAATGCGTAACAAGGTGAGAAGTTTGTTAAAAAAACATACTGAATTAATATAATAAGTGGGCTGGTGAAATGTTGCGCAATGTTTCTATTCGCCTACCAGTCCTATTAATTTCACACCCCTATTCTAGATCTGTAGATTTTAAATGTCACATAACCCGCTTCATCGCTTGACATTTAATTATTGTGGCGTGTGCTACTTATAAGACTTATCAGTGGTAAATAAAGAGACGTTCATAGGCATAAAAACGTCAAATAGCAGGGAGATAGATTTGACGTCAGGGAAAGCAAATGGTACAGCTTGGCGGAGATACATGGAAGACGTGAAAAGGAAGACAAAGAAACACAATATGAAGGAAGGTGGGAAGTAGCACAACACGGAAGATCTGTACGTTGAAGATAAGGTGTACATAATTTGGTTATATTGAGATACCAACTTCCAAGTAGACATTCCTTTACAAAGTCTTTTATCTTCTGATTGTAATCACAAATATTTTATCAAAATTCAAACTATTGTTAGTATTAAGAGAATTCATACTGAATTAAATTCCCGATTGGCAGATTATTTTACCACTTACAATTTACACAGTTCGGGGTGAAACTTCGCCACAGTATCCTTCGGAGATCGGAATTTTTCTGACTACATTGTGTATTCTGCTTCATGTCATAAATGACAATCAAGGAAGCAAGGATAAATGCATGACACTGTATACTACTGATTGTTTGATGTTGGTGGTGTTGAGCTCATCAACGGTAATTCAGTTCTCAGGGACGATGTCAGTGGTATCCGACTACTCATATCGATCCGTCAGTAATAGATAGCATTAAGAATTCACACCTCTTGGTTAAATTTGAACACTGGACGTAGTTTCTCAAAATATATATATATATATATATATATATATATATATATATATATATATATATATATATAATAAAGAGACCCACTCCTCAACTCGTCACTACTTCTTTTTCATTTTTTTCCTTCACGTTCCCCAGTGGAACATAGGGCTTCAAGCTTGTGACTTTAAGTTTCTGTAGCAGAGTTTATTTTACAGGATGGGGTTGCTAGCCTCATGCCCAACCTTTCCTCTTTACCAGCATTACTTCTGGCTTAGCGAGGTAAAGGAGTGCGTTCGTGGCCGGGGAACGAACCCTGGACCATGTGCTTGGTTGGCGAGCGTGCTAACCGCTATGCCACCGACGCAACTTGTCACTAAGAAAGACGTATATATGAAGCTACCGTATATGGGTGATCATAGCAGTTTGCTAAGTCGACAAAGATTAAACGCTGCGGTTAAAAAATACTTTTTATGTAGCCAAGATCATAATAATTGAGAATGTGAAGCCCATATATCCATCTAAATCCTTAGAACATGCGACAAATGACGTCACATCCCACTGTATTTACCAATTTAAATGTACATGTGAACACACATACTTAGGGAGGACTCATCGATCCCTGAAAGAAAAGGCTTCAGGGCATATTCTTAAATGGCTTCAGAATCAAATTGAATCCCCATAACCCATTAATGGTGAGAATAATAGACCTAGCTCCTCTATTGCAAAACATATTATAGAGACAGGACATAAATTTGACGTTAACAGATCTTTTAAACCTATCTATAAAACGTGTTTGGGGCGTATCCTAAAGTTTGTGTTAGAAAGTTCAAACCACCTTTATCCGTTCAAAAACAATTCGTCATCACACTAAACCTTCCTTGGTAAAGTTTGTTTTGATACCATAGCAGATGTACTATTACCTCTGTTATATGGTTTACTGATCTTCATTGTTGTTTTGACCTTCAATATGTCCTTAAGTCTATTTTCTCACCTCTTAACCGTTTATTACTTTCATATACATTCCTATGACAAGTCCGTGTGTGATCAGATTGTTCGAAATGTGTAGCGCAGTTACATGACACACGATTCAGACAAATTACGTCTTCTTATTGCTTTTTCTAACTTCATAAAGGGGACTAATTGTTTTAAATAAATTGTATATAATTAAATGATTTTTAATGAAAATGTTGGCTATTTAACTTTTTTATCTGTTGTAATGTCAGTTGTTAGAACATGTTGCACGATCTGCTGCTGCTGTATTCACCGTCATTAAAACATCACGTAGTACAAATCCACTATCTGGTACAACTGATCTAGTTCAAAAGCTGACAACATCTGCGTCTACCTTAGAAGCTGATGTTGACCAGTATATAGATGTTTTACTTCGTGATACTGCTGGCTCACCGGCGCATTTAGCTGAAGAAGCGTATGAGGTAGGCAACTCCTACTCTTACTACTTATTTATAATTCATATAACAATGAATCTTTTTTCCCTAAATCGTGCTTTTTTTGCTTGTTTTTTTTCGTTGTTGTAAGTGTTTCTATGCTGAGTTACTTTAGTATTATTAGAAAGCATCCTGGTTTTATTATCAGTGTTATCATCAATATACAGAGATTCAGATGAATGTATTGCCAGGAACATGTATTCATTATGAGGATACTATACTTATTCTATCAGTCTCTCTGACTGAGAATTCAATATTTTTTGTAAATGTTGGTGAGGATTCACTTAAAAAAACATAAAGGTGTAACCTGAATATAGATAAACTGTATAATCGTTTCTGAAAATTGAGAAGGTTCTTAACAAACAGTCTTTTTTTGCAGGATTTAATCATGAGCTGATATCGGTTATAGAACCTAGAAGTACCGGGTGGCTGTTTCATCCAAGGTTGGGACTCTTCAGGGGTACACATCCACAAGCAGCGTTCCAACCCATGATCGTCCGGTTGTAAGGCGAGCTCGTAGAGCGTTAAGTCATTGGGACCCTATCCAGTGACCAGTGCATGAATTCCAACTTATGCCAGTTCACTATATAGCACGAACACTAGCCAATATCATCTCGCTGGCGAATCTTTGTCGTCGCACCCAGCCTGCTGAATCATGTTTTTTTCTTGCTACCTTGACACCTATCGCCATGACTCAATGAGCTGCACTGGCGGAAATGAATGCTCCCGTAGGTCCTATCGTGACAGAAAAGTTCTTTGAATAGCGGTTAAACTAAAAGCAACTATTCTCACTATTCTTACACTATGACAGATATTCGACGGGTTGCTTGTTACAGCAACAAGCCAGCTATGCTGCCTTGCCGCTCTGGAGAGAGGAGGATTAGTAAAGAGTGATCGAAAAAACCCAAAGCATCCTAACTTAACCTGTGGGGCTGTCCGTGGCTGACTGTCAGATCTTTACGTGGACGCATCTTCCAAAGTCACTTCATCTGTTGGTTTACTTACTTTCGCAGTCAACAGATGGGATTCATAAACTATCGTATGAATTTGTATGTATTTGATGAGTTGAGACTATTTCATTTCGACTTTTCTTTGTATGAATAGTTTCTCTTAATGCTACCTTGTTTGAAATTTTCTATAGGATCAATGTATTTGTCTGCGAAGAACTTTAAAGTATTTGCTAGAACAAAGCTTCTGTTAGTAATCCAGCTAATGATACAGATCATTTAAAAAAATTAAAATATCAGGATGGATCATATTTGGACAGCCTTCATTATTCTTTTTTTATTGACTTCAAAGAAGTTATTTGCACATCATTTGCAAATCGGTCGAATATCACTACATTCGATGGCTTGTTGGATTCTACACAGTGTTGTAACGTTCTCCTCACAGTTCTCGTCTTCGATTGATTTTTTTTCCAGTGCTGAAAACATATTGTTACTTTTCTGAATTCCTTTACTGATATACTACTTTTATCTGTTTGTAAGTAGCATTCACTCACTACTTTCAATTAATTTTAGAGGAAACTAATTATTGAGCTCATTTTCTGCCATCACACAGAGATGCAAGGGGAATCCAAATGTTAACTTCATATTTGATCAGAATGAGCACCCTTACTTATTAGGAAACTCTCCCAAGCAAAAAAAGTGTTTCAGTAGACTGTTGACCAAAACTTGACTTTCATGCTTTGTATTAAGGGAGTGATGAACTCAAAATAAGGTGACGGGGGGAGGGCGGGGAAATGTTGCCGCAGTAAATTAACCATTCTATGCAAAATAATGTTGTTTTGAACTATTGGGAGAAAACGTTTCCATGTATACCTACCACCTACATTTGAGTGTTCGCTGTAAATTATTGTGTATTTGACCTGATAATTCCCACCTATTGTTTTATTCCACTTATACATTGATTTTTTTAAATGGAATTTTCAATTGATTTAGCTTCAAGCGCCTGTGCTAACAAGCGGTCAGACTGTAGCTAAAAGTATTGCCAATCTTATTGAATGTAGTCGTCAATTGGTTGATATTCATTGTAATAATATGCAAACAGAAGAAGTGAATAGCAACAGAAGTGGTTTATCTGGTTTCGAAGACGGTAGACACTACTTACACGAATCATGTTTAGGCCTGTTAAGTCTACTTCGGTAAGTGATCAGTTTCTTTTTAAACTTATCCTGCTTCTTTCCCTTTACATGATGTTTTTTATTCTGAGTTTCAGTCTTTTAAAAGCGCGGGAACACTTTGTACGACTTCCGAACAGGATTTGACGGAATACTTCCACAAATATTGGAAAACTGTATTTGTATGATTCTGAATGAATCTTCAGTTGTCTCCCTGAAGTAGTTCGGATCTCTGTGTTATTTGATGGGGATGGTGAATAGCAGTGGAGTGAGGATGTGCCTTTCGTTCTATTTGAAACCCGGCAGTCGGCTATACCTGGATCCGTCATTCCAAACGCCAATGCGTTATCAACTAGGCCACTTGGACCGTCATGGAATATGACATTAGTCCTCAGATGTTGTCGACGCCAACATGTCCACATGGATCGAGCAATCGATGGGAAATACAAAATTAACTTAAATAAAGTTCGGCCCAGTTTGCCGAATAAAACGTTAGGATTATTTATTTCAATTTTGCTTAGATATATACAAATATAGCTTTTACTTATGCATAAAAGTACATATATTAAATAAATATTTTATACTGATAAAACTGACTAAAAACTGAGTGATAGTTGTGTTTTACCCTAAAATATTATCCCACATCAATGTAATTTAGCATCTGAATAAATCTGATTCCGAGACAGTTCGTGTTGAAACCTAACCGCAGTTTTGTTTTAAGAACTCGAAATATTCAGATCACAATGTCTGTGTGATCCTTTTAATGAAGAAAAAAAATTTAAAAAATCAAGTACAACTGCAAATTATTCATATGATTCTGCTTAATACCGGTTAGCATAACTAAGTAACCAGTTTTTAAGTGATTTGAACTGGTTTACCTCTCTCCGAACTGAGTCAAACTGAGCACTCCATTGATGTACTTGGCCTTAAACGGGTAAAACGACTATCTGATGTTGGGATCACTTTGATCTGACTAGCAAACACTACTGCTTGGTGTGATTGGCTCCCAACTTTCAATCAGTAGTATACTCTGCTTGTAAAATGATTCCACACAATATTTTGATTTTGATTTTTGATTTACAGCTTAATTTCACACTGTATTTTTGGTACAAGTATGGAATTTTCAGCATGGATATCGGTAGCCCAAATTTTGCAGGCCGACCATTGATATCAAGTGCGCGTCGGGAGGGGATCGAACCTCAGACCATGTGCATGGTTGGCGAGAGTCCTAGCCACTGTGCCACCGACGCAATATCGATAAAGTGCTTTCTGTTATTGGTTTTGTAGTGATTTTGTTTGATTGCATGGAGGATTTCATCATGAGCTGACATCAGTTAGAGAACCACTGAGAAACCTGGGAGTACTTGTTTGGGACTCTTCAAGAGTACGCACCCACCATATGGGTTCGAACCCAGGACCTTCTGGTTACAAGGCGAGCTCGTAGACCGTTGAGCCACTGAGACCCAATCTAATGGTCCTTGAGTTCTAACAGCTATCCAGTACTCCCAGCTTGTTTTCCAGTGGTTCTCTAACTGATGCCAGCTCATAACGAAATCCTCCATGCAATCAAAGTTATTTCTATAAAAAATTAAGTTTTATTCAAAAACGGGACTAAATGTAATAAACGAATAAGCCAGACTAATTTGATTGTTAAATTAAACGTGGTCTGTCAAATAAACTACTATCCTAATTATTAATAATGGTGGAAACACTGCAGGGTAGATATGAGGGTGATTTGCTGTCTAACCTGGTATGCATTCATCCTATAAAAAATAATCTCGTGGAATGTTATGGTTTTGCTTCTGTCCCATTTTGTAAGATTAACACCTACTACATTTATATAGGTAGGATAGAATGTCTGGAGCAACCCAACCAGTTGCATGATTGTAGGCGTTCTCCGATAAGAAGTTGTACTTCCCGATGTTTTTGTGTGCGCCTATATGACTTTCATACTACTTTTTTATGCTTTGATTAAGACGACATAAATGTCAGAGCGATTCCTATTTCTTGAAAAAATGTCAATAAATGCTAGAGTGGTATTCATTTTATTCTTCAGCTTTTGTGTATATTATACCTAAGTTATTGTTACGCAATATATATATGCCAGTATAAATAATTCATTGGGACTGCATTTTTTTGGTACTCGTTTATCATTTTCACCCTTTCTTTCCTTAAACAAACACTTCTACTAGTTTGTGTCAGGTTCGCGTTCATGTTAATTTGTGCAGTAAATCTCTCTCTGTTTATATATGACATAACATTCTACGAGCTTCTCCTTCATAGAATGCATAAATACACCATAAAGAGGGAACTGTCTCAAATGCACCTCACATTGTTTCTATCATCAATAATAAATTAAGACTTTAGTAGTCTAGTCGTAAAATTGACTTTTGACAGATAACATTTAAGTTTAACATTCAAGTTAGTCTGGTTTATTTATTTATATATTTATATTTATCTATCAGATTTCATTTACCTTTACGATATGATATTTTACTAATTACTATCGTCCAGTCATTTTACAGGTAGTGAATACTATTATTGGTCGACATCAGTAGTTGGAAATCACCCACTCACACTAACTAAGTAGTACTTCGTATCCATATTGAAGTGAACTAAACATCGAATGGCTGTTTTGCTCGTTTGAGGTGATATCCAGCTGTCGACCAAAGGATGTGTATACCGATTAGCAGTTCGCTTTATCCTCCTTTATGGCTGTGAGCGAGACATGAAAAGGCTAACTATTTGTCGTTGATCAAAGGTGTCTGGTTTCTATCTCCCACGTTAGGTAAGGAGGGATAATCAATCGACAAGGTTATGAAGTTACATCTATTGAGATGGTCACGACATGTGTCAAACACGTCTAACCGTCACCCTCCTTCGACGGATGATGTCAGCTGACATAGGATAAAGTTAGGAAAGAACTAGCTGTTGTCAAACGAAAACATGGCCTCATTATTCAATGAAATCCACAACAGTTAGTTTAGGTCAGCCAGCCACGTCGGGAGGTGTAGACTGCCTGACTGCCTCGTTGGGATCCTCTGGATGATAAGAACCAATGAAGGCTGGAAACAGTTGGTGATATGGCTCATAGTGATCGTTCTCAATGGCTTGTGTGAATGCATTCACTCTTTGTGATTTCTCACATCTAATGGAATTCTGTTGTTCTTCCGTATTACTATTCTTTTTGCCTCACTGACACTTCTGTTTATTAACTCTCTTTTGAATCTGTTTTTATTCTCTTGTCTTGCTTTGTATGATACATAGAGGGAGGCTGGCAACTTGAACTGCTGAACATCTGTGCAAAGTTCTATGTTGAAACTAGACAGTCAATCGTTTGAGGCCGATAACATCAGTGGAGTTGTTAAGTTTAATCCAGTTCAGAGGATGAAATTAGTTCAAACCACCCCCTTAAATTCTGACTATCTATTTATGCTGACTGGTATTACATAGAATAAGAATCGCATTTTGGGATCAAGCTTGCTTTCTTGGTTGTCATTCACAGCATAGACGAGATCATATATTATGACTTGAATATACTAGGTTTCCAAATGAGTCTGTGGTGAATTTTTAACCTCGAAATGTATTATTTTCGAATCACGAATTTGATTTCATCTAACAGATGAATTAAGTAGTCGTAAATAAACTTATTTCTTCACTATTGGCACTTCCCTTTGTTTAACACTGATACTAATATGGATGCACTTTTACTCAGTATTAGATAAGTAAACTTGAAAGTTATATTTACAACATCAAGGATGTTCTACGTGATTTACTCAGCTAAAAGTTTCGTTTAATAATCTCTTCTACTAGATGGTTGGAGGAATCGGCAGGAAGTCTTCGACCTAGGTTTCGTGCTAGTTGGCAATCACCAGTCAGCAAGGCGTATTTGCAACCAACTTGAAGGAACTCATGTCCCTTCTGAGATTTGAACCCGCGTTACCCAGTGTTGCAGTCAGAGACATTACCACTGAGCTATTGCGGCTCGCGATTGACCTCCTGTAGGATTGTAGTGGATACTTTGATCGGATACTAGTAACTAGTACGATGTGTTGAGTTGTTTCTTTGGCACAGACTGAATTATACCAGTCAGGTTTGCAATGTGGTCACCATTCTAGGTAGCTCACCATCACGGTTCACATTGATTTGTTGATATTAGACGGTTGGAGGTAATCGGCAGGAAGCGAATGGTAGCCACAATGCAAACCTGACTGATAGAATTCAGTCTGCACCAAAGAAAGGACTAGACACATTACACTAGCTACTAGTCTCCAATCAAAGAGTCTCTTATACTACTACAGATGGTGCGTCGGTGGTTCAATGTTAGAACACAGTGGCCAACCACACAAGTGGTCCGGTGGTTGACCTATACCAGACGCAGCCCTTTACTTCGCTTAGCTGGTGGTAAGCCCGGTCGAGAGAGAGGGTTGAGAGTGAGGCTAGTAACCCTATCCCATAAAATAAAAAAGCATTGCTACTTAAACTTGAAAGCTCAAGCTTGAGGCCCTAGGTTCCACTGGGAGCTCAGGGGAATGCAATTTCAAAAACTTACTGATGTCACCTTAGTTCATGCATATTCACCGTCATAGAGATCGCTTAAGCATATTTGCATATTTATCCTCTGGTTTTACTTTACTTTCTGTACTAAACAATAAAACAGTAGATGATAGGTGATTAAACCTACATTTTGAAGATACACTTGTCGTTTTCAAGTAAATGATGCATAATTTACCGAAACGCATCATTACGTCTATAGCATTGGCTGTGGTCTTATGATGTCACTTTTCTTTTAACTTCGTTTTCCAAATCAATTTTCTTTAGGTGCACCATTTTAAGCTGTTCCATTTCTCTGCCTCGGCCTTTTATACTTCAGCCATTAGTACTGGAAGGGTTTTAGGCCAGTTTACACTTTAAGCACCACTAACTACCAATGGAATGCGTCCTCACCAGTGACCTTGAATGTCCAACAAGTTTTATTCACATGAGTTGAAGCTTCTATTCCGCTTGATACGATTCAAATGCCTGCTGTAACGCAGTTAAGGTTGCAACTTGGTGAGGACCAAGTATTTCAGCATTGCTTAGATGTGGGTTTGATTAGGAAAGAAAGGATTTGTTCATGTGGAGGTGTGCGATGATTATAAAAAGCTTCAGCAGATCGGTTGATGAACACGTGCATCACTGTGCGATTTGTTTTCGAGGCGAGTTGGTGTCAGGGAAGGTAAGCCGATGATTCTAATATTTCGTAGGAACATTTTTTGGCAGGCCCCATCTGCTCTGAACCCAGATTTGGTATATTTGTAGCTACTGGGTTTCAAAATAGCCTGTGAGAAGTGCATCTGCAGGTTATACCTCCTTGCCATCCCATTACAGCGATCCACACCAATTTTAAGGAGGGCTTTTGCAGAAGATTAAAAAACCAAATTAAAGTCATTAATGGATCACAAAAGGAAGTTGTTTTTAGTTATTTAGATGAGAATATGTATAGGATGGAGTCTAACTTTTTTATTGATACCTCCTATGTTACACTGGGAGATGTTTTTATCACATGTAACACCTTTAAACAGTTTCTATGCATGTTTATATATGTATGAATATACGTATTTCACACCTATAAGATTTAATAGTGTGAAATATTCCCATATCATGAATTATAATATTTTGTAATCGATTTCAGCCCAGCAGGTTTGTCACACAAATACAACTATTTATGTTGACACCCCATAACTAATCTGTTATTCTACGTTAAAAGATGTATCTGCCGCATAACTTGCCATTATTGTAGTGACGATAAATATTATATTTTATAATTGTAAGAACTTGAAGAGGTATTTCACTTAGTTCATACCCAAAAAGTGCCTCCTCCGTGCGATTGGTGCGTTCGAGGTCATTCGGTGACTGGTAGTTAGTGGCGCCTAAAGTTTAGCTTTGCTGGGTATCATTCTCCTAAAGTATGTCTGAAACGGTAACATATGCATTCATCAAGAAGCCAACCGACTATACAACGTTACAAACATATTATTAGGACTTCATTCTGTAATTTTTTGATATTTTTTTTATTCGTTTACATTCCCAATGGAACATAGGGCTTCAAGCTATAGGCGTGAAGTTTCGTTAGCAGTGGTATTTATTTTTACGCGATGGGGTTGCTAGCCTCAAGCCGAATCTTCCCTCTTTACCAGTCTTAGTAAGGTAAAAGAGTGCTTCGGTGGCCGGAGACCGAACCTCAGACCACATGAGGCGTGGTTGGCTAGCATTCTAGCGCTGTGCCAGTGACGCACCTCATTCTGTAGTAGAATAATGATATTTAAGCTGTCTTCAAAAGTTGTCTAGCTTTCCATATGGTGAATATATGCCATAAACTTGTTTCAGTCAATGTGTATTTCCTGTTCTCTTATGTCGGATGCTTCGATATCGTCTGAAGATTAACACGACGGTATTTGTCTGGTAGGTAACATCATATTGCTAAAACCGTTCGTATAGTTTGTTTTTCAAACCTCCATCTCACTTGATAAAACTGAGTTTGTCTTTCTGTCGTAATATACCGTAGTAATAGCAGCATTTTTTTCTGAGCTAAGTGTCAGCTGATGTGAGCTCATGATGAAATCCTCCATGCAATCAAACAAAATCCCTACAAAACCAATACTTGAAAATTAATCTGATACTCACTAGCGACTGCCCATATTCAGGCAGTTAACCTGGGGTTCTAGTGGGAAGCCGTGACCAGTAGAGTTCGGCAGGTTGAAGATGAGGTAGTAACAACTAATCGAAGAAGATATTGCGAAATGGTCGCGTTATGTCGTGAATTGGCAGAAGTTAGAATTTATGGACTGGCCATTGGATCGGGTCCCAGTGGCTCAATGGTCTGCGAGCTCGCCTGGGTTCGAACTCCAGTGGTGGGCGCGTACTGATGAAGAGTCCCAAACTAAGACGAAATAGCTGTCCAGCACTTCCAGGTTTTCCAGTGGTTCTTTAAATGATGTCAGCTCATGACGAAATTCTCCATCCAATCAAACAAAATCCCTACAAAAGCCAATACTTGAAAATGTTACAGTGTTTAGTATACTGTCCTGAAAAATCGTTAGAGTAGTATTTTAGTATACTTCAGAATCTTTAGTTTTAATGTTTACCAAAATTAAATGATTTGGTTTGTTTTGATTTTGAGTAAAATTCTTTTCTTCAATAGTCTTCTACTGATGAATAGGTACGTTAGTGATTCAATAACTGAGTGCTCATCAAACACTCCTATGGTCCGGGTTCGATTCCCGACCAACCGACTGACTCTTAAACTCTGCCTAATTTGACTAGCTTATAGTGAGTCCTGAGAAGAAAAAAGCTTGGGCTAGCACAACCCCACCTCGTAAACAAAAGAACATCACCGTTACTGGAATTTAAGAAAACTTTGAAACCGTACATTCTACTCACACAACTCAAAAAATGAACACATCTCTATTGAATATGTTTCTTTTAATACATATATTCATTTCAATACTCAACTAACACATTCCACTGTTTAATTAATGTATTTTTTTATTCGTTTAGCCAAAGTGTTCCAGGTCTGTCTTTATGTGATCAAATACAAAAAACTCTGAATAATCTACTCAATGATCTGGATCATGCAATTGTTTCTTCGAATCATCATCATCAGAATCAAATCAAGCGTAATAGTATTTATTCAACCAATGTACAACACTTAGAAAGTTCATTAAAATTAATTCGTACTAGTATGGAACAAATTGAATATTGGAGTTTAGAAACAATTGAAAATTGTAAACTTGGTAATTGGGAAATGATGGCGCATAATTTACACTCAATTAGTACTTATCTACCTAATTTTGTTAAGGTTGGTTATTCTTTTTCTTTCTTTCTTTCTTTCTTTCTTTCTTTCTTTCTATGTGATATTCACTTATCTCATAAATATTATTTTAATATATTTGGATGAAAAAAGTATAAGTTATTTCTAAGCTTATCCCTTTCTGATTCGATACGTCTTTCATTTAATTTAACGTCAGTAACCAAATACCCTCACACATTGTGTTCCTTTTGCTTAGTTCATAGATATTTGTCATATTTCTGATAGATACGATTGTGTGTTAAACGATTTAGGGAGTTTTTGTACGTGTTTACACATTATCGATATTTCCATACTATCATTTAGATGATTTATGTTTAATGTCAGACAAACTTGAAGACTTACAGGTAGGGGAAAGCCAACAAGTTAGCTTGAGAGGCTGGCAAACAGCGAAGACAGGGCTCCAGGTGAACATAGAGAAGACGGAGGTGGTGAAGATGACCAACCAGCCAACAACAACCAGCAGCAGTCACCATCAACAGGAGAGATTCAACAAAGGTGACTTCCATCACTTATCTAGGCAGCCAGCATCGTTTCAACTACAGGCGGAACGGATGGCGATGTCAAAGCCAGTCAGAGTCGGAAAGGCAAGATATGCCTTCATCAACCTGAAACCAGTTTGTAAATCTTCCGCACTCAGCATAAGGAACACGATTCAGATTTTCAACACCAATGTAAAGTCAGTCCTTCTTTATGGGTCGGAAACTTGTAGTGCGTGTCACGAAAAGGATTCGCAACAGGTGGCTGCAAACTTTCTCTGGCTCCATACTGAAGATCAAATGGTCGGCCGGAAGGAATTAGTAACAAGAAACTCTGGCTGGGAACAAACCAACCAACAAATATGTAGCAGAAAATGGAGATGGATTAGGCATACATTGAGGAGGTCGTTGAATGACATCGTGCTCAATGCAGGCCATCGCTCAAGTGGAATCCAAATGGGAAGCAAGGAGTGGATCGTCGATGCGTGTGTGATATGGAGGAGACCGTGTGTTGGGGAGGAGAAGATAACGGACAATCGTGAACCCATCTGAAGAGGACAGCAGAGAACAGGAGAAAGTGGAGATGTGTTGTTGAAGCCCTATGTTCCACTTGGAACCCAAGAAAGTAATAATAATATATTCGATTCCACAGAGGAATTTTAAATATATATGTGACTTGAAGCTTCTGTAGCGGTTTGGTTAAGTTTTGGGGATGGAGTTGCTAGCACCACGCCCCGACCCTCCCTCTTTATCCGGGCTTGGGACCGGCTAGAAAACTAGCAAGCTAGTAGTCTAGGCGAGATGTGGCAGTCACATTATGCATAAACTAGTTGATGATGGTCGAAATAAACTCAAACAATATTATTATTTGTCCCAAATGGAAAGTAGGTTTTCAGCAACACATCTTTACTTCGTTGTGTTCTCTGCTATCACACGTTCAGTTGACCCCACAAGTGCTCACAAACTTTTATTTTCTCTTCAAATGATCTCATCCATATCATCCTTGGATGCCTAACCGGTCATTTCTCACTGTGTTGCGTGTGATATCACCTAACGATCACCTCGGCGTATGTATAATCCATATGCATTTTCTTCCGCATATTTGGTGGTTCCAATACTTGTCAGACTTCCTGGTTTTCAGTATGGAGAGAAGGCAGCTGTTGATAAAAGCCTGTTGGAAATACTTTTGGGTGACACACCAAATCTCTGAACTATACAAAAGCATTGACTAACTCGACATTCGTGTTTAAAATTTGGATTTTTGTCCTCGTCCTGGGTGTTGTAGATAGATCCTCCACACTGATTTTAGAGTAATGAACACTTATCTTGTCTTTCCATTTTGATCCTGGTTAGCTTTGATAACCTCATTCGTGCCTCTAGTTCTAGCGAGTGATTGCTGGTGATTATTATTTGTTGTTGTATATTGATTATCCTTAGCTTTAATAATGTAACTAGTTGTATCAGAGTGGCTGTAGCATATTCAACATCTGGTCAGCTTATTTAGATACCTCAGATTCCATTAGATTCACAATTTGGACGATTTAAACAATTGAATACAAGTTTATCTAATGAAATTAATTTTATATTATTTCAACTACCACATGGTTTGAGGTGTTGATTTGGACTTATCTTCAGCTTGAAACTTTATATTTTGCCTTTATTTTATTCCCCCTCTCTCTGTCTCCCTCTCTAGGAGTCAATTCGTACATGTGGCAATTTAATGCGACTCTCTGACCAGACAAATTTAAATAGTCTCACACGAACTGTTCTAGAAGCTCTCCAACAATTAATCGATTGTCTGTCAATTACTCTAAAAGCACGAGTAAGTTTTGGCTGTTGTCATCAGTTCCCAGTTTTGTATCTTTTTTCTGCTCTGTGGTTTATGAGTACTTCAATGTTTGGTAAGAGTTTATCTGATGACTGGACTAGTTGATCCCACCCCAACACATTTGAGATGGATGAATAGTTAATGACGACAAATGAAAGAATGACTTGTAGATGTAGAGATTTTATAGCTAAATCTTTGAATATATAAAGTTGCATTTCGGATACTCTGTGACCAAAAACAGGAACGTTCACCTTCAGTCTTTGCTATTCTTGTAATTGTGAGTTGATTGATGTATATATAAGTCCTTTGTAATGTAATTATACTTCACCCCCCCCCCGGGTGTTTATTTGGAAAAAATATTGATTGTATTACGTAATCCCCTCGGCGTCTCATCCTGCCGATTGGATAAAATCAAGTGTTTCAACCTTCTTAAAACATTTGCACTGATGTGACCTAGTAAATCATGACATTAATACTGAATACCATAAGATAACCAAAGGGAATGCCGTATAAAACTGCTGTCCTTCAATACCTTCTGGTTCACTGAACTATATATATATATATATATATATATATATATATATATATATATATATATATTTGTTCCATGCTCAAAAATGCCTTCTCCACGTGATTGGTGCGTTCGAGGTCATTCGTCAATTAGTAGTTGGTGATGCTTAAAGTTTAACTTTGCCATCCTTTCTCCACGACATTTCAGCTTTTGTTCCTTTCACTATCTCTGTCTGCTACATGGAGTTTGTCGAGTTGAACTTGTGCTGCACTTCTGTGCAAATTCTCACCCTGAAACTCAGTCAGTCAGTCAGTCGGTATCACACTAGTTTATTAGCCATAACTTCTGTGTCATTCTTGGTGATAGTGTTCGTTCACCGAATGATAGACTTATAAAGGTAAATTTGAACCTGTAACAAACTGGTTAAAAGCAAATGCCAGTGTAAGTCAGGAAAAATTCAACTAACTGGTTTCAATGTAAGTGTGACGTATTGCTCTTAAATAATGAAATACTATCGATACGCCTCCGTCATATGAAATGCTTAACCTCTGTTTAGCTTTCAATGAAGTCGTCTCCCACTAGCTTCATTTGACCTCTATTTCATTTATTATCAAAGCTTTTAGTGAACGCTTCATACCACTAGTCTCTACATCACACTGTCTACTGCGAAAACCTACATGTAACTAACTACTGTGGTGTGGAACATTCAAGAACAGTAAGACTGTGATAACTAAATAACATCAGTTCGAGAATGACTGCAGATCAGTTCTTGACAGTTAATCTGACTGACTATTGGGATGAAGTTGTCTGTATAATTCTAGTGGGAAGTCGTGACCAGCGGGGTCCACCAAGTTGGTTGAAGTAAGAAGTTGGAAGTGATAGGCCACTAGATTCTGGCCCAGCAGCTGAATGAATAACGGGTTTGTCTGATAAACTGGAGGTCCTGGTTTCGACCTCTGTGGGGGTGGCAATAATGGTTGCGTGATGCTGAAGAGTCTCAAGATAGGGCTTAACAGTTGCTGAGTACTCGCCGGTTTTCAATGGTTCTCTTACTGAAGACAGTTAGTTCGTGACCAATCTTGAAGTCTACCTAATTCCTACAAACCAACACTTGAAAATAAGAACTCTAATTTAAATTCTAATTTATTCACATGCATTTAAAAAAAAATCTTTCTTTGTTTCTAGTCTCAATCCTTGCCAGTTTCTAATTCTCACAATTCATTGACTACTTACAACAGTCAGTTAAAACAAGCTTGTGTTGAATTGTCTAAACAAATCGATACAATAGCAATAGAACAAGGCGGATTAAATTGGCACATTACATCTATCACTTCAGCTTGCTCAAAGGTTAGTCATCATCATCATCACTTTGTTTTGTGCATGCTTATGTATCTTATGTGTGTCTGTCATTCTCTACAATGCTACATATCTTTCTTTGACTTATTGACTATTGGAAGTACCAAATAACTCGCTTATTGTTTTGACAATCTTTCATTTACGTCTGCATGTGTGCATGTTTGTGTGTGTGTGTGTGTGTACAAACAATGGATTATGAGAGGAATCATCAAAAAAACTTCTTCAATGGGTTTCTCTTACAGTAGACAGCGTATAACAAGTGTTATAAACTTCTCGTTTTGCACGTGTGTATATGCTTGAATATGTGCAATCGTATGTGTGCTTGTTTGTATTCGCCTGTGTGTGTGTTCGGCTCTTTGACTTATCAATATATAGGTGCGTTCATTCATATTCTTTCCTTTTAATAGTTTTTCATCACCATCATGACACACACCACACTGCACTCTATCAACAAAGTGTGCTGCTGAATGTGCACATGTCTCTGCTATTTTCTCTCTCTCTCTGCTATCCTTTTTTTATTTCATTTATTCTTCAGGTCATTTGGTTGTTGTTAGACGCTCATTTTTCGTTATTTTATTGTGTTTTTTCGCAATTCTCTTTATTCAATTCTCCGATTATAACCCGTATTGATTTATTGATTTTCTTTCGTATTGTTTATCACATAGCTAACTAACTGACTAGTTTTGATAAAAGTGACTGACTAGATAAAATTTTGGTGGTTTTGTTGGTTATGTTAAGTTGAATCATTATTATTTCTAAAATTATTGGTGGTTGTTAAGTTTTTCTGTGTCGAATTATAATTCATCTTGTCTGGGAGGAATAAACTCTATTGAACATTGAACTTGGATTTGTTTCAATGACAATCGATTATATAAAGCTACTTTCTATTATGGTAGCATTTCGAATTGTTTTAGTCGGGAAATATTATATATTCAATATTTTCAATGGTATTACAATATCTATCTTATCTGCTATATGGTCACATGGTGTCACCAGGTCACGCGAAGCTTTGAATTACTTGGCATACGTGGAAATGAAAGAATTTTTAAATGGTGTATACCATTTTAAAAATCTCTGTTGTTGATTGTTTTCCTATATGATTGGAACATTCTGTTGGTTCTACCTACATAGGTGTCACCTCAGCTGCAGGTGAACTGTGTAGATACAGTTTGAAGTAGAGTCCATAGAATTTCGTCCTTTAATCGTGGCTACAGGGATCGAAAATGTTCGGCAAGTGAGATAAAGAGATGAAGCGTAGAATGTGCGTTTGATGGCTGACCGAAGTCTTTGAGCTGTCAACTGCATAATCTGGTCGTCCTTGAATGGTAGGTTAATAAAGATAGCTTTCTTTGGTACAGAAGCTATCTTTTCGAGATGTAGTCTTTCTTTACTGTGACAAGTGATAAAGTTCTCCGGATAACCATTAGCTAATAAAACTGAATGTATATGTCGAAAATCATCCATCAATGTGGCACTCGTGCATATTTTTCGGGCCCTTGAGAACAAACATTTCACTAGAGAACGTTTATACTGGATATGAACAAAACTGGTAAAATGAAGATATTGTGCACTCCAAGTCTGTTTACGAAAAATAGATCGTTGAATCATTCCATCATGTCTCCTAGTCATAGTAATATCCAGGAAACCGAGTTTGTTATTGGATTCTAGTTCGGAGGTCATTCGAATATTTGGATGAATTTGATTAAATAGGGTGATAAAGTTTTCAATAGATGTTTTCAATAGGTAGTTACCTGGGTTCCAGTGGGAAGTCGTGACCAGTAGGGTGCAGCTGGTCGGGTGTGAGGACAAATACTCGCCGAAGACATTGGCTAGCGGTCGCGCTATGTCGTGAATTGGCAGAAGTTAGAATTCAAGGACCATTGGATCGGGTCCCAGTGGCTTAATGGTATACGAGCTCACTAGCCTTGTAACCGGAAGGTCCTGGGTTCGAATCCCGGTGGGTGCGTACTGCTGAAGAGTCCCAAACTAGGACGAAACAGCTGTTAAGTACTCCCAGGTTTTCCAATGGTTCTCTAACTACTGTCAGCTCATGATGAAATCCTGAAACCAATCAAATCCCTACAAACCAACACTTGAAGATTTACTATTATTACCAATAATGAGAGTATCATCTACATAACGTTTATACAGCATAGTTTCTCCAAGCGTACCTTGCATTTGTCTCTAAAATTTCGACATGAAAATGTCTGCTAACAGGGGTCCAAGCGAGCTACCCATCGCAACACATCTTGGAAGGCGAATCTAATATTTTCTGTACACATTAAGAAAATATCTCTGATGTAAGTTACGGAATAGGTAAGTTGATCTCATTGCTTGTGATGTAATCGCAAATGAAATCAACAGTTTTATAACAGTTAGCCAGATGTCTAAACTCATGCCTCTGTATTATTTATTGATACGAAGAGTCTCCACCGATAACATACAGTTTTGGGCTATTTAAAAAACATTTGCTATTGTAAACCTGTTTGTGAATAGTAGCTCAGTCTTTAATGTATTTTAATTTTACTACTTTCAAATATTAAGTAGCTTGATTCATCCAATATCACTTGAATTTTGTCATATTTTTGTGTTGTTGAAATATTTAGCTTGATGATGCTGTCGTACCATTATCAAATGGATTGGAAAAAAATAACTCGAATGAAAATGCAGTCTCATTACCAACAAATTTTGTCCAGTTGCATACACGTTTAGGTCATCAATCACGTGAATTATCTGATCTTACCTCAAGAGTAACAGAAACTTATGCAAATAATCAAGGTGGAGGAGGAGAATACTGCCCAGAGATTATATCGACTTTTGTTCAACAATTCCTCCAGATGACTGAAACAGTACAAAATATGTCGAACATATTGAAAATGCATCCACAAATTGATACTGGACCAGCTTTAGCTCAAAAATTGTGTCATGCAACTCAGGTATGTGCAGAAATTGTGATATTGTGCCTATTGTTAGTTGAAAGTTTCAAATAAGCGATCATTGTAGACACCGGAGTCGAACCAGCAACCGCTGAATTACTACTTCCGTACTCTCCCGTCATGTGGTGCAATTTTGAAGACCTATGAATCAAAACTTAGCTTTGTAGACTTCATTTCTTGTTTTTGCAATAATGTGATTTGAATATATCGACTCCTTAGAATAGTTTCAGTTGTTGAGAATTCAAAAGGTGGTGTCAAGGAACTTAACCTTAAGTTCCTATTATTTGCGAAGATGCTCCGAACCGATAGTTACTATGAATTTCTCGACTTTAACTCCAAATCAGCAGTACTTTCACAAAGTTGTATTGTTTGGCAATTAAAGTCTAGCTAAGTACAAGTCTATAAACAAATGTTTTACAGTTAAATACAATGTACTTCTATTCGTATTCTTTCATCTTCTTCCAACTTGTACACGATTGAACCATTCGCGCCTTCGAGTTGCCCGCCAACAGTTACCAGTTCGAATAAACAAACGTTCAAGATTGGCGTCCATTGACAGATGGTTCGCTATCTTTCGCATAGATTTCAAACAGCTAAGGTATCTAGTATAGATCATTTCGTTCAACATTTCCATAAATCAAAGTGCAACTAATTTCAAAGTTTTTGGGAGTAGGGTTTTACTCCTCAGTAGATACACAAGTCAAAATGGATTTCATCAAAGCATCTCTAGCAGTAAAGTTTTTGATAATCTGAAGTTGGGGAGGGGGGTTAGCTTACTGAAGGTAGTCAGAATTTGAATTTCTTCTTATGAAAATAGCAATATTCATTGAACACATACATACCAAATGTATACTCACTCGTTGTCAAATAGAAATTAATGTGACTGCTTGGTATCGAAATCCACTGATCAAGTGCATAATTTAGTCATCAGGCTTAGTGAAGCATCATTCCAGTGCACTTTGTATGATGTTCTTTGTTAGAAGCCCAGTTATCTAAAACAGATGTTTCATGCACCAGACTAAGAATCAAACTTATTGTTTCGGGCCTGATGATACTATCCATTTTCTCAGGTTGAAATTAGTTGAGCGTGGGACTCGCAACTCTGACACATTGGCCAATCAGCTGCATCTCCCTCTTATAGCCTCTGAGATTCAAGTATGTGTTACTCTGTAGTACAGTTAAGGTTTCAAATACACTTTACTAGTGAGCGACAAAGATCACTGTACTTGGTCCGACTACTTCATACCACCGGAAGCCTAACATTTAGCACACTAGTTTCTTCCTTGTCATGTAAATGCATATTAAATGATGCTACTAGCACTACTTTTGCGATTTTTGCTCTGATAATTGTTTGTTGGAAGAAGACAAGTGTTAATACCTATTCCTCTTTATGTTATACTTTATCAAAGAGGAACGTTATTGCGGGAAAACTGTCATAAACCTTACCTGTTACTTAGAAAACTTGAAAGCCGGCTTAGAGTGAGTAGATTTCAGTCTCGCTGTCGAAATGCTCTCATGTGGCCACGTGCTCATAGCTCACACAGCAAAATTGTTCTCCACAACAGTGAAAGGGCAAATGTGAACATATGGCGCTTTCAGCAAGACTGGTGGACACGCAGGTATACCTAGGGGAACTGGAAGACCCTGATTGCAAACCTGTGGCGATTGAGTAGAGAATGGACCTGTTTTGGTCACCGAAAACCATGTGAACGTAGCTTCTTACTCTGCTCCACTGTCTCACGGATCAGACTTCAAGTCAAAATCACAAGAGGGTGGCCCATCAAGACGACCACCTGCTTCCGTCAGTCGTTCCAAACAGTATTCCAGCCTTTGAAAAGACTATGAGACTTTGTGTGGCGCATCTCTTAGTTCATATAATTTATTAAGCTTGTATTTTATTAAAATAAAATAAAAGACTTGAAAACTTGATTTCCTGTTTCTGTCATATTTTTTCTACCACCAAAGTCATCTCAGTCTTTCATAAATACATAAGCTTTATAAGAATTTACTCTGTTCAGAGAAGCTTGAAGTGGACCTCTCATTTGCTTCTTGTTACTTTTACCAATATCAGCTGTTCTGATTATTTTATCGATGAAATTTTTTCCCTTCACATATTCTCAACTTAATTGTTATTCGAGTAATTTATTCAGCTCAAGTACCTAATTAACTAAATACCCTGTTTTTCTTCTATAGGCTATTGGTGCAGCTTGTTCAGATTTTCTACGAGCTCCATTGCATGCAGAAAGAGTCAGCAATTTATCTAATCGATTGAATGATTTAAAAGCTGTCCTGCAATCATGTGCAAGAGGTGCTGATGCTTGTGCAACTGCTATCACTAACTTGAATCGTCTTGTAGCTGATTTAGATACAGCTGCATTATTCGCGCGAGCTGGTACTGTTCAAGATTCAAATAAACCACCATCTCCTGGCGTTACTAGTAAAGGTTCAATAGCATTTAAACAAAGAGCTTTTCAAACTGCTCAAGAAGCAGTTATGCAAGCAGAAAAAGGAATTGTTGAAGATATGCAAACTTTAGTAAGTAATATGTATAGTTTATATGTATAATTTGATTTTCATATGAAAAGTATTTAAATTTTAGGTGAGGGGGGGTGGGAATTTGTGATATTAATTAATTGGTCTCAGTATTGTCGCATAATTAACTGCACTCTTTATTAATGTCTTGAAATTAACTGTCGTGCTTCTTCATCCTTTCCTATGAGGCGTATCTACATGAGAGAGGGATAGGAACTTACATTGTAATCTGCTATAATTAAGATTAGGTCATACCTTAACTAAATTCGTCGGTGGGTCGATAGTAGAATGCTCGCCAGGCAAGTGGAAAGTCCAGGTCCTATTTCCAGCTGATGCATTCTTAAGCCTTGTCTAACAGGTAGTTATCCTGGAAAATAGGGAAGGTTGGATGTGAGGCCAGGAACCTCACTATATGAAAACGACACCACTACTGTTGAAACTTCAAAGCTTGTGGTCCTTTGTTCTACTGAAAATGTAAAGAATGAATAAAGCTCATTGACTGTGCTTATTTTAATAGATGTACTCGATTCCACTCAAATAAAGTACGTTAATTTTATATAACAGGCGTTATTTGAGGCTCAGTTATTTTAGTAATTACTTTAAAGACAGTAACATGAATATTTAGTCTAGAAAATAACCATTTGAGAGAGGGAGGTAGTTTGATTTAAGTTTAAATGTAATCTTAGCCACATCGAGTATCTCATAAATCTCGTCTAGTATGCTAGCCTGTAGTAAGCCTAGAAAAGAGGGAAGGTTGAGTGCAAGGAAGATGATCCTATTATCGATCTAGATGGTCAGGACCTGTGTCAAGCGCGTCTAGCCATCGCCCTCCCTCGACGGATGATGTTAGCTGACATAGGATTAGGTTGGGAAAGAACTAGCTGTTGTCAAACGAAAACATGGCCTCATGAGTCAATGAAATCCATAACAGTTAGTTTAGGTCAGCCAGCCACGTCGGGAGGTGTAGATTGCCTGACTGCCTCAATGGGATCCTCTGGATGATAAGAACCAGTGAAGGCTGGAAACAGTTGGTGATATGGCTCATAGAGATCGTTCTCAATGGCTAGCACAGATGCATTCACTCTTTGTGATTTGTTACATCCAATGGAATTCTGTTGTTCTTCCATATTACTATTCTTTTCCCCTCACCTCTCTCTTTTGAACCTGTTTTTACTCTCTTCTCTTGCTTTGTGGTCTACATGGAGGGAGAGTGACAACTTAAACTGTTACACATCTGTAAAAAGTTCTGTGTTGAAACCAGTTAGTTAGTTAATGCAAAAACAGCGCCGCTTCTGAATCATGTTATTATCTGGGACGTTGTAAACTTTTTATTACTGCGTGATGAATGAACCTAGGTGTTTGTAGGTTCTAATAACTCTATCTAGATGAATCGAGAAATTTTATTATTATTATTATTATTAAAACGCGTCGGTGGTATAGAGGTTAGGACGCTCGCCGCCCATGCACATGGTCCGGGGTTCGATTCCCGGCCACGAACACACCCCTTTACGTCGCTAAGCCAGAAATATTGCTGGTAAAGAGGAAAGGTTGGGCATGAGGCTAGCAACCCCATCCTGTAAAAACAAACACTGCTACAGAAACTTCAAGCCTTCTAGCTTGAAGTCCTATTTTCCACTGGTGAACGTGAAGGAAAAAAACGCAGGAAAACTTGGTACAGTATGGCACCATGAAGATGCGCCACACACACACACACACCCAGATGACTAATATGTGGTTCAGAGATTTCGCGCATATGTCATCAGAATCATTCCCAACAGTTGCTTTAACTAGTTCGATATCGAAGATCAGATGGCCAACCGGAAAGGATAATCTATAAGGAACTCTGACAGTACAGTGAAGCAACCAACAAATATAAAGTAGGAAATGGAGATGGATTAGATACACTCTATGGATACCTTCAAGTGACATCACACTCTAAGCCCTCGAGTGGAAGCCGAACGAGTTGGTCATCCGTGAGAGACATAAGGGAGATCATGTGTTTAGGAAGTGAAAGTCTATGGGTAATCGTGGAGCCAGGTGGAAAGGCGGCAGAAAACAGCGTACAATGGAAGTATCTAGCTAAAGCCTAATGTTTCATCAAGACTTCAATGGAATGAATAATAATAACAGTAATAAAACCACCTGCTGAAAGTCAAAAATTAGTAGTTAACCAGTGGTATATTTAGATATAATGGCTCAAGGGAATAGAATCATCAACTTTCAAATGAGTTCAGTGTTCCTGTTATACACTAACTGTAACTTTGTAGCGTAGTTCAATTAAGCATTCCTCCATGTGGTTTTTACTGTTAGTCCCATAAAGGACTAGTAATTATAATTATGATGATATTGATAATAGGGTAAACTTGAACTATTCAGTGGATATGGTGCTTTTGAAGAGTTAGTTGGTAGGGACTTGATTTTATTGAAGTTTGATCACCGATTGTTATCAGTTGAAGAATCATTGAAAACCAACAGAAAGCACTTGACAACTATTTCATCCTCGTCCACGGCTCTTGAACAATGCGCACCCACGACCCCATCAAGGATCAAACTGGGGACCATCAAGTTACGAGTCTGTTGATCATTCAGCCTCTTGAGTCAGGACCCAATAACTCGTGAAAGGCTAGAAATTTTAGAGCGACTGCCGACCAATGTCATCAACGAGTATTTATCCTCACACTCGACGTGATGTACCTTAATGGTCACGAGTTCTAACTGGGACTCCTAGCGACTTCATCCTATAGTTAGTCATCAGTGAGCAGCAGATGTGCTTTTGTTGATCAGTTCTCATTTTGATCATTTTGATTTTTATTACTTCACTATAGATTAAAACTACATCTACTGACCAAGATGCATTAGCAATATCAGCACAGAATTGTGTATTACGAGCGACAGAATTGACGGAATCAGCTAAAAATGCAGCTTCATGCGCAGCTATACTTTTATCCTCTACACCAGATTTATCTATTGAAGGTCAAGTTCAACTGTTAACATCTACACGAGATGTTGTTGCCGGTTTAGTTCGATTACTTAATCATGGCAAGTCTGTGTCTGCGGCTTGTTATGCTATTGAATTTTGGAATGATCAAACAGATGGCACGTTAAGTTCAATGATGAAAACCAAACAAAAAGCTTTAAATGATACGGCTGTTCAAGTGATTGAAACAATAGCCAACCTGTCAAGAGCTCTGCGTTCTGTCAGTGATTCATTTACTAATGCTACTAAAACACCACCGGCTGTCAGTGATACTCCTGCGCCTTCACCAACACCTCCTGCTGTCCCACTGAAAAAGGTTAGCCTTAAAGTACCTGTACAAAAAACTATTATATCGAGTAAAACTGATCCTACGAAAGCTAATATACATGCTAGCTTAGAATCAACAATTTCTGTATTGGGAAATTTAAATGAAAAATTGAATAAATGGACTGTTAAAGATGGAGTATTGAATGCACCAGGTATGTAGATGTTGTTATTTAAAAAAAATTAGATCTTTTTTAAATATTGCAATCAATTTCTGTATCTTTTTGAAGTTACATTAGATGCCTTTGAAACAGGCTATCCTATCAGTATAGGGTAGGTTGGTAGGTTATTTAAAATAAATAGGAACAAATCTCTGCAAATTCTAGTGCATCATTTAATGAACAGCTTAGTAACAGTGTCTTATACTTCAGGTCCTAAAACATTCACTCGTTGATTAAACCACATAATTAGCTGATTAGTCATGATCATGGCTATGATTGGCTCTGATGTCAGCAAGCTGAAATCTACCACCAATCAGAAAACACGTAAAAGTTGCCTAAACTAATGTGACGCCTACGCACCTATGGTGGCAGCTTACACGTCCTCTGTTTGGTTAGATTTCAGTTTGTTGACATCAGAGCCAATCACATCTATGATAACAGGTAGTTAATGTCAGTGATGGTAATAAACTGAAGATAGTTTTACTCAGTGTTGCAATTTTCCTTATCATTAAATATTCTCATTGTTAAAGTTAAAGCAAGACACATAAGTGAACGATATTGTTTGCAATTAGATCTTCTTCAGGCTTTACTCTAATTTAGATAGCTTTATATATAAAAATTTAACCAATGACTGTGAGTTTGTGTCGTGAATATGTCAGTAATAACGACGATTATAGTGATTGTAGTAAAAATAACGATAATAAGGATAGTGATAACAAAAGTACAAGCAGTTGATGCAGGTGGTAGTAAGAGTAATGGAGATAGTATGATATTACGAACAATTCAATAATTACATTAGGTAAAAATTATAAGTTACGTAATACCAAACGTGAAGTAGATAGATAGTAGAAATTTAAATAACCGACACAAAAGTACGGAAAAACGTTAAAAAAAATAGGAAAAGATGGGAAGTTTTAATTAGATCTACCTATTTTGAAGAGAGAAAGAACGAATATGTTTGCAGGATAATACGAGCTCGTTTTATTTCGTGGATACTCATCAACTGCATACATCCTAAACCAAATAAAATTATAAGTTTCAAAAAAAAGTTTTCGAACATACTTTTTCATAATTACTTGGAGTTATAGATAGAAGGTATAAGGAACATAATTCCTGAATTAGAGGTAGGTAGACGGATTATTCAGTGTCAAAAAAGAACTAACTATGTATAGTGGAATTAGATAATAGAAGTTAGAGTTCAGATTTCTATTGGAAAACACAGATTGGTTAGAGGCATAATACAGGGTCAGGGTCAAAGAACAGAATGAATTTACACATCTTGTGATGGAGAGTTTAAGAGGGTGGAGGTGAATGGTGAAGTAACATTTTTTTAACTTAAACAGACAAATTAAGTGGATTTAGAAACCTGATAGTCAGTTCAACTTAGCAAGTGAAAGTCAAAATTGAATAGAATGTTTCGTAACAAGACAAACATACAGGCAAACTGACAAAAAGGAAAAATAAAAATAAAATAAAATAGAATTAGGGTTACCAGGGTAATGAAAGATTAGTCACACTATTCTTCTGTATACAGAGGTCTGGTCGAAGTCTCTTGATAGCAATGGCTTCTGCGAAGCGAAGTAGGCCAAGAGAGGAACAACGGTAGAATAAACTTCTTTTGTATATAAAGACTAGGATTATTCTCTCGAATTTCCCATAGCCTCGGTTATGTGTGAAAGGTGGGTTCGAATTCCGTTCGAAAGGCTCGACAGAATGTGATAGATAACATCTAAGGCGCTTCTTTTGTCCACTTGGTGACCGGTATTTCCATATATCCAGAATAGGCGTTACATCATTTCATCTGCACATGTTTGGAGTTGATTCGACGATCGAAAATTCGGTAGCTAATTTGTCCCTTTCTAGCTACCCAACTAAATTACATTTTAATATTTTTATCCCATCTCACCCTACAGTGTGGTTACTTAGTGAATCAATGTAGGTCTAACTGAATTCCTACATTCCGATTATCCAACTGACCTTGATCTACTAGTTGACTTAACATCCATTACGTTGGTAAATTATATTTTTCTTAACTGGATTTATCAGGTCCCTAAGACAACAAAGTTTATCTCTGTGAAAGAATTAGGTGGTTTAAACACTACCCTAATTCCCTTCTTATTTGGAATTCTGTGTGAGATCTCTGATGTGTCTGTTTTACACGACAGTAGTGTTGAGCCTTTGAATTCCTTATTAGTATTTCTATTATTTTCATTAGTTACATTACTACTTTATGGGTTTTCATATGTTTTTAAATGAAATCTGGTGAGTATTCATTTACTAGTGATACTTTTCTTTTTTTTAAATTTCATTATTTAAATCTCCTGATTTACTAGTTAGGCTCCAGTACCTATACCGATTTTCAGTGGGATGAATCATAGTTCATGTATTTATCAGAATGTGTTGGTTTTCTGTAGATGCCAATATCTAACCCACCATCCATCAGTAGGAACGGTGCCATCACGTATCCCGGATATACGGAAAATTGCGATAAAATGCATCAGGGAGTAAGACCGGCGATAAAGCAAGTTATCGAGTCATGTGAGAATACACTGATATAATAATACACCGATAATTGTGATTGAAACATTGTGCGGTCATTATCACTGTGCTGTATCAAATGAACTTGTCTAATATGGAATTAAATTCTTCCAGAATGCGCAAATTCTACTCTTACATAAATTTATTCAAGTCAAGAAAGACACAACGATAGAAGAAGCTTCTTATACACACAAGAATACACTGACGACGGGTACTCTTCCAAATCCCCTATCTGCAGTCATGTATTAAAAATGGGTTCTAATTCATTTCGAAAGGTCTTATAGGGAATGCGATAAATAACCTATAAAGGCGGTTTTTCTGTTCACCTGATAATCGGTGTCAATCAAATGAGACAAAATTAACCTTCTTATTAATTAAGCTGTCTGGCTGTTCTCCTTTCACCCTTATTATTTATTGGATTCATGTCCTATCCAATTCATGCTACATGTTCTACTTTATATTTATACGTGTTTGTGTTCTTTCAGATTTTGATGATGACTCAGAATTTGAACGACAAACTGCTCTAGGTCAAACAATCAATCCATCTTATTTAGTAAGCGCTGCTAGAGCTATTACACAAGCAGCTACCAATGCAAACAATGCTACTGGTTCTGGGAAACCATCAGAGATTAGTTTAGCTGGAGATATGATACGTCGTGCAGCTGAAGAACTTTCACGTCGTTTATACTCTGTTCTACAAACTTCATTATCATTAGCATTTAAAGGACAGAATGGTGGAAAACCTACCTCCAATTTCAATCATCAAAATTCAGTATCAAATAGTGAGTCAGGGAATGAAAGTGCATCAGAAGATTATAGTGAAACGATCAATTATCCGAAATTAGAGAAGATATGTCAACGTGCAATTAATGGTGGAGCTGGTACTATGTCAGAGCTTAAAGATTTAGTAGAACATATGAATAAAGTGAGTCTATCATTATGGGTTTGTTGAACACCCTCTTTTGTTTCATGCCTTGCGTCCCTTGTGGAGTATAGGGCTTCAGACTTTGAAGTTCCAGTAGCTCTGATAATGTTTTTACTGGGTTGGACTTGTTAGCTTTACTCTTAGACCTCCCTCTTTCCGGTTAGATGAGGTTTACAGGTGCATCAGTTGAGAATTGAACCCGGCCCCTTCGTGTGTCTGTTATTATTTTGTCTTATATATATTTTGTGTCTAGTGCACTGAAAAACTGGTTGTTACTGTTGACTAGTCTAATTTTCACTTGATGTTTAAAACACTGTCTAAATGAACTGAATTACAACTTTATTTACAGTTAGTGAGTAAAGGGGAATGATGCTCAGGAAGGCTTCGTGTGCTTTCGGAAGTGTGTGGGCGGTTGTTACTTCCCGGCTGCCCACACCTTGGAAGTTGATTAATTCTTCGGGTACCTGAAACAGAGAGAGGGTTATTGTTGCGTGACCTCAGAGCCCAGGGGACAACTGCTTGAGGCCGGTCACGCACGGCCTGTATGAACTGGTTTCTGGGATTGGTTCTGTACTAGTAAACTTACCACCGTATGTAAAGTAAGTCGGGATGTACAATTTTTGGGGTTGACCTTTTCTAACCCCCTTCCTCCGGAGTGGAAAGACGGCATAGCTGGCTTGCTGGTCATCTGAGGGAAACACCTCACTGCTGTTACACCCCTGTTCCCCAGCAGTACGACTTCGCCCTCAGACCCCTAGCATAGTGTAAGAAAGATTCTTACACTGTTCCGGTAACTGCTTTTAGTCTAATCACTATCCTAACAACCTTCCTGGCATGGTGTGACCTGCAGGAACATTGGTTCCAGGCAGTGTATCTTGTTGGGTCATCGCGATGTGCAAGCCCGACCACCACGTCAAGGTAGCAGCTATCGGTTGGGTTACAGTTAGTCATGGTAAGAGTGTTATTAATAATAATAGTGTACTAATTTCGATAAAACGAGATGTAATTAATCTGAAATGTGTAATATACTCGTGCAATACATTCCGGACATTCTGATCACACATTTACTTGTCAAATATGCATATGATAGACAAAAGTGCACAAATGATCGAAATTTTGTCAGTACTGGTCAGAATGTTTCCGGGTTATGACTACAGAAGGCAGATAGGAAAATGAGGCAAGAAAAAGAGTGGGGGTGAATATATTATGAAATGAAATGAGCCCTAATTTTAAAATCGGATTACCAAGGAAAAATAAAACAGAAAAAAAAAAAAAAACGCAAGAAATTAATATAATATAAGAAGAATATACATTGATAAAGGAGACAAGTTCATACAAGTGAAATGGTCACAGACTAAGAGAGCAAACAGAAAGAGAGACCAACATACACACACACATAAATATATATATGTGGATACATATCACCAAGGCAGGATCAAAGTAAATTACAAATAATTTTTGAACCCATTAAGCAGGTTTAAGCCGTTTTTATTTCTAGAGGTTCAATGAGTTGAAGTATTTGACCCAAATCTGTTCTATATATAGATTTAATGTCATTATTGAAATTAACTTTATGACCCGTCTCTATGACATGTTATGCGATGATCAACGTTCCCTGGGTCAAACGATGTTTTAGTAGCTACTTGGGTATGTGTTATATAGCCTTGGCCCACAGACATCTATGAGTCCTCCCTTTGTACCTGTGACCACACACATACCTCATTTTTCTACCTCTTATCTGTGATCTTTACCTATAAATATTTTGAGCTGTACCGATAAAATTGGGCCCTTGTGCAAATTGGCCAAATCTCAAAAGAAAAAAAAAAAAAAAAAAAAAAAATTACAATCCTATTAAAAAAATAAATTTTTTTTTGTGGGTAAAAATAAAAAAAAATCCAAGTCAATAAAGAATACTGAGAAAGTGTATCATATATATATATATATATATATATATATAAATGAGTTATGAAAGATAATGGTCACTTGGATATACAGCTATAGTCGACTTCTACATATTAACAATATAATCCGCAGATACAGTTCACTGCTGAAGAGTCTTTGGACGAGGACGAGATGTTCCTGTAAAAGTTTCAAAGAATATTTTTGATTGGACACTAATCAGTAACTAGTGTAATGTGTCTAGTCCCATTTTCGGTGCAGACTGAATTCTATCAGTCAAGCTTGAAATGTGACCACCATGCCAGGTGGCTCGCCATTATGGTGCACTGTGAACTGTTGGTATTAGATAGTTGAAGGTAATCGGCAGGAAGCCTTGGACCTAGGTTTCGTGCCAGTTGGCACTCCCAGTCAGCAAGACGTACCTGCAACCTCGGAGAAACTCACTTCCCTTCTGAGATTCAAACCTGCGTCATCCAATTCACAGTGCACCGTAGTGGCGAGCCACCCAGCATGTTGGCAACATTGCAAGCTTGACTGATAGAATTCAGTCTGCACCGAAAATAGGACTAGACACATTACACTAATTACTGACTAGTGTCCAATCAAAAATATCAAATACAGTCCTACATGTGGTCAATCGTGAGCCTGAATAGCTCAGTGGTAACGTCTCTGACTGCAGTACTCACTGGGTGATACGGGTTCGAATCTCAGAAGGGACGTGACTCCCTTCGAGGTTGCAGATACACCTTGTTGGCTGGAAGTGCCAACTAACACGAAACCTAGGTCCAAGGCTTCCTGCCGTTTGGCTTCAGCCATCTAATACCAAAAATTCCAAAGGACATTTACAACATGAGGATTAACGGAGCAAGTAGACACGTAGGAATCAGTGAGACGGCAAAGCGGTGGACAGCATGACTATATTTTCATTCGAACACGAAATTTAAGTATTTGACAAAGAAATCAGTTAGAGCAAAAGCTTTGTCTAGTGTGTCCATTTCTAACACTTGGTAGAACTTCACACTTCTCTTCAACTTCAGAAACCTAAAGGTATGAACATAATAAGAACATGCATTTTTTAAGATTCTGTTATCGAAAGTTCGACATGAAGATCGTAGTTTAAGCAGACAACAATGGGTGAACTGTAATGGCATCATCATTTACAGCTAACACAAATAGGAAGTGGTTCTTTATGATGAGTTCCCAAGAATATTCGAGAAGTCTTGTTAGTTGACTCAACAACAACAAAACTAGTCAGCCAGCAACATACAGGAAGAAAGGTGGCGTAAGCTAATCACTTCCCAAATGCTTGCTCGTATGGTATTATGTAACTTTTTCTTTCCATTCGCTTCGTAAAGTTCTTAAGAGTAGGTGATTATACTCAATATACGATGACCCTTTTGGTTTGTCCACTTTCTAATGAATTCATCATCAAACCTTGAGCTGAAGATGTTTGTCAAGAGGGTAGATGAAAGCTTCGCAATTAAACTGCTATCCAATTCACAGAACGCAACACTAAACAAAAATCATCCACCTGAGCTACTAATCTTCTCTATTACTTCAGAGTTATCATTCGTTCGTCACTACTGAAATACGACAATGCACGTTAATCGCTTAAACATAACTGAATCAACATCAACTGAAATTTCTTGTTTATCAGTTTATCAATGTTAACATAAAAATCGATTAGCATAGAAGTAATCCGTGAAATATTTACTCGCAGAATTTTTAAACTACTCAGGATTTTTAAAATTCAATTTAGATTTTCCTGTCGATTGATTGGACCGGAGTGCTCAGTCTCAGGTTGACATGTCGGCCTCTTGTGCAGATGCTTCGACGATTCCTGGTCATGTAACTTGAAGTCGATTGGTGGATGGTTACTAGCAGTGGAATCCAGAATTGTGTGTTTCGTCTATGGGAAAATCTAAATTGAATTAAATAATTATTAAAACCCGTTGCACAAGAGGTGGCCCTCGTGGCCCAAGTGGTCTAGTGGGTAACGCTTTGGTGTTTGAGACTACGGGGACTGGTTTCGAGCCTCAGTCGGTACACCATCACTCACTGGGAAACGCAAGTACATCCAATAGACGAGTTCCAAAAAGGACGAAACGCACGTTATCCTAGATTCCACTGTTAGCCATCATCAACCAAGTGACTTCAAGTTACCCAAGTTTTACATAACAGATGCCAATGTTGTCGTGAAACACTGGTAAAGGCAGTCTAAAGGAGCCCGGTCAAGTGATTGATTTCTCTCTTCAAATAATATATTGTCTTCTGTTCGGAGCAACTCTAATAAATAGCTATTTTATACATTTTCGCTTACAATCTCATTGTCATTCTTATTATCTATTTGTTTGTTTTAATCTGTCTATTTTCTCTTGTTATTTTGTATTTTTCATTATCGTTGTAAAAGGCACTTGACTCAGGTCCTGGAAGTCCTGACAGTGTTCAAGTCACTTTGGCTATGCGACGTTTACGTGAGACTGTTTTTGAAATTGTTGACTGTTCTATATCATTACCTGGCGCTAAAGAGGACGATATTGTTGGTATGTGTTTCTGTTTGAATAAATCATAAATATATATATCATTACATATTTAAAAAAAATTTAAATGACATTCACTTTATCATTTTAAACCCAGACTTGTTTCTTTTTTTTGAATTTAAAAATGCCCCACTACTGTCTTTTGTCCCGAGTGGAACAAAGGGCTTCAAAAGTTTTTTTAGCGGGGTAGGGTTACTAATCTCCCTCCCAGCCTTCCCTCTTCTCCGGAATTACCACGGGCTAGTAAACTATACGAGGTTTAGAAGTGTGTTGGCTGAGAATCAGAACCGAACCTCTTGCGTGTCTCATGAGTATCCTACCATCTATGAATCATGTGAAAAAGCAACTTTATTTAGTTGTTTTTACAGTCCACATGGATACGGCTGACTCACTTTAAAAGCATAAGTTATCGTCGGTTTTAGTTGGGAGATATTTAGAGCTTTTATAAAAGAAGGAGGCAGAAAGTCGTGGATTTATTATCCTCTGGTGGTGTTCCACTTGTTGGAAAGATAAACTTATCGGTCCGTGGTTGAGAAAGTCTACTGACTTAATTCAAAGCACACACATTTCATCATCTCCAGTTTTCGTTATTTAACTGTCACTTGTGTTTTTGTTAGTTGTACTCATGAATGTAAATAAATATCTTGGTATTATCCATTGGAGGCGGTAAGCCACGATAGCCACAGCATGTTAAACATGTATTAGTTTAGATCACTTCAAGCTGAATAGCGCCAGGTTACTACTACTTGTTGATATGGGTGGTATCCAACTACTCATGCTAATCAATCAGGAGTACATAGCGCCATGCATTTAAAATTGTTTTCTTGATTCCCATTCACGGTATCAAGCAGATCACATATCGTGACCCGAATAATTTTGGTTTCCAAAGGTAACTGTAGTGAAGTTTCCCCTCGAACTGTGCAAACTCCAAATGGCGAATTGAATCCAATGTGCTACCAGTTTGCTGTACTAGCTAGCCGAAATTCGATTGGTTTCAACTGATGCAGCTCTTTGAACTGGGGGAAAACCTGGCACGCCTTGTGCCAAGCCCTACAAGTTCATGTGTGAGTGGTATCCAACTACTCATCAATCAATAGTGTATAGCATTATGCCTCTATCAGTTTTCGTCTTTGAAATTGCTTTGATCTGAACTGAATGGATCGGTTTCTGTTGTCAACATGGACTGTTTGCATAAACATCTTCATAGCGTTTGTATTAAGTGAGATTGTAAACTATCTTGGTATAAGCTCTAAAATTAGTTTAGCATTTCGCGTTTATTGATTACTTTGAACCGAAATGCTCAGTCTGTGCTTAGCGTATACCTTTACGTTTGAAACGAGAAAGGCTCAGGGTACGAGTCTCAATGGAAGCACTATCACTCACTGGGAATGCAGGTACATCCAACTGACGTGCCTCAAATAGGATGAAATGTATATTCTGGAACCCGCCGTTTTTCATCTTGCACTAAATAAATTCTTTTACTTTTGTGCCTTATTATGAATGTTTTAAGGCTTCCATTGCATTGTGAAACTTCTTTGATGGTATTTTTTCTACGATTATAAAGAAATATTCCCTATTTTTTTCGTATTCTTCATAACCACAGATTTCAAACCAACAGTGTCACCGAAACCAATTACAATATTGATTGATAATAAAGTAACAAGTTTATTTGAAGGTTCTTCAAATAGAGGATCAATATATAGCAGTTCTATAGATATTGAAAAGAGTATAGCTGAAGCGAATGCAACAGCTGTAGATATTGATCGATCATTCTTATCATCAACCTCTCCGTCAACATCATCATCAGTGGGTGTACAAAACGCTTTACAAGATTTCGCTGGAGAAATTGAAAGAAGTGTTGAACGCATAGGTCTATTGCATTCAAAACATTCATTTAAGGTAATATTTTTAGTCTTGTAGTTATATTGTATACTGTCATATATATTAACGTTCAATGAAAATTTCATGTGTATAATTCATTGGAATAGCAGTAACTCAGTAACAGTAATATTAATAAAGCTTTATTTCAAACAGTATTCGAACACATTGTACAAAAGTTTTCAGCGTATTTAGTTCCTAGATATCTTTTTCTTCATACATGATTTACATGTAAAGTATTAATCTGAAGCGTCTCTTCATTTCGTTTACGAAATGCACAACGTTTACTTGGAAGCAAGTTAAATCAACGCGCAAGTTCATGTATAGGTCATCTGATATAGCTGGATGATTAAAACAATGATTATTATTATTTTTTTCCTTAAATTCCTAGAATAGCATAGGGCTTCAGCTGCACCTCTCCATTGCGTTCAGTTTTCTGCCAACTTTTTCACTCCGCTCCAAGTCTGTCCACATGCTTTCATCTCCTCTTCACATGACCTTCTCTAAGTCACCCTTGCACTGACGACCAACTCGCTGCTTCCCTTTCGGGTTCCATTAGAGCGATGGCTTGTCTAGTGATGTCACTTTAATGGTTTCCTCAGTGTATGGCCAATCCATCTCCATTTCTTCCTGCCTATTTGTTTCACAATCGGTTCCTGCTGGGTTGGTTCACTCATTGCCAGAGATCTTTGTTTCTGATCTTTTCTGGTTGGCCATCTGATCTTGAATATTGAGCGAAGACAGCTGTAAGTGAAGGTCTGAAATTTGTTTGAGATGCTCTTCATGACGCGCCAAGTCTCTGATCCATACGTATAGTAAGTAGCACTGAGTTCACATTGGAGTTGAAAATCCGGATCTTATTTTTGATAATGAGTGCTGTTCACCTCCATACAGACTTAAGAGCAATGAAAGCTTATCTTGCTTTCCCGATCCTTGCTTTGATATCCTCGTCAGTTCCGTCCGCCTGTAATTGAAACGATGCTTCCCAGATAGGTAAAGGAGGTTGTTTCTTTCAGGTTACTCCCATTCATGCTGGCTGATTGTTGTCTGTTATTTCTGTTGCTCTTGGTGATGTTGGCCAGAAATCTCCATCACCTCTGTTTTATCTATGTTCACATGAAGTTCTATGTTCAAATGAAATTAAGCATTTTGGTGAAAAACAATTTCGGTAGCCCATTGGTCAAGCAGGCCGCCTCAGTTACAAAGACAGGCAATAAAACATGTGCTTATGAAAGATGAGGCGAAATTATGATTACACTATGTAACTGTCTGCAAATAAAACGCCAACCAAAGTAAAACATTTGAAGTGATAAGGAAGGGAAAGGTCACTATTTGTTGTTTAGAAATATCGCCCGTACTTAGAAGGCTTCTTCACTTTGATCTACAATCAAAGTATTCATGGATTCACCTGTTCTCCAGGTGTTTACTTTTCTGTAGATTAATTGTATGCGAGACACGATCGCAGGTCAGTAGTGGATAGTCGATTTGGGAATTTTTACATATTGTCTTTCACTCAATGTAGTTTCGTAACTTCATCGAAATTCTTATTTACGTTTATCAATCTCTGTTTAGAGACAAAGTAACTCATTCAACACACAGCATACATGTGTTAAATATACCTCGATTATTTTCAAGTACTGTCAAGTCTAATGAAATTATCTGAAATCATTAATCAATATCAATTGTAAAGACTGGTGTAATAAATATTCAATTATTGGTTTTGTAGAGATTGTGTTCGATTGGTTGGAGGGTTTCATCATGGGCTGATATCAGTTAGGGAACCATTAGAAAACCTGGGAGTACTGGACAGCTGTTTCCCCCTACTTTGGGACTCTTCATCACTACGCACCCGCCGGGTCCCAGTAGCTGAATGGTCTACGAGCTCTTCTGGTAACCAGAAGGTCCTGGGTACGAACCTCGGTGGGTGCGTACTGCTTAGGAGTCCCAAACTAGGCTGACGAAAGGGCGGTCGAGTACTCCCAGTTTTCCAGTGGTTCTTTAACTGATGTCAGCTCATGATGAAACCCTCCAAGCAACCATAAATATTCATCTGTTAGTGTTTATTATTACTATTATTCGTCACTTGAATTCCGAGTGGGACAGAGGGCTTTAGCAGCATTTTACTCCGTTCTCTACAGTATTTTTACCTGCCTCCATAGTCGCCCATAAGCGCTTTCATTTCTTCTTCACATAACTTCCTCCATGTCGCTTTAGAACGTCCAACTCGTCGTTCACCATACGGGTTCCATTCATGTTGCATGATTTCACTTAACAGTCTCTTCACCGTGTGTGTACAGTCGATCTCTATTTCTCTTTGCATATCTGTTGGGCGATGAGTTCTTGGTTGGTTCGCTTCACAATCAAAATTTCTTGTTGTTAATCCTTTCTGGCCACAGTTTTAGTCATTACTATATATTTTCTTAGTAAACTTTACATAAAATTATTTCCTCTTCAAATGGTCTGATTGATCGCGTTAATAGTAATTATTCTAATGGCGATAAAATTAGACGAAATAGTATGCAGTCAATGTTATATTCTAATTTCTGGATGTGTATTCGTTTACTACTCTCACAGCATGCTTATTTAGCCTACCACATACTGTTCAGCCATCTCTTAAGGCGTATGGATAAAATGGATTGATAGATAGATAGATAGATTATGTTTACTCTAGGTGTTGTCAGTGGTAGCTGTTGAGTTTTTTACAAGGCAGCATCAAGTACTATTTCTTCTAACGTGATATGCAACTTCTCATACGACTCCACCTGTTTCAGTTTTAGGCGTTGATGTACTGCAAATTTATCATGCAATATGTATGTGATTTACGCTATTTTAATACACGAATGTAACTACTAAATAACCCTATTGTTGTCTATCTAGTTTGTGTGAGAATAATTCCAGTCATAAAATTACATACACTTCAACCCTGGAAATACTGTCGTAATTGTTTTGTTCTCTTTTTAAAAACAATATTGACTGGTACACACTACTTTTGCCTTATTCTATGATTGAAACTAAGTAGAGATTTAGTTGCACTGACCCCGTTTCCAGCAACGATGTCGAATAAAAGCTAGAATCTATAAATGCAAAATTATTTATACTCACTTAATCACTTCACTCTAGTTTATGTCATCAAGTTACTGTTATTCTGTATTTGCTTTATTCTCTATCCTGAATGTGGCAGTAAACATCAGAATTGATAAGAAATTTTAACCATATGCATTGGTCCAACAGTAGTAGGCTTTTGGCCAACCATGCACGTGGTCGGGAGTTCGATCCTTGGTTGACTGACCTCTAAACCTCTGTAAACCGATAATGATCCTGGTAAAGCGTGAAGGTTGGGAGTAAGGCCAGCAACCTCACCCTGTAAAAAAGAATAACACCTGTGTTCCAATGGCAGCGCACACAGTGGGTATAATGATTAACCCAATGACCACCTTCCAACCCTACAACTAAGAGGAGGGCGTCTAATTTCTCCATCAAAAATAAATCTAATAGATAGCGTTTAATTTATATCTTTGTTCATACTAATCTTCTTTCTGTTGTCTGTTATGTACTATATTAACTAAAAAAGGTTTAGCTCTCAATCAGTTTTCTGTTCGGTCACCCTGTAATATGTTGAAAGTAAAATCTGGTTTAAATAGTCTATATTTGTGGTATAAAAATTGGTATTGTGTTTGTTAAGAAGTTCCTCCTCAATTGAAAAGTTTCATTGGTAAAGTTAAACTATCATTACCAAAGTCAAGGTCCGTCGAAAGTTAACCTTCAGGAACTAATCAGACTTAGGGAAGGCTATGGAAGGTCATTCCAAATCAAATCACGCCTGCCTTTTCATAGACATACTATTCTACTTATTTTTTAGGTACTTTTTCATGTGAATCTATACTGTTACGTAGGGTTAGGTTGGGTTTTGGGGGTAGGTTAAAGAACATAGTGAAGAATATCAATGGATCCCAAAGAGCACCATAATCTACAGTCACTTGGATGAATTTAATCTGTCACACATGGAGTGATTTCTCTACGGCTTATCCTTGGAGTAATTGGAGAACATTTTTACAACACATAAGCGGCAATTACCTAGTATAAAATGATGTCCGCAGTGTTTTTTAATGCCTTTTTTTAACGACCATGGAACTCTTTTTGCTTCTGAATTCTGATTGGCTGTTCAAGGCCACTGTGATAATTTAATTTTACCGGTTTAGTATTATTAGTCTTCCATTGGCTGTGTGCATCTGAATGACTAACAGTATTCTTTTGGCCAAATCGAGGTGATCTAATCTACTAGAGAGAGAGAGAGAGTTGTTTTACCTGTTTATGGTTGAAATATTGACCCACCGTGTATCCTAACTAAATCAATCTCAATGAGTCGAATAGTTTGGGATTTTTCAAAAGAATGGTTACTGAACAAAGAGTACTCTTTTCGATAAATTCATTATCAAGCTCTACAGTTATACATACACATTATAGTGAATGAATGAATGAATTAGTGTTATGAACAACATTAATAATGTTTAAATAACATCGAATCAATAATATTGATAGATTACAGCTCAATAGCATCAATATAAAATAAGCTGAATGTCAGAAAAATTAGAAAAGATAATATTACAAATTCATGAATTTATAGTCTTTACCGAAGGCCCGCCAAGGCAGTAGTAGGGGCTGGATTTGCTTCTTTTGAACACAGAGCGCTGGTTGTTTGAGGTGAATCGCAATAGTCTCCGCTGTTTGGAGTCTGCGGTGCTTCGATGTTGTTAGCAGTTTATTAGGCACCCGGTATATTATAGAGAAGGATTCTTCTACGCTGGCTTTGTGGCCGGTTTGCACCAGATGGTCCAATATCGAGCTGTTAATGGTTTTCACTACACCTTTACTTAGCCATAGTGGAAGATGTTCCCGAGTGAGCACGAAAAATCAAGTTCCTAGAGCAACGGCCAATGTAACTGGCTCCGCAGGCGCAGTTGAATTGATAGATACAATTTGAAGTGGCTAGTCTAGGTACTTCATCTTTCAGTCGAAGAATCACCAACAGTCGTGTGGAGCATAATGCGTGTAGTTCTCCAGCATTAAAAGTTCTTCGAACTGGTTTTCTTAATCTCCTAGTAATTATCTCACTTGGTATATCGGGATTTTTTTTGTAAACCACTTATTCGATTAAGGCAAATAAACATGATGATTAGAATGCAAGAAAACTACGGCTTTTGTTGTCCTCATAAATTTTTTCAAAGAAATAAAATTTGCAATTTAATATTTTGTGAATCAGAAATACAAAAAAACGGATATTTACATTGTTGTACTAGATGATAGATAGACTATATAGTCTACTGATTATTATTCAAGTTTCTGATTGTATTGTTGACTTCTAATTCTTTAGCATTCATTGAACTCACAGAAATCTGGTCATTTGCATATGGATGAATCAAGAGATACGGTAGGAAGTTTACTTTTTGTTTTGTGTGTGTGTGTGTGTATGTGTGACCTATTCATTTTATTCGTCTAATATGTAGTTCATTACGATTATTTAAATGTCTGCATGATATATATATATATATATTCTTTTACGTTCCCAGTAGAACATAGTACTTCAAGGTAAAGGCTTGAAGTTTCTGTAGCGGTGGGGACTATTTTTACGGTATGGGGTTGCTGGCCAGCTGCCCAACCTTCCCTCCTTACTAGTCTTACTACTGTCTTAGCGAGGTAAAGGAGTGAGTCGGCTGGGGATCGAACACCGACCCACCTGTGTGGTATATACATATATATCCAAAATTAGTGGACATTTTTCCTGTCAAATACATTCATAATAGGCTTTATTCTGAATGTTAGATGCCTGAAGGTGGTAGCTATACTCGTGTTGCTATTCCACTTTAGTTCATAGGATAGTTACTTTTTCCAGTGATATCATTGTCAAGCTGTACAATCACATATACATATATAATTGTCACATTGTCACAGCAACAAAACGAGTGATTGCAAAAATGTACCATAAAAAGTTTTGAGTCCTTAGGTAACAATCAAAAGATTTCGAATTAGATTCTACTTAATGCAGAAGCATTAATCAGATAGAGATTAAAGCAAAATTGATTGTAGGATTTCATCATGAGCTGGCATCAGTTAGAGAACCATCGGAAACCTTGACAGTACTGGACAGTTGTTTCCTCCGTCCTAGTCTGGGACTCTTCATCAGTACCCACCTATCGAGGTTCGAACCCAGGACCTTCTGGTTACAAGACTAGCGACTGAGACCCGATCCATGCAACCAGTGGTTCTGCCATGGATCTGACCCAGGACCTTCAGGTTATGCAATGAGCATGTTGCTATTCAACCACTGGGACGGAATCCAATGACACATGCGTTCTAACTTCAGCTACCCGGTACTTCCTGGTTTTTAGCGATTTTTCCATACCTTATCTATTTTAAGTTAGTAGATTTTATTAAAAGGAATGAATTTCAAAACTTTGCCTCAGTTTTTCATCCTTCTTGAATGTATATAAGATATTTACAATTTCAGTGCGTATTTCGCCACCGTATATATATATTCGTTTTATAATATTTGTATATTACTTTCAGATGGGGCATTTATCCAAATCTTCAAGTACTGCAGCTTCGACAAACACTCTTATACCTAGTAATGATATATCACTTGGTAGTGATGGTGGAGATATTGACTTAATAGCTTCAGATGGTATGGATGCAGTAATTATAGCCTGTCGAGATGTGGTTCATGCAACACTGAGTTTAATGTATTGGGCTGCTGCTGCTCAACGTGAACTTGTACAACAGGGTCGATTGAAACCGATTGATTTATCTCAAACAGGTGAAGTGGAATCAGAATCACAATGGGCACAAGGTTTAATATCAGCAGTAAGTTATCGATTATATATATATATATATATTAAACTTAACACATTTTCCTAACTTATTATTTATCGAGTACATTTAAGGCTTCATGCTACTGTAATGTTAATCTTGACATTTCCTTAATAGTATTTACTATTTTCATTTGAACGATATTTTCTGAAAGAGATTATTTGCTATGGACCATAAACTGATGGCTCAGTCTCCTACTTCCCACTGGGTCATAGCTATTCACTGTCGATTCATCTAAGGCAATGAGGAATTAGATTTCATTAGTCCCCAAGTTTGATTTGGCTACAATATATGTCGTACAATCGATGACATAGCAAATAAGTCAAAGACTTTCATATCAGTCGACGGTCATAACGTGTGGAGTATCCTATGTTATTTACATTGAAAGACAGTTTAACCACTTTCATTATTTCTCTAATTTGTTTCTAATTCGTCTACACAGTTGTCAACGGTCTTACCTTAAACCCTTCCAAACGCCAAACCGTTAATTTCACCTGCAGGCATGAATCTGGCCCAAACACTCACGAGGTGTGCAACATAGATGGCACTCGTAAGATTTAGATATGATAGAGAAGATTTGTAGCTCAGGTGGATGATTTTGATGTGGTTTTGTTCTCTGAGCTGGATGGTTAGTTTGCGAAGCTTTCATCACCTTACTGGGTGACATCTTCAGCGCATACTTCAATGGCACTGAAATAGACACCAAATCGGAAATTAAATACCTAGGTGTCATTCTGTCTGCTGATCTTTCCTGGTCGTCTCATATCTTGATGATTTCTAAGAAAATATTCTGTCTTACATTCTATATCAAGAAGTTAAGACATTCTGGTATAACCCAACCCTTACTCCTACAATTCGTTAACTCTCACATTCTGCCTATTATTCTCTATTGTTCTCCCTTAATTTTTCCTGGGCTACTGAAGAAAGAATATACCTCATTACGCAGGATGTTAAAGGTTGTCATCAGGGTAAGCCACAGGGTGCCACTTAACCAGCTTGTTAATATTCTGGTTGACAGGCACATGGACTCATGTGAAAAATGGGCTAAATCCATTCTATCTATCTAACTCACATCACCCTCTTCATTCACAACTCTCCTCTTGTATCTCATCAGGCAGGCAGACCAGAAGCCTAAATGGAAAACTATATGCTCGCACTAGTAAGTACAAAAACTCAACCATACCCTACTTAGGTCGTGTTCTGTGCGATAAAGAAAGCATTAGGCGTGATACCTATAACTTATTAAATAGTCAGTAGAACAACTGGATCTCGTCTTTCCAACACATATCAAATTATTCATAGGTACAACATCTTCGTTCTTTCTTTTCCTTTTCACTCTCTCTGTCTTTTCCTGCTATATACTGCTTTGTTTCTTTGTTCCGCTTACGCCAGTAAATATGCTACCATCTACTTTTCTAACACCTTCAAACACTCTGTTCAATTTTGGCTTTGCTACCGACATGGCAATATGTTGTCAAAACTAACCGAGATTACCCATAATCTATGTAGAATTTTATTTATTGATAATGTACTGACTGGATGCAATACTGTAGTAAAATGGTGAAAATTCCATTCTGTATCCCCAGTAGTGTTTTGGAATAAAGCAAATAATTATTATTGTTATTTCTGTACAGAATTTTATTCTCTTGATATAACGCATTTTCCCAATTAAATAAATAGATTACCCTGAATTTTATGTCTTTGAATGGAAGTACTTCATTTTCGAAGAGAATATCTGTAGAACTTGTTGACCTGATATGCGTTCAGGCAAGAAATTATGAACTATGCTGTACTACTTGTTGAAATTCAGCCTTAAGTTTTATTAGATTTCGTTTATTTAACTTTGAAGTCGCTAGTTCAAATGGGTGATTGTTCGCCAACCACTCACATGGTCTGGGTTAGATTCCTGGTTGACACATTCCTGAATCTTGTCTAGTTTACTGGCCGGTAGAAAGTCTAAAAAAAAGGTAAAATTGGGCGTGAGGCTAGCAATAACGCCCCATGATGACAACAAACTATCGCTACTGAAACTTTAAAACTTGAAACTTGAATCCCGATTTTAAACCCGGATCTCAAGGAATGAAAAATAATAATAAACTTCGGTGTAAACATTTTTTTGAAAGCATTTGATAATAGATATTCTTCCTTTCAATTTAGGCAAGATATGTAGCTGTTGGTGCGAATCATTTAGTTGAATCAGCTCAAGCCTTTGTGACAATGCATGTTGGCAATTCTTCTTCTTCTTTCCCAATGGAATCGGATGAAATGTCGTTAAAGCCGGAGAGTTTAATATCAGCTGCACAAACAACAGCTGGTTACACAGCCCAACTGATAATTGCTTGTATAGCCAAGGCTGATCCAAATTCACAGAGTTGTTCCGGGCTGCGTACAGCTGGTGGAGCCGTCAAACATGCAGCTGATCGATTAGTGCGTATTGTACAGACAGTAGTGTCAAAAAATAAAGGCACCTCGGCAAAACAATTTGATGACGGTGAAAAAGACCAGTCGGATAATTCAGGAAATACATTTGACGCTTTTGGTGGTCGAGTTGTTTCATCTATGCGACAAGTAGGTGTATTTTTTGTGGCATTTGTTTCAGTAAAAATGCCTACCCTCTGTGTTTAATTTCAATTTTATAGTTTTTAACAGTTTTAATGATAATCCGTTTATTCTGTGTGGTATGCGTTTACAGTGAAGACGAATTATCGTCTCACCAGTATATGGAGTTCTATGAACTTATTTCTTGGCGTGGATAGATAAATAACCAGTTGTGGGTGGATTGGATGTTGAGTATGCTACAAAATAAATTTAAACAAATTTTTTAGTGTGTGACATAAAACTCTCACACTCATACTCATAAATAGTATAAAATATGCAGAGCTAGTCTTTCAAGATGGTTTTCCACTTGGATGGAACACTACATGATTCCTCATATGGAGTGGAGAACGTTAGTGGCATCGATATCTTCATTTTGAATACATTATTCAGTACTTGTGTAAACTTTGTGTATGCATGGTCAAAAATCAGTCAATTTTAACTATTCATACTGCTTTGCGTGATGTAATAGCGCGATGACTACAGTTCAAATGGAAACATCATACGCTGCAGGTCTCAAACCAATGGTCTGTAAATATTGATTCAGAAGTTAGTGAACTGAATTATGAGACGCTTCGTTTTACTTGAATCACTGGCGTACGCCTGTAATCTTGCTACTTGAAGGCCGGGGTGCGGGATTTCGCGGGACCGGGAGTTCTGGCATATGGATGGTCATGTTAATCGGGCGTCCACGCTAAGCACGGCACCGATATGGATGACCTATCAGAGGATAGGTTGTCCAGTTCGACTAAGGAGCAGCGGATCGGCCCAGAAGGCGAAATTCTCCGCTTGGTGCGGTATCAGGATGGCGCCTGTGAATGTTGGCCATGTGATAGCCTGGTCGGCGCGTAGAGACCGCCTCCTTTTGTGCGTCGGTGGCACGGCGGTCAGGTGCAGTTTTTGGTTCCATACAGGTGCATCAGGTTAACGGGTTACAGATGAGATGAAACAAACATTTTGGATTCCATTTTAGTATCCAATCAAGTGACACCAAATTGATATCAAGGCATCATCAAATGGTCTGTACTAGGAGCCAGTATACCAACAAATATCGAATATTTCTGTCTAGTATAATTAAACATTCAGGTGGGGATCCAAAAGTTTCAATGAATAAGAATCCTAAGAATTCATCTCGTTATGCGTTATTAGTCAGTAAAAAATTATTATGAATTTGCGTGGATACTTAGTAATTTATTGTAGTCACTTTATAATCTGATGGTTTCAAATTCTAGCTAAATTTTGTCATGAAATCTTTCAGACTATTCAATTCTTTGCAAAACTAAGAATGAATGACTGATAACTGCTTCCTTGACGTGGTGGTTCGGTTTGCATATCTCAGTGACCCAGAGAGATAAATTTGCTTTAGATCCTGCCATGCCCGAAAGGTAGTTTGGATAGCGGTTTACACTACGTTGGGAGTTTGTGTGAGAGGTCATACTACTGGCGAATAAGGTTGTAACAGGTTTGGTGTTTCCCTTGGATGACCAGCTACCTATACTGCCTCTCCACTCTGGAGAGGGGGGTGGTTTGAAAAAACAGACCCAAAATGTTTTACATCCTAACTTACCTTGAGGCAGTTGGTTGTCAGCAGCAAGATTTTAGTGTGAACACAACTCCAATAGCTTTTGTGTTAGTGACGTCAAACAGTTGTCCCCTGAGTTTTTCGGTCATATAACATCAATGTTCCTTCTCTTTCATATATTTCTGGAAGAAATCAACTTCCATGTAGTGAACAGCCGGGAAGTAATAGCCACCCACACACTTCCACATTTACCTCAAAACTTTCCTAATCACCACCCACTTCCATAAATAAATTCTTACATAATATATCCTCTTCTTTTTTTAATATTAATTCCTATAGGTAATTGAAACTAAATCCAGTATTGCTGCTAAACAACGAGAATTAGAGAGTTTACATGCTCAATTGAAACATATTCATCAAGATCAATATCGATCTTCGCATATGCATTCAACAAACAATTGAAATTTTGGCAATTCAAGAAAACTGTTTACTTCTCTTTTTTTGTAGATGAAAATTACACTTAACACTTCACTCAGAGTCTCCTATCTCTATGCGCTTGTCATTAAAACAAAGAAAGTGATGGTGGTGGAGAAGGCGGCGGAAAAAGGGAGTCGAAAGATTCGCCTTTTTATCGCACCGTTTTTTATAATACACACATATATATATATGTATAAACAGAACATTGGTTATATTTTCTAGCAAGATTAACAAGAAACCTTTGCGTTATAACTCCATTAATGGACTTTTTCTTATTTCTTATATAATATATATTAGTATTATATATACATATATAAATATATACGTTTAATTCAGCTATTTCAATGGATGCAAAACCTGTAAGGGTATAAATCGCGCCTTTCGTATATATATATATATATATATATATATATAGACACACAAATACACTCAACCTCCATTTTTCATGATTTATCTTTATTTCTCAATTGTTCTCCAATTCTGTGTATTTTATTCCTATTTGAACATGTTTTCCAGGCTTTTTGTTTTTGAGAAAATATGGGAATAATTGTTCAAGGGAACACAACCAAATCTCTTTTGTTGATGAATCAATGGATTCATTGCATAAATGAATGTTAGGATAGGATGTTTCTTTCATTTTCGCTTTACTACCTCTCTTGATATGAAAAGTAGAGGCTTTGATATGAATCAGTTTGATGATAAATATAAATATAGAAATAATGTGGGGCGATTGTGGAGGGTGGTAATCTTTGACGCCGGCATACATAAACTTGTTTCGTAATTCCCATCTTACTAGTATTATTGATAGTAGTAGTAATATTAGTAGTATCTTGCCAGTTTTTATGAATTACATTTATATGTATTTCTTTTTTTAATATTATCTTTACAATGTCTCAATGAATTGAGAAAAAACAAACCCAGTAATTTGGTGTAGGATTATACGCATGATTTTTACGCATGTGTGTGTGTGTGTAGGCTCACTCTTTTCCTCGATTGTTATTGTTCTACCTGCCTATCTATCTATAGTTATTATTATTATAATATGGTGTTATGACGTGAAGACGGAGGATTCACTTCCTCTTTCATAGTTTAATTTATTTCTCAGTGATTTTTTTTATTGTGTATTAATTATTCTGAAATATCCTATCTTCCATTGACGATTATTGAACGCCTTAATCCTTAATGTGCTAAGCCTACCTACCTACCTACCTAGTGTTGCATCCGTTCCTTGACTCATCCATTCAATGATCATAGTGTTTTCATATTATGATCCGCGTTGATGGATGCTGTTGAATTCTTTCATCTTATTACGAAATATAAACTGTGTTTTGTTCTTGTTGTTGTACAAATATTCTAGTATTTATTATCAGCCTCTATTGCCTTTCGGTGTTGAATCTTTAACTTTTCTCCATCAGTTCTCGTCATCTTTACAAAATATTATTAACCCCACCTACCAACTAACCAGCCAACCAACCAACCAACCAACCAGGTGAACGTCAGAATATCCAGTTTATTTAACAAATCAACAGGATTGATCCTTGTTATTATCATCTTTCTTTCTATTTTTTTGCTTTCCTCTTACTTACACTTTTCATGCCTCACAGTCTCTCCCTCTCCCTTTCTGTATCTTGCCTTTCTTCTTGTTGTGTCAAGTTTTCTTCTTCTAGGTGTGTTTTTCATTTTTCTTTCTCGTTGTTTACATACAGTGTATTTTATATTGTTATGCATTGCTGCATATTTTGATTTGTTTATTTTTGAGGGGCTTCGTTCACCATCTGTTGTTGTTGTTTTTTTTCTAAAAAATAATAAAGAAATCTATCTTTGACAGTATTCAAAACCATCTGATTGTTTTCATTTTCCATTGAAAATTTAAATAAAATATAATATACACTTTTTTTACTAATATTATACTGTTTTGTGTTTGTCAAATTATTGTTAAAGTTAGGGGGATAAATAGAATTGAGTTGATGCAGTAGTTCGTCTAACTTTCATAACAATGAATGGATAAGTAAGGATATATATGAATTGTTATGGTATCTTGACTAAATCCGTGTTGTTTGACGTGAAGTCAGAGCTTTGACGCAGTCTAAGTAGTAGTGTGGTGAGAGCTGGCTGCTAGCTAAATTGGTAGACAGTAATTTGCGTCAATGTTTACGTCCCCAATATTGTACGTGAGAAAAATAAGAACAATGACTGATTCAACAACCAACCACAATAGACTTTGCGTAGGTGGATACAGTTAGCGTATAGATGATTTGACATTTAAGAAACAGTCACAAAGAGATGAAAGAATAACTTTCAGTGGGAAACAACCAATCAGGAGATTGTTTTTATCTGCTAACAATAATCTATAATAATGTACATGAAAATCTATAAATATTTGTTGATTTCCTAAATAAACGATCTGTTGCCTGGCCTTTGTCTTTTGTTCTTACAGCAGTAGTACGTCTTGTAGTGTAGCAGTTAACACTGTGAATCCGGAGACTAGGGCTCGAGTGTCAGTGAGGTCTAGGGCCAAGTTGTTTGCATCTGTGGTTCAATAGTAGAATGCTTACAATCGTTCACACACAAGGTTCACGTTCGATTCTCAGTCGACTGACTCTTAGACTTCGCTTAGCTTACTAGCTTATAGTAAGCCCCGGAAAGGAGAGAAATTTGGATATGAGTACTTCTATCGGTGTTTTTCAACACTTACTTTTACCACTCCTCTGCATTGCGTGTGGAACACGAGGTCTCAAGCACTGAGGTTTGAAGTTTTAGTAGTGGTGGTGTTATTTTTTATGGGAAGGGGTCGCTAGGCTCCCGCACAACCTCTCCTCTTTTCCTGAGCTTACTACTTACTGGATGTAAACTAGGTGAGGTTAGGCAGTGTGTCGGCCAGGAATCGAAACCGGACTAGTGAGCATTCTGCCATTGAACCGCCAACACCAACAACTAGTATCGTTTAATTGATACTTTACATGATAGTGAGTAAAGAGAAAATCTGTGGATTTATTAGTTAGCTACATAAATCTCCCATCTGTTTACGTGAAATTTTGAAGGAAAGCAAAGTATTATCTTTTGCATGCTAATTAGTAGACATCGAAACGTACTCGTCGAATTGATGTTCGTGGTTGTCTGTGTGTAGTGATATAAGGGAGTGGATGTCATGTCTTTTGACGGCAAGTTTATGATCATGGATACGACGACGAAGGGGACGTCCACTTTGGACAATGTAGTGCCTTTAGCTTTTGTTACAATTTATTTTGTAGATGATGTTGGTTTTATCTTCTTTTGTTGTTGAGTCTTTTGGTTGACATAGAATTGAGTGAAGCGACTTTGTTGGTTTGTGTACGACGTCAATTCCTAAAGGTTTAAAGAGTCTTGCAGTGATTTCTAAGATATCCTTTATATATGGTAAGGCGATTTTCTTTGTGTTTTCCTTGGTTGGGGCCTTTGATTTGGTAGGTTGGCTTGAGGGTATATGTTTTTTGATGAAATTCCGTGGATATCCATTCTTTTGGAAGATATCCATGAGATATTTTTCTTCAATTTTCCTTAAGGTGGGAGTGTTGCAATGAGTCTTGGCCCTCTTGAATAGTGTTTGTATGCAATTCCTTTTGTGTGTTATTGGATTGTTGCTGTTGTAATCCAGGTTTTGGTCTGTGTGAGTTGATTTTCTATAAACTTGAGTTTCTAATTCCCCTGTGGTTGTTCGCTTGACTAAAATGTCTAAAAATGGGATTCCATTCTCGGATTCCTCTTTTCTTGTGAATTTGTTGTCGTTGAAGACGTTGATTATTAAGTTGTGAGTTTTATTATAGAAGATTTATTAATACTCAGTGTATTTATACAAATCATGTTATAGATGACGAAAATGAAATACTGACGAATAAAATTGTTGAAAACGGATATCATTTTAAGTAGTGAACCTGTATAGGTGTTTGTTAGTTCCAAAGTCTACAGTTTATTTTATCCCCAAAGAAAGACGCTTGCATCAGATTACCTTACATTGGGAAAATAAATAGTAGGATCTCAAGGAAGTGACTAAACTTGGTCATTCACGGAAACTACAGAGCAGTTCGACTTACAGTTATCTAAAATGCCAAAAACATGCTCTACTACATGATTCAATATTGTAGAATTATTACGTCACATCCCATACTGTAAAACAATTTACATGCGAGGGTAGGGGAATATATACTTAAACGGTTACAGAAACAAACGAATTATGAAAAATCAATAAACACAGGTGGCAGACTACCAGCTTTGTCTACAGCTAAACACCTGATCCAATATGAATTACAAGATTGATTGATATCTGAAGTGCTTTTAAGATTATTTATAAAAACAGTCAAGGGCGCTTAATGAAATACTCAAAGGAAATAGCTACTGGTAATCTTAAGCTCCCCTCCTGTGTGTACAAAAACAATTTATTATTACATGGAGGATTTAATCATGAGCTGACATCAGTTAGAGAACCACTGGAAGGTCTGGGAGTACTGGACAGCTGTTTCGTCCTAGTTTGGGACTCTCCATCAGTACGCACCCACCACTACGTTCGAACTCAGGACCTCCTGGATACAAGGCGAGCTCGTAGACCATTGAGCCACTGGGACCCGATCCAATGGTCCTTGAATTCTAACTTCTGCCAATTCACGATATAGCGCGACCACTTCGCAATGTCTTCTTCTATGAGTTACTGCCTCATCTTCAACCTGCTGTACCCTACTGGTCACGGCTTCCCACTAGAACCCAGGTTAACTGACTGAATAGGGCCAGTCACTAGTGAGCATCAGATTAATTTTCAAGTATTGGTTTTTGTAGGGATTTTGTTTGATTGCATGGAGGATTTAATCATGAGCTGACATCAGTTAGAGAACCACTGGAAAACCTGGGAGTACTGGACAGCTGTTTCGTCCTAGTTTGGGACTCTGGGTTCGAATCCCGGTGTGTGCGTACTGCTGAAGAGTCCCAAACTAGGACGAAACAGCTGTCCAGTACTCCCAGACCTTCCAGTGGTTCTCTAACTGATGTCAGCTCATGATTAAATCCTCCATGCAATCAAACAAAATCCCTACAAAACCAATACCTGAAAATTCATTATTACTCTTAGTCTTATCTGATTATGTAACCAAATGTAGTTAGGGTTAATTATTATTCACCTTTTTCATATAAACTGACTTGACAAGTAGGTGTGTAACTAAATAGTTCAAAATACATTGCGCAAATAAATCACATTGTTCAGATAAACTATATATTGTAATAACGCTATCCAAATTTATCTTAGAACTAAAAGTATGGTACCGCAGATTTCAAGACAAAGCAAAAAACATTGAGACATTGGAAACTAGGGTGTATTGAATAGAGCTATTATATTATACATAGTTTGATACTCTTTAGAATTGCGTATCCAAAAAAATCATCAGCAGTTGAACTTTTCAAATCTTACCTTTTGAGAAACAAGGTAGCCTTCATTGAATACAAGATTTTATTCTGAATTCTATTTCACACTGATGGCAGAATTTTAAACACAGAGCTAGAGCATGCAAGATTGTGAACACTAATTGTGAATGTCCGTAATTTCTTTTACTAGGTCATCTAGTTATCTGTTCGTTTAATATCCATGATTTAAACTTAAATCATTCTTCGGCATATTTCATGAAAGTAGTCCTGTGTTTGGGTGTTGTAAAGGGATTGTGTGAATTTAAATATGACTTACCCGTTCAATGCAAATTGGTGTGTGGAATATACTAACATTGTCTAGGATATCGTTAAATTGGCAGAAATTAATAAGCTACTGCGTTATCTTCCAGTGGCGGAATGATGACGTATTAGTCGTGTAACATGAAGTTTCTGGGTTCCTCTCCTCATGAGGTTATGAGTGGGTGCTGCTGAAGAGTGTCAAGGCAGGGCGAAAAATCTGTCTACAACTTCCTGGTTTGGAATTGATAGTGTTCTCTGAGCTCCTTGGTTTAATTGCGGAGCTTTCATCGTCTTTCTGGACGACATCTTCAGCGCAGTATTTAGGATAAAGTGAAATGATTTAAATTTCTTCATGAGTCTCCCGGTAACCATCTTTAGATATTTATTGACCGTTTTCTATTGATTGGGATTTTAAACTTTCTGATCACCTGATTTACTTCTTATTAGTTGGTATATTTCATCTATATTAACGTGTTTATTAATTGCGTTTTCATTTGAGTATCAGGCTTCTAGGAATTCTCTGGTACATTTGGTGTTTCCTCTGTTTAAGATTTTGACATTATCCCAATCAAATTGATGTCCATGATCGTCTGAATGTATTGATACTAAAGAATTTATATCATGTCTTTTCACGGCTGATACTCAAATGAAAACGCAATTAATAAACACGTTAATATAGATGAAATATACCAACTAATAAGAAGTAAATCAGGTGATCAGAAAGTTTAAAATCCCAATCAATAGAAAACGGTCAATAAATATCTAAAGATGGTTACCGGGAGACTCATGAAGAAATTTAAATCATTTCACTTTATCCTAAATACTGCGCTGAAGATGTCGTCCAGAAAGACGATGAAAGCTCCGCAATTAAACCAAGGAGCTCAGAGAACACTATCAATTCCAAATCATCCACCTGAGTTACAAATCTTTTCTATTATTTCAACTTCCTGGTTTACTACCAGTTCTCTAAATGATTTTTGTTATTCCCTTGCGTTCTGAGTGGAACATAAGGCTTCAACAACACACCTCCACTTTGTTCTAATCTCTGTTGTCCTCTTCAAATGGGTCCACGATTGTCCATAATCTCTCATCTCCTCCTCCATGTCACCCTAGGACAACCCACTCGTCGTTTCCGATTCGCATTCCACTAAAGCGATGACCTGCATTGCCCGCAATGTCATTCGACAGCCTCCTAAACGTATGCCCGATCCATCTCCATTTTCTCCTATATATTGGTTGAACGATCGGCTCTAAATTGGTTTCTTCCGAGCCAGAGTTTCTTCTTGCTCGTTCTTTCTGATCGTCTGGCGAACCGGCCATTTGATCTTCAGTATGCAGCCAGCGAAGGGGGTAGATGTTGATAAATTCTGCAACTTGTTGGAAATGCTTTTCGTGACACACCCACCAACTTTCTAACCCATAAAGAAGCACTGACTGACTGACTGACTTCATATATTTGTGTCAAAAATCCGAATCTTGTTTTTCAAACTGACTGAGTCAGTGCAGGAGATTTCCAAACTGGTTTCAGGTTGATGAAGGTTTATCCTGCCTTTCCGATACTGGTTGGCTGTGTTTGACATCTGCATCCGTCCCACCGCCTGTGGTTGCAGTCATGCTTCCTAGCTAGGTGAGTGAAGGAAGCAACCTGTTAAATCTCTCTCTCTCTCTCTTTCTTTGATGGTGATTGCTACTGGTTTTGTTTGTTTTTGTCGCTGTTGGTGGTGATTGGTTATCTTCATCCCTATGTTCAACTGGAGTTCTGTCTTCTCTGCGCTGCTTCTTCAGCCAGTTTGTTGCTTTTCACCTGTAAGTTTTCAAGTTTGTGTGAAATTAGGTATAAATTGTCCTTGAAATCCAGATCTTCTAGAGTTTTCTTATCGGTCCAACATATTCTCCTGTCTTCTCACTCCTCACAGTCTGATGCATAACCCAGTTCACCAAAATTAGGAATATCATCGTCAGTGATAATAGGCAGGCAGCCTTGTCTTAATCCTCTATTTAATTCAAAGGCTTAGCTTAGTTTCCCGCTATAGGTCACTTAGCACGTAGCATTGTCACATAGCCAGTTGTTGAGTGAGGTTGATATTGATTTGGGGCACTGTACTCCATAATGTTGAAATAGTTTCCTAATTACTTGCCGGTAATGATGTCGACGGCCTTTTCAAACTCGATGAAAATGAGGCAGAGGATTGACTGTTGCTCTCTGCTTTGTTCAGTGACTATGCGTACAGTGTCAGTTGGATCAACACATGACTCCATGACGGAGGTCAAATACTCGCCAGTAATGACATTGGCTAGTGGTCATGCTAATTGTGAAACGGCGAAAGTCAGAATTCATGCACTGCCCGTTGGATCGGGTCCCAGTGGCTTAATGGTCTACGGGCTCACCTTGTAAACGGATGGTCCTTGGTTAGAGCCCTGTTGGGTGCGTGCCGATGAAGGGCCTCAAACTAGGAACGAAACAGCTGTCCAGAACTCTCAAGTTTTCCAATGGTTCTGTAAACGATGTCAGTTCATCATTAAATCCCTTAACGTTTGTCATTTTATTCATTTTAATTGGCCTTTCATTTTTGATATAAATTATTTTGATAAATAAATGTATGATCAAACTGTTCGAAATATATAACAATTTTCTGAAAAACTCCGTTTTCTAATAACACTGTCCAAAATTATTTAAGAAACTAATTGTTGATATACACTTCTAAAGTGATCTAATATTTGGGATAAAAATTCTTCTGTATGACTTCACAGTCTTCGCTTAGCAATAAAATTCACCTACCAATCAGATCACTACTTATATTCCATATATTTTATAAACACTTATATCAAAATGCAATTAATTCTCTTCTTACATAATTCATCGACCAAAGGGCGGGTGTACTGCTCATCAGTCCGCTCCGTCCTCCCTTATGGCTGTGAGACCTGGCCATTGAGAGTGGAAGACATGAAAAGACTAGCTGTCCTTTATCATAAGTGCCTGCGCTCTATCTCCAGTGTGAAATGGTATAATAAGGTGAGCAATACTGAGGTTAGGCGTCGAATGCTAGGTAAGAAGGGGAAATCAATTGACGAGGCTGTGAAATTACATCGACTGAGATGGCTACGTATGCCTAGTCATCGCCTTCCTTCACGGGCAATTTTATCTGACATGGGGTCATGCTGGGAAAGAGCTAGCGGCGGTCAAACCAAAACATGGCACTAGTCAATGAAATCTACAACAGTTAGTCTAAGCCACGTAGGAAGGTGTAGACTTCCTGACCTGTTGGGGTCCTCGCGACGGCAAAAAACCAATGCAGGCTGGAGACAATTGGTGATATGGCTCAAAATCGTTCTCACTGGCGCAGACGAATCCACTCCTTGTGACTTATGATTTCCAATGAAACTGTTTTGTTCTTCGTTACTACTATTCCTCTGTCTTACACCTCTGTTTATTGTCTCTATTATGCATTTCTTCTACTTTCTTCTCTTGGTTTGTGTGCTACAAGGAGGGCGTGTGGCGACTTGAACTTCCGCACATTTGTGCAACGTTCTGTGTCGAAAACAGACAGACAGAGACAGACTTACATAATTTATAAGAATAACTGTACAGACAGCTTCAATAAAGCCACTTGAACAAATTTCTTTTCCCATACTTTGTATTTATTTCTAAATTGAATATGACAATACATGAATAATATGTACAAGGTGGTATGATATCACAAAATGCCGAAAGTGATCTATCTCCGATAGATAGATCTATCTCCTGATCTATAAGTTCATGGAGTGAGATCATCAAATAATAATACTAGTGAACTGGTTACATTCAGTTGAAGGGTACAATTATACATTTACAGAAAAGGTAAAATACCATCAAAAGTAGGAAAACAGTACAGCAAATTTCATAGTATACTGTAAATCTAATAGTAATAATATATCACCTATAAAAATCACATTATTGTCTGTTTTCAAGTTATCACTCCCGCAGTTCTCTAGTCACTTTAAATTAATTCATAAAAACGTCCCGATTTTGGATCATAATAACAATTTAATATTGAATCATAAATTAATTCAACAAGTTGATTATTTGAATTAATAGAATTATTATCATTACTTTGTTTTTCTTTCATATCTGATAGTGTATTTTTTGAATTTGTTCGATTCAATGTACAAGTATGATGTTGTTTTAATTGATGATTTGGTGGTTCACATGATCCCCTGGATGTAACATTATCACAAATTGAATACGGTAGACTTTCATTTGATGAACTGAAAGAATAAAAGAGAATAAAAAGTACTTTAAAAATCTCATGGTGGTCTTTTTATTCATTTCTTTGCGTTACGCGTGGAACATAGGATTTCTAGATTTTGAGGTTTCAGAAGCAATAGTTTTGTTTTTACGAGGTAGAATTGCTAGCCTCACACCCAACCTTCCCCCTTTTCCCTGTTTTCTGTGGTCTAGGAGAGGTTTAGGAGTGCATCGGTCTGGATTCGGACGTGGACAACAGGGGTGGCTAGAGAGGATCCTACCCCCGAACCAGCGACGCAGTCCTAGTGGTTCAATATAATCTGAAAGCCCTAGGTTTGGTCTCTATCGGGGTCGTGGATGCATACTACAGAAAGATTCCAAACAAGGCCTGTACTTCTCAGCTTTTGAGTGCTTGGTTTAGTATTTTTTTTTTTTATTTTTGATTACAGCTTGATTCCACACCGTATTTTTGGTACAAGTATGGAATTTTAGTAGTAGGATACTCGCCAACCATACACATACAGTCAGGGTTCTATTCGTGACCGACACATGAATTAATCTCGCCCATTTTACTTATTGATAGTGAACCCGAGAAAAAGGGGAGATTAAACATGAGGCTAGCAACCTTACTCCGTAAAAACAACATGGCTAAAGCAACTTCAAGGCCTCAAGCCTAGCCTCTTATATTCCACCCTGAACTCAAATAAATGAAGAAAAATTTGAAAATGGATAAACATAGCAGTATAAAAGTAGTATAACTCATCTACATATGCATTCCATAATATACACCTATATAACTGACGTACTATTCATAGAACTCAACTGTACTATCTGGTAATCCAAGTCGATGTGTAACAACAGAAGACAACAGCCAGGCAGCAGATCCTTTATTAACAAAATCAAGAGGTATTTATAGATTTTTATGTACATTATTATTAGCGTTATTGCTAACAGAGAAGCAACATCTTCTGATTGGTTGTTTTCCCACTGAAGGTTATTTTGTCATCTTATGTCTGTTTCTTAGAAAGTTAAGGCATATATCTGCGAATCTTACTTGAACAAGTTGGTTGGTGAGTTCCTCAAGGTTAAGCTTTGTTATTGTTTTTTCTCATGACCCCGATTCGGGACGTAAACAATAACGTCAATTTGTTGTCTATAATTTTGGTTAGCAGACAGGTCTCACCACAGACGTAAGTGAAATGTGCTTTCAAGTGAGTGAACAGTGAAGATTTCTTTTAAGAAATTTCAATTCTCATCGTAAATGTTTCAAATAAGGTACTTCAATTTTTGTAGTATATCAGTTACTCTAATGTTTCACTCTAATCAATAAGTGTTTTTATGCAAAGTTCATACATGAAGTTTATATTTCAAAACAAACTATAACTTACGTTAATGTTCCAGTACCCCAATGACTAGATACTTCAACCCCAGTAATTAATTGTGATATATCTTCATTACTCTGAGTACTTTGATGACTTAATGACAAGGTAGACGAATTATCATTATCATTTCTAGAATGATAGCTACGCTTTCGATAAGTGCTGATCTCTGATTTCGGTGATATTTGATGATTTATATCAACCAACAAGTTATCTCTCTGTTGAAGATACTCATTTCCAAGATGCTGGTGATAATTCTGAGGATAATGTTGACAGTGTTGATGATGACGTGTTAAATGATAACGTAAATAAATTAATGATCCCAGACCATCACTTGTAGTAACATCTTCACCTTCACCATAATCATCATGATCACTAAAACTCACATTTAATATTTGCTTTCTAAGAGTATTTACAATATCACACTTTTCATCTTCAGTACTGTTTATTATATTCTTTCCGATATGATTTCGTGGTGAACCTAGAAGTGAATAAAAAGATTACAGAATGAATACAACTGAAATATATATATATATATATATATATATCGTTACTGTTAGTAATACCATTGTGGTGAGAGCTGTCTACTAGACAAAATAGTAGACAACACTTTACGTCAATGTTTACGTCTCAAATCTTGGTCTAACCTTGAGGAACTCACCAACTAATTACAACAGACTTAGCGTGGGTAGATACGACCCGTGGATATATTAACGGACTCTCTAAGAAACGGCAACGAAGAAATGACAGAATAACCTTCAGCAGGAAAATAACCAATCAGAAGACGTTACCTCTCTGCTAACAATAACAAATAATAATGTACATAAAAATCTATAAGTATCTATTGATTTTCTCAATAAAGGATCTGTTCCCTGGCCCTTGTCTTCTGTCGTTACACTATTACTGTTCCCTTGGGGTCAGAGTTGAACATAAGGCTTTATAATCACACCACCAATTCCCTCTGTTCTTTGTAGTCATTATTAGTTGGCTCCACTATTTTACCTGGTCTTCCATTTTGTTCTTACAATATCTCGTCCATGTAACACTCGAGTCGGTATCCAACTCGTCGTTTCTTATTCAGAATCTCAACGATGAACTAACTTGTGTTGTCACTCAACGGTCTTTTCAGCGTATCTATGTTCTATCCATCTTCATTTCCTTGAAAATCGAAGCTTTGTTTCGTTTTCCTGCTTTTATAAACACTAAAAATGTGTTAAAAAAAACTTAATTCTGAAATCTGACTAGAATCTGGTGAAATGATAACAGTCCTCACTGATCATCAATAAATTGGAATTTACGATGAAGTCCATCCTTATTCTTAGCCAAAACAGAAGATTATATAACGATGACTCAATTTTCAAAACTTTTTGTCGAAAGTAATGTACATTTGTAACGGTTGAAGATAATAGACTTGATACAATTGGTCTCCTTGATAAATTTCAATAAAGAAAGGAAGACGAAATCTGCAGTATAAAATGATATCATTCTATTTCACAGGTTCTCATCAGCTACAGACTACCTGAAATTACAATGGTTATATAAATGATAACAATATACTTTAAGGTTTGAGTGGTAGTAGAGAAGAGATACTATAAAATTGACTCATCAAAAATGAAAGCATTACGATTTCCAGTTTAAGTTTACATCATCAATTTATACGCTTTCAAAATAGAAAAGAGGGAGGAAGGGTAAGACAGAAAACAGAAAAATTGATTAACAGAACAGTGTTAGCTTGTAGGTTCACATAGCAATTCAGAAGAAAACAAAACCGGTTACAGTTTATGAGATTAAGGTTTGTTCAATGAGTTGAGATTACTGAATAAGATGTCTAATTATTGTAATCAAAATCAAAATTCAGTTACCAAGGGAGTGAGAGGTTAATCACACTCTCTTTCTGTATGCATAAGTCTGGTTTAAATTGTTTGATTGCGACTGCTTCGGTAAATCGTAGTAAATTTGCTGTCCTTTGTCTGTTTAATATTTTGAAGGATTTAGAAATCTCTACGAGATGTCCGGTATCAGAAATATGTCTGGTAATTGCAATCTCAGAATATTTGCTTCCTTTCAGGGACAGGTTTCTTGGAATATGTTCAGGAAACCGGATAGAAGCCCTTCTTTCTGTCCTTCCAATGTACTTGCTCCCGCAAGTGTACGTAAATTCATAAACGCAGTTGGAGGTGACATCAGCACGGTATTTATTCAGTTTTGAATGGATTATAGAAGGAGTGGTGATGTATACTGTTATGAGTTTTGCTGCCGGGAAGCTTCTATTTATTGCACCTTTCAGTCTTTTTTCAATCTTTTGTGACACTGCATCCCCTTTGAATGGGAGACAAATAAACATTGTTTTCTTTTTTACAGTTGGATGCTTTTCTTTCTCATCTTTTTCTCTGCTATACTTCTGTATAAATCCCTTACGGTATCTATTTTCCCTTAGGCATTTCTCGACGAAATCTAATTCTTCTTCGACCTTGTTTGGTGAACATAGCTTCCTGGCTCTGTCGTACAACAGACTTGGTAAAGGAATGTTTATTTGGAATTTAACATCTCTATATAGGGAAATCACGTACACCTTATCTGAAAATTGTCATTTGCACATATCTTCCATGTTTTGCTACTTTTGACCTTTGTGTTGTGTTTCTTTGTCTTCTTTTCGTGTCTTCCATGTTTTGCCGCAGTACTGATTCATTTGCTGTCTTGATTTCAAGTCTGTCACTCTGCTATTTGATATTTCTGTGCTGATAACTGTCTCTTCGTATAGTACTGATAAATCTTGCCAGTAGCATATGCCACACATCTTAATGTAACAACTTTATAAATCTTAGAAAATTCCAAAGCATTTTGAAGAGATAAACATAAAAGTGAAAGAAACTAGCCGACAGAGATCGGATACACAGTGAAATTCATCGCTTCTAAAATAGGGTTCAACTTATTTGTATTAGAAGACAAATTTACATTATAGTAATTGAATCAGACTTTAATAGAATTCGTAGCCTGTTCTTGTGCACATGGTCTGGTTTCGATTCTAGGCTGATGCAACTCTAAGCGCCGAAGAGAGGGTAGGTTGGGCTTGATGCTGGCAGGCAAAACCACTGGTACTGGAATTTCAAGAACTCTTGAAGTTATATGTTCCAATCAGAACTCAAAAAATGAAGGAAAAGATCGAAATCGCTGCAAAAGTGTAATTAATAAATATTAAGCACATTGAATGCTGAGACAGTAAATATTTGAAATTTACTTCTAAATAACAACAAGCATCCAACACAGTTTCAATTTTATTCTAAATTTTCATGACATAACTAATATTTTTACCACTTAATGTTAGTAAAACGTTTGAGCATTGAGGAATTAAAAACAAAATAATTCCAACAGCTGATGTGATTACGGGCAGTAATTTTGCTCGAAATATTACCAAAAATAAAAACTTATCATTGTGTACAAACTATTGAAATATGATGATAATTTATTTGAATTGTATCATTGTTCTTGACTGACTTGATGTACGGTTTTCGGCTATCAGTAATGCTACCTATATAATTCACCAGTCAGCACTTGGATTTAAATTCTTTTTTGATCAATTATTCAAAAGGCTAAGAAGATTTTCGGATTATAAACACAAACTGAGTGGCTAAAACAATAATAATAAAATTTTGCCTCATTCCTTGAGGCTTCAAGCTTTAATGTTTTCGTAGTAGTGTTGCAGTTTTTTTTCTACGGGGTGATTTTATGTCGGTTGGCAGTCGAACTCGAAATTCGCGCTTGGTTGGCAACCCTCGTACCATTGAAACCTCGGTGATAATAACAGTAATAATTATAGTGATAATAATAATGATAGGAAGAAGACATAACAAACAATTAATTAATTAGGCGTAACGATAGCAAAGAGATGAACAACTGTGCACTTCAGAATTTATAAGTAAAAATACAGTTTTTGTTCAGCGAAGAAATATCTCTTTTCAACGACTTCATTTTCAAACTGTACAGTCTTGTTTATATTTCGGAAAAGGAAGGCATTAAGTGGTACTAGAAATTGCTCAGTCAATATTGCACATATGATAAAAATAAAGATAATTAAAATGATGCATTCGGAAAATTTGCTCTATAGGTAAGGCCGGCATAGAACTAGAAAACCTTCACACAACTTGCTTAAATAATGGATATCCTAGAAGGTTTATCGACAGAAACATCGAGAAAGAAACTGTCCCCAGTCAAATAACAGTGCCAAAGAAGACACTGTTTATGAGTTTGGCTTTCAAAGGTGACAGTATTCCTGGAGTAATTAACAGTCTTTTATCTAAATGTACTAAACGGTGTTTTTATCCAGCTGACTTACATTTAGTATTTACCAGCCGAAATATGATTTGACAATGAGTTAAGGATAAACCACCACTTATGTCCACCTCTATGTGTATTATACTCATTCACATGCTTTTGTGGGTCTGATTACATTCCAACAGAACTGAAGTTGACCATTTCATGAGTCAAATAATCTAATTTATTTCTAAAATATATCCATAATTTTACAAGTTTGGTCACGGATTGATGTCATTTAGAGAACCATTGAAAATCAGGGAGTACTAAACAGCTGTTTCGTTTGTCCTAGTTTGAGAATCATCGGCATTACTTACTTACGGCCAGGTTTCGAACCCAGGACCTCCCGGTTACAAGGCAACCGATGACATTGGTTAGTGGTCGCGCTAAATTACGAATTGGTTGAAGTTACAATTCATAGACCACGGAATTAGGTCCCAGTGGCTGAATAGTATATGAGCTTACCTTATTACCGGGAGGTCCTTGGTTCGAACCCCAGGGGTGCCTACTGCCGATGATTCCCGAACTAGGATGAAATAACTGTCCAGAACATCCTGGTTTCCAGTGGTTCTCTAACTGACATCAATCCGTGATAAAACTCGTAAAAAAAAACATGTAATCCATACAAAGCTACCTAGAATGGTGGCCACATTGCACACCTGACTGATAGAATTCAGTCTGTACTACAAAAAGGACTACACACGTCGCACTAGTTACTAGTGTCCAATCAAAATAACCACTACAGGAGATCAATCGCGCGCCTGAATATCTCAGTGGTAACGTCTCTGACTGCAGTACTCATTGGGTGATGTGGGTTCGAATCTCAGAAGGGACATGAGTTCCTTCAAGTTGGTTGCAGATACACCGTGCTGACTAGTGGTGGTTGCCAATTAGCACGAAACCTAGGTCCAAGGCTGGGCTTCCTGCCGATTGCCTCCAACTATCCAATATTGAAAATAAGTATATTTATCGTACATGTGTACACGAATTACGGGCTTAACTTCATTTTTTTTAAAGTGAAGAATACAATTTTCTCTTCTAATTGTTTTCGCTTTAGTTTTCTTTTTTCATTCAGTCTTAAAACGAAAGCAATGAAATTCCAAAGAAAAAACATTGAACGCGCGCACGCACGCACACACGCACATGCAAACATGCACACACACACACACAAATATGCTTAGAGTGATGAATTAACAATATCCTGTTTTCTTTTCACTCTTTTGTCTACCTTAAATATATATTTTCATGCATAATGCATTTCGCTGAAATATATGTCCAAAATTTTGGACAACATCTCAGGGGTGGAAATATTTCATGAGAGAGAAAAAAAAACAAAATATGCCAATACATGTCCAAAAATGTATATTCCAGGTAAGCGAGTAAAATAATTTAACCATTTTTTGTATTTAACTGATTTGAAATAGTTAAGTGGATTTGAATATTATTCTTTTTTTGACAGATAACATAGCGTAAACACCATTACTACGAGTACTACCTTATTGAATGATAACTATAGTATTGTTTGTGTAGTGAAATAATTGAATGTGATTGTTGGACCGTAGTCAGCTGCTTGCACAATATATACAAAGAATATTATACTACTACACAAGGAGAGTAAGACAAGCCTGCCTACTATCTCCAATGTTTATCCTGATTGCGGCACACTGGATAATGCGACAGACAGACAGCCGGCCGGGCAGCGAGGAAACAGGCATAAAATGAACCCACACAAAAAAAACTTGGAGGATCTGGACTTCACCGATGATATAGGTCTGATTTCCCACAAACTGGAAGATATGCAAGTGAAAAGCAACAACTTGGCAGAAGAAAAATCAAAGATAGGAGGGACGTAAGGTGAACATAGAGAAATGCACATGGTCCGGGGCTCGAGCCCACGCCAACGCACACCTGATATCTATGGTCGGCCTGCGAAATTTGGGCTACGGATATCCACACTGAAAATTCCATACACGTACCAAAAATACAGTGTGGAATCAAGCTGTAATCATAAATAAAGTAAAAATAAATAAATAAAACATAGATGATGAAGACTTCTGGCCAACAGCAACAACAACAGACAACAATCGGCAAAAATGGGAGAAATCTGAAAGAAGCCTCCTTTACCTACCTGGAAAGTATCATTTCAAGTACAGGCGGACGGAACTGACGAGGGTATCAAAGCGAGGATCGGGAAAGCAAGGCAAGCTTTTACTACTCTCAAGTTTGTGTGGAAGTCAATAGCTCTCAGCATGAAAAATAAGATCCAGATTTCAACTTCAAAGTGAAGTCAGTGAGCGGCACGAAGGGCACTTCAAATAAATTACAGACTTTCATCAACAGCTGTCTTCACCCAACACTACTCAAGATCAGATGACCGGCCACAAAAGATCAGCAACAGGGATCTCTGGCAATGAGCGAACCAACCAGGAACCGATTGGGTAAAAAATAGGCAGGAAGAAATGGAGATGGATTGGCCTTACTCTGAGAAAACCAACCATCGAGTAACATCACATGACAAGCCCTTGAGTGGAACCCGAAAGGAAAGCGGCGAGTTGGTCGTCAGTGCGAGGGTGACTTCGAGGAGGTCATGTGAAGAGGAGACAGAAGTATGTGGGCAGACTTGGAGAGGGGTGAAAACGTTGTCAGAGAACCGAACTCAATGGAAACGTTTGGCTGAAGCCCTATGTTCCCCTAGGAATTAAAGGATATAATAAAAATTTGAGCGATACTCATCTCTTATTGTTTTCAGGCTACGTAATCTAGTATTTTCAAATGATATGAAAATGTGACCTTAGTGATATCTTCAGGTTCATATACTAGCAACGGAGTGAAGACATTTAATAACACATTGGGTAGGGTTCCGGGTTCGAACCCCAAGGGGGTACATACTGACGAAGACTGCCAAACTAGGAGGCAACATCTCTCCAGTACTCCATGATTTTCCAGTGGTTCTCTAACCGATATCAGCTCATGATAAAATCCTCCAACCAATCGAACGAAATCTCTACAAACCAATACTGTTAATCAAATAAGATGACTACAACAAATGAAACAAAAATTCAGCCTCGATAGAACTTGAACCAGTTAACTGCCTTTCAATGGCTGTGGTCTTTGCCAATCGTTGTCATCACTATTATACTGACTGACTAATTGAAGCTTGTTTGAGTCAATTTGAGTTAACATGAAATAAAAAGTGACAGCTGATGGTTTATTCATAAGTAGAATAACTGAGATATAGTTAATTTAAGAATAGAAGAATAAGAATAATAACAGCTTTATTCCAAACGGTATTTGTGGTACAGGTATGGAATTTTCAGCGTGCATTACAGTATATTGCATCTAATTACCTCATAAATTTTATAAGATTTTTAAAATCAAAAAAATAAATAAATAAAAATAAATACTAAGTAATAAATAAATAAATAAATAAAAATAAAAAACAGCGTAGAGTTTACATTTCAAACAATGCACCACAGGATATGAAATATAAAGTTGATGTGTGATAGAAGATGAGAACAACAGTGTAGTAGTAACGAGGAAAGGAAAACAAAAACTAATGGGACTATTTGTTAGAGTGCCGCAGTAAGTTTATCGTGTCATACCTAACGGATTTCTCATCACATAACAGCTGTGCCAGATATGGTATTTTGGAGTTTTTGTATTTGGTAGTCCTAGCATATAGCCGCCTATAGCTGCTTCTAGTTCTACCAGATGAAATGCAAGGAGATAGATGCGTATAGAGAGGATGCTCGGGGTCCGACAATATTGTATTCGCTAGTTTCTTACATGATATAATATGTCTATCTACAATAGTGTTAACCAGTTGGTTTAACGATATCCCACTTGCCCTACTAACGGCTTTTAGTGCCCTTCTCAGCGAAGCAAAGTCTTTCTTAAGTAGTCCAGGAAAGACTAATGGGGAGCAGTAAAGGAGGATGGGTAGAATACAAGAATTTACAAACTGAGAAAGTAAAGACTGGTTTATGCCAGACTGCCTAAATTTCCTAATGTAGAACGTTAAGCGAAACATCTTTCTAGTAACTAGCAAGATGTGGGAAGACCAGGAAAGATCGGTGGAAAAACTCAGCCCAAGGTACTTGACATTAGATGTATTTTCAACCTCTGTGCCGTCAATGATAGTGGGGCCATGTGAGCTAACTAGTTGCTGTAGGTCACATTTACGTCTGAAAGTGAAATTGACTACCTGACATTTAGACGGATTAAGCTTAAGTCCGTTTGAAGAGGACCACTGACTAATTTCCGACAGAAAGTTATTTAATTTGGAACAATCTGACTGAGAGTTGACAGGCATAGAAACCGAGAGGTCATCGGCATACTTAACAAAAGTGGCTACATCAGAATGAGGCAAGTCATGTAAGAAAAACGAAAACAGAAAGGGAGAAAGAACAGCACCTTGAGGAACACCAGCTAAAGTAAGTGAGGTAGTGGAGGACTTTCCATTGTAGACGGTGTACTGCTTCCTATCAGAAAAATAGGAATGCAACCACTTATTTGTCCAGCTCTCAGCCTGTGTTGCAGCAAGCTTACTTAGCAAGAGAGACCTGGGAACAGAGTCAAATGCAGATGTGTAATCAAGGAAGGCACAGCGAACGTATTTAGCTCCTTTATCTAAACTAGAGACTATGCTATGGTGGAGGACAACAGCGGCATCTAACGTACACCTACTATGTTTATAAGCAAACTGGTTGGGGTCGTTGAAAGGTTTTAAAGAGGGATCAAGATTAAGTAAAATAAGTCTTTCCATAACTTTCAAAAAGGGTGAGGTAATTGCAATGGGTCTAAACTTAACATTAGGTCCACTTGTTGATTTAGGCACTGGAACAATCTTGATATTTTTCCATGATTCAGGTATAATCATTCACAAATAATTCACAAAGGACCAGTGGTGATGTTAAGACACGTAAATATTATCGGTAATAACAAATACAATGGTCTTTTCTGACAGTTTTTGCATGCTTTATTCCCCATTTTACACTGAGGAATTTGAAATACTATGCATGTATTATTTCTTATCACAAAATTGTCAATACTTTCTGCAAATCAATAATCATACTACTGATTAGATAGACAATATATCATATGAAATATATCAACAAAAATTGACATGAATTATGAAGAAACAGTTGTTCAGTATTGTCTAGGCTTTATTAACTTTCCTTTTAGTTTGGATTTGTCAAAACTACTTTCATCGTGAATCATTTTATGAAACCGCTAGTTAAACAGTTAAAAATGTTTACAATCTATTTCTACATTTCTAACCCCTAATTGCACAGTGTCAGTCTTCTTAGTTATTATAATGCTACTTTGTTTGTTTTATCCATCCCCCTGTTTATTATGGCATTCTAATTCCCAATTTTAATTTTTATTAATTTGACCCTTGACCGGATATTATTCTGGAATTTTCCCATCCATTTGATATAAATACACGAATGTACAGCCTAGATGATGACTTCGTCGAAAAGAAAATTATCTTCGCTGCAACTGTCTTCTTATTTACTCCTATGACCCAATGTGTATATTCCGTAATCTATTATTTGTTATATAAAGTAAAAATATAGAAAACTAGAAACAAAACAGGTAAAACGTCATACTTTGTGATGGAAGCGGGATTGATTTTGATATACCAGACAGCTGTTGTTCACCTGTTGCCTTTACTGACTTGTCTGTTGTGTTAACGCTTTTTCGTGTTAACTCTTGTTTCATTAATAATAAATCTGAGTCAAAATTCCCTCCCATTGCTGCTTGTTTTAAGCTGGCTAGAAGAGATTCTTCGAAACTGGCTGATAAATCATCTGATCTCTCGTATCCAGCTAAATCTATAGGAGTTGGTGTATTGCCTTCTTTGGCATTCTTATTATTGAAGTGATTGTTATTCAATTCGTTGAAATGAAGAGTTGAGGTTGTTTTTGAAGGTTGTGAAGCAGACGCCTGAAAGAATATGAAAAAATGCGTATAACAGGAGTATCTCTGCGGTTAATCAGTTCAGTGTGACATATTATAAACAAATGTCTTATGAATTGGAAAGTCAGGAAAGGGAACTTGCAATGTTAGATTGCAAGGTAAAAAGGAAAGAAGATGGGAAGTTAAACAGTCCAGTGTCTATAGAAAACTGACACATTCAAACAGATATTTAGATTTCCAATCACGACGTCCTATATCAGTAAAAATAGGATTTGGTGAAATGTTTAAGTGACAGAGCACAAAAACTAAGTAGTACCAAGGAAAATCAAAGACAGGTAGTGACACATATAAGAGAAGCCTTGAAACTTAATAATTACCCTGATAAATTAGTCGAGAAATATGTAGAGAAATGTAAAAATAAAATAAATAATGTTAGTAGTGATAGTGACAGTGATAATACTAATAATGACGACATGCATGTGTAACATGCGCAAGACAACACCAATAATCAGGAATCTAAATCATCAGTAATAATTCCATTCAAGGAAGGAACCTCGGAAACCTTACGCAGAATTCCTAACAAGGCAGGAATATAAGTGGCTGACATTCAAACCCACAAACTCAATTAGAAACGAGCTTTGTCGGTTGAAGGATCAATCCTTTAGTTCATCTAATACCCTGTCTGCGATGGTTGTCAGATCAAATACATAGGTCAAATTAGTAGAACAGGGGCAGTCGGACTAGCTGAACATAAAAACCTAGCAAAATCTAGATCGGTTGACCTAAATAAGATAAGAAATATAGAGAATAGTTCAGCTATAGCGCTACATGCAATCACACACAACCATACAATAGGATGGGATAGGATGACAGTTTTAAAATCTAATGTCACAGGGTATAGGGACAGATTGATAACAGAAGCTTTGTTTATCGAATCAACTGAAAATACATGTAATAGGAATGATTCAACACCTGCCCCAGGTATCTGAAAAATTCTACTACCCCTACAACAAATAGGAAAAGACAAAGAAAACTGTAAAACTCAAATTTCAAAGCCCTGTGATTGCAACTGATATGTTTATGAACAGTAATAAATTTTGTTCGAAACGTCATCCAGTAAATAATACTGTTTCACTATGTGATACATCTAATAAACAAACTAATATCAAATGTCTATGTGTTATCTGCCCTTCAGCTAGGCAGATAGGGCTGGCTAATGTCACCGATGATATTCTTAATTGTGGTGGACTGGATTATGCGTCAGACTCTCCACAGGGAGTGAGGAGACACGAATATGCTGGACCTACAAAAAGAAGACTGTAAAAGATTTGGATTTCCAACCGGCCAGAATTGGAAAGGCAAGATGCACCTTCATTAACCTGACACACTCCGCCTCAGCATAAAGAACAAGATTCAGATCTTAAACACAAATGTGAACTCAGGCAGTTCTTCTATGCGGGTCAGAAAGTTGGTTAGCGCGTCACAAAAGACATTTCCGACGGGCAACTGTGAACTTTTATCAACAGCTGCCCTCTTCACTGGCTCCATACTAAAGATCGAACAGCCAGCTAGCCGGCCAGAAAGAATTAGCAACAAGATACTCTGGCTGAGAACTAATTGAATATCTTTCACAAAGAGTAAATACCCCACAACAAAATTCCGCATTGTGTTTAAAACTAACTTTCTAGAATTAAGCTGTTATTATAATTATTTTAAAATGCAGGTACATTACAGACTGCCTATTATCTTCGGATATCATCAACACTTTGTATATTACGAGTATCTCATCGTCCTTACAGCTATACAACAGATTGTCAAACCTGTAGGCGAATAATAGTAGTTCCATTATATTATTATTCCCTTGGGTTCCTAGTGGAACAGAAGACTTCAGTTGTGGTGAGAGAAGGCTGCTAGCCAATTGGTAGACATTAATCCACGTCAATGTCTATGTCGCTAATATTGGCCGTGAGAAAATATGAACAAGCAACCTCTCTCGAATCTCCCCCGCTGATGGTGATTGGTGCTGGTTGTTCCATACGTGGTCATTATTCAAACAAGAAGACGCCAATCAAAAGTATTCATGATATCTCTCAAAACAAAAAGTTAAAACATTCTACTGTAACTTACCATAATCACTTTGAATTTTAATTCAGTGTCAGTTAATTCTTTTAGCGAATTTTGATCTACACTGATACGTTGGAAATATGAACTTTCTGAACAGATCACATCATCGTCAGTGTCATCAACTTCAGTCTCATTAGCATCGATATCTTTATTATGTTCTGTTATAAAATAGTTTGGAGCAGGTTGGGGTAGACTATTGAATAAATATAAACTTCCAGAACAGGTAGATTGACATAGTTTTTGTGTAACTGAATTCTTTTCATCCCTTTCTGACTTCGTATCATTCACAGTTTTTGATTGGTTTGATTTATCACTCCCTTCAAGATTATGATTTAAAGTGATTTTATCATTATTACTATTCCTGCTGCTGTTGTTGTTGCTTGAATGATTAACCACAGCTCCAGCGCTGAAACTTCTTGGACTGCATAAGCGAAATAGGAAAGACGTTAAACAGCATTATTTGATGGAAGGGAATAATTTAGTCTTCAAGATACAGTCATTACTGATGGTAATGTTTACCGAAGACATTCATAATTAATTACACTGTGTTGCATATGAGAAATCTACTGTCAATAAATGTTACATACATTCAGTAAAACGAATTTTCTCATTCTTTTGCGTTCTGAGTGGGACACAGGGTTTCAAGCCTGAGATGTGAAGTTTTAGAAGTGTTGGTGTTGTTTCAACGAGGTGTGGTCGCTAGTCTCAAGCCCAACCTTCTTCCTTTGCCGAATTTACTGAGTGCTAATCAAGATTTAGGAATCCATCAGTCAGGGATCGAACCCAGACCACACGTGTGGTTGATGAGCACTATACCAACCGACCGCCGACATACACAACAAATTACACAACTAAAATTATCTTTGATTTTCTAGGGTTCTCTATATGATTTCTACGCGTGAAGAAAATTACTTCATAGATTATTTCCATCAAAAGGAATATAACGCATTTGATGCAAACTACTTATTTTATTTAAGTAGCCAAAATTTCTATAAGTATAAAACTTGGGCACTGTGGTAGAGCATAACACCATTATGGATAAGATTTTATTTTGATAAATCACAGTGTTGTACAGTAATATTAACTAATTTCTATAAATATATATATATATATATATTTCTATATGAATTTTCATAGAACTGTTGGGTGGATATCACTTCCTTCAAGGTCGCACACATGCCCCCAACCGAGGAGTACTAGTAATTATGAAAGCTGTGTTCATAGCTTCCTGTCGAATTCCTCAACCACTCAACATCGAGAATAAGGGAAAATAGTTTAGGTGTAAGTTTCCTCATGCTAAGAATTCAAAAGTGTTCAGTTTCACCAAGAGAAACAAAACGTACAATCCATTTCAGCTTCAATTGTACTGAAAGTGGAAATCGAGATAAGTGTTTAGTAATAGAAGTGAAAGTGAAATTAAAATCAGCAAGCTGGATTATAATCAATGGTGATACTCAGTCATCTGTGAGACTTCATTATCGGAGCATGAGTGAAACTCTTAGTTTGAGCAAATAGGCAATATGTTTGATAGATTTTCCGGTGAAACAACTACAACACAGAACAATGATTACTGAAGCATAAGATGATGTCAGTGGTTCAGGGATAGAATTCCCGTCAGGGACGCAAGTGGTCCGGGATCGATTTCCGGCCAAGACACTCCCAAACCGACAGTGATTCTGGAAATGAGGAAAGTTTGGACATAAGGCTAGCAACCCCACCCCTTAAAATAACACCTCTGCTACTGAAACCTCAAAGCTTAAAGTTTGAATCTCTATGTTCCATTCGGAAAGCAGGGGGATAAAAGAAAGAAAAGAGATCGAAATTAAGGTAAAAGAATGACTAGAACAGTCAAATGGAGTCTAATTTCACATAATATCTAACGTGTAATGTTTGTTTGTTAGATGGAAAGACAGATTGATCACTTGATCATCCTTCATTGAATCGTCATCTAATGTATACAGTATAAATGGCACAATACCTACTCTAAAGATATCCAAAAAGCTGAATATCCATGCAACCAGGAAAGACGAAGCAACAGCCATTGGACAATAAACACGAAATTTTGAATGTCGTGTGACCAGATTGTGCGAGCAAACTCCACTTTTTGTTTTCAAATAAACGCATGAAATATGACGATTAGGATTACTTTCACTCTACTGGTAAACAGTCCAAATTAGACACCTGATGACAGTATTGGTAATCAGTGGATCTTTTCCAACGTGATCAGTTTTCTAAAACAGGTATCACTTTGGATGACATTAAATAACACAACGATAACTACTAATACTGCACTTTAAATAATTAACTAAAACATTTTTATAGATCTGAAAGATGGTAAGTCCATTCATGTTCACATTTCTGCTCAGAAGAAGTTTAAAAAGTCTAAAACTGTAACTGATTAAGTTAGGTGAATTAGTTAGAATGGTGCCTGAAAGACACACCTACTTTTTTAGTTGTCTCAATTAAATAGGCAGGAATGATTCCAATATGTGAAAGGATTAAGAAAACATGGTAAAGAGCTGGCTGCAGATTGAAAAACTGAAGTATGCTGAAAACAAACACGAGCATTCTAAGATAATGCGTAATTGCTCATCCAATATACATTAAGCTTAATCTAGTTGCATAACAGAAAAATTGTCAAGTTATAATTTATCAGTGTTTTTTTCAAGGTAATATGTAATGACATGTGACAAATTTGAATATTTTTGTTTTACTAAGTTCATAATATTTAAAGATTTTAGTGGAACATCTAAGTAGACAAATCATTCCAAACCATGAGAGTTCTAGCTAGTCAATTAGACGAAATGATGATGCATAGAATGAAATTTCACTTTGCGAATTACACAGTTCAAATGTGAAAGTCCACCACACTTGTCTACGCAAACCCAAAGCATTTGAACCAAAATATGTAATCAAGAAGAACTGTAAAGTCTTTCTATAAATTGTCAGATTTCTTAAAATCGAATCACAGAAAAATCAGCCACATAAGTTGAAAGGTGAATTATCTAGATAGCCATTGAACTGTTGATTTCACGTGTGATAAAGGGCATATTCAGCTTCATAGTACTACTTAAATTACTGAGAAATATAGTAGATAAGTGTTGGAAACGAGACTCATCAAAATATGATGGCTCTCAACCAATGTTGCATTTTAAGTCGTTTTTAATCTAGGCTTTCCCAGCTCATTATTCTGAATTTGATATCTTATATTTTTCGCAAACATTATCATACTACTTAAAAGCAAAAGAGTAAGAGAAGAAATTTCCATCAATAAACCGGCATTTGCGGCTGGATGCCGACCATCAATTTAATGCTTATTTTTGTTCCGAAAATTCACCGTTGTTACTTAATTCTTTATGCGTAAATCTATTAGGAAGATCTAAATGAAAGATGTATTATTCGTTTGTGTGTCTTGCTTTAATTTTAACAATGGGAACATTTAACATTTCAAATCTACTCACTCTTTAGTAATGTTTGATCTAATAAATGTCTTCTTGGTTGTAGTTGAGCTTTGTTCATTAATGCATACCTTGTTAACTTGTAGGAATATTCGTTGCTTTCCGGAATTTTGTTTATCTGAAGTATTTCTTTGAACTTCTGATGAAGAAGTATTGGAGGAATTTAATCCAGAATTCTGCTTGTCAACGGTGTTCACTTCTGATATCTGAAGTAGTCAGAAATTATAAATGAATTGGTTGCATCTAAAAGACGAGTTACTTAATAATACTTCACTAACTTATTTCGTGGAAAGTGATCAGTAATGGAATCCAGGAAGCGCATTCCGCCCTACTGCAGATTCATCAGCCGGAATAAAAGCAATGGAAACAACTGTTTTTACTTAATCTTGAACCTTCATTGAGGGTTTTTAACTATCCTAAACAATTTGCCACTTTTATATTACATTATACTATTGTCTCTAATTCAGACAGAGGTGCTAAATACATTCGGTGTGCCTTCCTAGAGTATACATCCGTCTTTGACTCTGTACCTCGGCCTCTTTTGTTAAACAAGCTTGATGAGACACAAGCAGTGTGCTGGGCTAATAATTGGTTGAATTCTTACTTTTCTTATAGGTAGTAGTATACTATTTACAATGTGAAGTCCCTCACTGCTTCACTTACTTTAGCTGGTGTTCCTCAAGGAGCTGTTCATTCACCCTTACTGTGTTCTTTCTACTTACATGACTTGCTCCATTCTGACGAAGCCGACTTTGTTAAGTATGCTGATGATTTAACTGTTTCTATGCCCGTTACTTCTTGGTCAGATTGTTCCAAATGTTCTAAATTAGTCAGTTGTCCTCGCCAAATGGTGGTTGATTTCACTTTCAGATGCAGAAGCGACTTACATGAACTGGTTAGTTCGCACGGTTCCACTATCATGGATGACACTGAAGTTGAAGCCAAATTGAATGTTAAATGCTTTAGGCTATGTATTTTCTCTGATCTTTTCTGCTCTTCTCACATGATGAGAGTTTCTGGAGGAATATTTCGTTTGACGTTCTATGTAAAGAAATTAAGACAACCTGGTATCATTCAGTCCTTACTTTCTACGTTGGTTAATTTTTGTATTCTACTTATCCTTTTTTATTGCTACCCCCTTCCAAATAAATCTTTCTTGGGCTACTTAAGAAAGACTCTTTTTCACTGAGAATAGCACTAAACGCTGTCAGCAAGGAGAGTGGGATGTCGCTAAACCAACTTATTAATATTATTCTGGATAGATTCATCAATTCATACAAGAAATTATCGAATATTATTTTATCGAACTCCTCTATACATCCTCTCTAAACACAACTCTCTCCTTGCATCTCATCGGGAAGAACTAGAAGAAACTGTAGAAGACTATATGGTCGGATGACTAACTGTAAAAGCTCTACAATACCTCATTTGGCACATATTTTATGTGATGAGGAAAGTGTAAGGCAGGGTACTACCAACTTACTGTGAAATACCAAGTACACACCCGTCTTTTCACTCTTTTTTCATCATGATACTGGTTTTTAATATTTTACTGAATTTAATTTTCTATCCATATTCTTATTCAACAATATTACCAATTTAAATGTTCTGTTTTAATTATTACTCTTGTCATTCTGAAATTTCCATATTTGTACCAAAAATACTGTTCGGAATAAAGCTATTATTATTACTATTATTATCGAAGTCAGCGAGTCTGCTATATGCTTCAGAGACTTGATGCGTCATGAATAGGTTTCAGACCTTTATGAGCAGCTGACTTTGCTGGCTCCATATTAAAGATCAAATGGCCAGAAAGAATAAACAACAAGGAACTCTGGAAACGAACCAAACCAAGAACCTATCGCCCAACAAATTTGCAGAAGGAAATGGAGACGGATTGGATACCCTTCTCCAGGCCCTACAAAGGTATTCGAATGCAAAATGATGGATCGGTCTCAGGTTAATATGAAGGAGATCGTGTGGTAAGGAGATGAGAGCCTATGGACGACCGTGGAGCCAGCTAAAATCGACTTCAGAGAACAGGGTGAAATGAAGATGTGCTAATAAAGCCCTATGTTCTACGGGGAGTCCTGAGGAATAGTAATAATATGCTTTAGTTAACTAATTAAGTACAGCCATTATCACTGACAAAAGATTTTAAAGGCTCTTCTACATAGTACACATACCGTAAACAAGAATCCGTTGTTTATTTATCAGTCGTAGTATGTAAGAGATAAGTGGTTATTCGCGAAATTGTTGCTCAGTGGTTTGAGGAGTCAGATTTCAACCACTGCGTTAGGTGATAACGCCCAGCTTTCATATAATCATTTCTGTGAATTGCCAAGTGTATATGAATGTGAATTTATAGCAAGTTACTTTAATACCTAAAAATTATTTCAGAGTTATTATATATACACTTGAAACCAATCAAATCCCTAAAAACTAACTCTTGAAAATTTAAAATCGTGTTTATTTGGATTGAGAGAGAATTTATTTTGATAAAACTAACCTTTTCAGGATTCTTTGAACTATTAGTAGACTGAAAATTAATCAACTCTGTTTGTTTCCACTCATTTAGACGAATTTTCGGAACGTCTAAAACCTTATTAGTAATAAAACCAAATATAAGTATAAAGAAGATAAGGTATTACTAGAAAAATTGATATTTTTCAGCCTACAAAAAATCATCGCTTTTCCATACACTCCAAAACAACTGGAATTTTTATGGTGAACTATGGAGCTTTTAAAGTTTGACGTACTGTAGATAATAGATACATGGACTGATTATCAAGTGCAGTAAGTTGGATGTACTTGATAACACTCGACAAGTCAATTAACTTAATGACCAAACTGTAGACTTGGTGAAAACGGTTTCGTCCTTTGATCAAACTCGAGTGAATTACGTTGAGTGCTTGTTGCTCAGTAATTAGGCACTGGGTAACTAGACTTGATAAGGTATTCTTCCATTATAACTAGACATCGGTTTTGGTCACTCTAAGATGAACAACTTTATAAGTTCTTCCGTTTTATAGCATTATTTAGTGTAGCGAGTTTATTTGTCTCCATTCTATTAAAATGAGTAAGTAGGAAGGTAATAGTCTGAATGAAATAGTTTCATACTAACTTGTTTATTAGATATATCACAATAGTGAAACAGCATCATATACTGGATATATCTAATAAACAAGTTAATATAGAATTACATACTACCACAGTGCCCAAGTTTTACATCTATGTTAAAAGAGTAAAACAGATTTATTAGCTTACCAGATACTTCACTGTCAACAGTTTTTCAACAAAAATAAACTTTAATATTCCCAAAAATTTGTAAATAGTATTGTAGAAGACTGTGGACGAAAAAAGACATTGCTTGATATCAGCTGGTAATCGGTGAGAATCCCATTATCAATTATCTACCACCTGATTGCATTTGGATATATACTTGATTTCGACTAGGTTTTGAAGTCAGTTTTTATCTCATTAAACACTGAATGGTCTTGTAGCAGACCAGAATAACTCACTAGGCTAGAGCTACCTTTTCTATCCTGAATATCATCTGCTGTCTATCAAAGTGGTTGTTGATGCGCGTCCACTTAAAGATGAGAAAGAACCTGTTCATCACAAGAACAGATCAAATATAATCAGTAGAGTCTAAATGTTGTCATATAGAAGAGGAATGTAGAAAATATTACATAATCATAAGTACCTATAGTTATCGTCAGTGACACACAAAAGATAACTTATTGAGTGAACATTTGGGAAGTGAATTGAAGATAATTAAAGTTATTAACAACACGAAATAGTGATGCATACCAAAATCAGATTGATTTATTGAAAGCCAATTTGAAGAATTGGTTATATATGCATCTTTTAGACACGTATACTAAAATGCCTTCTACACAGTCAAGTAGTTTACATTATAAGCAGATTAAAAGTTTATGCAGTCGAATGCCATAAAATGGTCTATTAGTCAGCTTAAGTCTTGAGATTTTTAATAAACATGCAACGGAAACCTGAGTGTGATTTACTCATAATTATTGATTATGTCCAGTAAACATTTAACTCTAAAGCATGAAAACCAGGAGTAAAAATAAATTGAAAAGTAGTCTTGAACTTTTAATAGCATACTTGATAAATCACTGATGACTTGCTTTCAAAATTTCGTGAGCCTAAATTAGAGATAATAAACAAAGATTTGTAAGTGGACTTCATTTAAATGCATATTGTTTGACAGAATAATTTCGAAAATATGGCTACCTAACTAAACGTCAAACATATAAAATATTGATATATTTTGGAATTGTATAAACTTAATAAGTTTAGTGTGAAAAACATTTTTATCAATGAGATAAACATCAAGGTAATACTAGGATATACATGGTCATAATATCATTCGAAACCTGTAATTAGAAAGCTAGTAATACCTCAATTTCAAGTTATTATCGATAATTTGTTGCCTAAAAACAGACGGTTTGGACTGGAAATGAAATAAGAGAACCTATGGATAAAAAACTAAAGTATCTTAACTCACAGAAAGAGATCGAACAAAATAATGTCAATGAAAATACATAGTCTTTCACCAAGCAAAAATTCAAATTTAAGGTTTGTTTGTTCTTGTTATATGACTTATGATATCGTCAAGACAAAGTTAAAGAACATTCTACATCACATACACCACGTCAAATTCCTATCGAATATCACCATGTGCGTAGATACGATATTAAAACCCTGTTAACTGACAACGTTTATCCAGTGAGTAGATTATATTTAAAAGACATGTCATTCACTAATCTTTTCATCTGGCATTTTTACATTTTTCATTATTTCTCATGCCAATGACTGACGCTTAATCGTAACAAACTATAACTTTACATGAGGATTCCTCCATATGCGACAACTTCCTGGTTATCCTTTCAAGAAAAGCAAACCAAAAATTGTGCGCAACTGACAAGATACCAGTGAAATCAAATGGATTAATTTTCCCCTCCAGTATGAGTATCTATGGCTTCGCTCTATTCCAGAAGGAGAATATGCATCCGAAACTATTAGATTACTTCACTTGCAAGTGTGTTCAAGCAATTTAAGAGAATAAAACCACTTTTAACAATGAATAAAGTGTGCTGCTAATCCTTTTAAGGTGAACCTTTGATAACCAAAAAATTATCAAGCAGTCCCTGATAGTTGTTAGTGATCTGCTGAAGACTTACCTGATAATCTAATATTCTTTTGAAGGAAGGGATACATTTTTCTAAAGTATCTTTGTAAGTAAGCGTAAAAGTGATAAGGGAGAAAGCAAGAACAGCGTTTACTAAACTTGCTAACCAAATAGTCATACTGAAAATATTTCCAACTCAAAATAACTACAGCACTCACCAATATTATTATTTTTAATCGAAATCCTGTGCTCTTAACTTTTTCCTTAAATTTCTAGCGGTTGCTCGCTTTTATAACAGGTTTGAATTAACACACTACATATGTTTAACATTCTCATGTGGTGTGAGAGTTGAAGTCCCGCTAACCAGAAGATTCTACGTAATTTTATTAATTGTCTCAGATAAATTCATGTCTCTCACCATGCAAACTAAATAAAACCCAGCTTAACAAACTTCTTAAATTTTATTAGTCACTTTTCTCCAAGAGCTCATGGAGGAAAGTGATGTAAGATTACTAGTAATCTTACATATTGTATAACCCTGTGGCATGAAGTATACTTTTTTCATATAGGCAGTACAAAATAACTTACTATCAAAAGAAGCGGAATCAGTGATAGTACATGAAGTAACTGCGAGTTGTGACAAAAAACAGAATGGATAAACAGTGATACTCTGCAGCTTCTTCAGACTTGTGCCAATTTTCAAGTCATGAATGAAAGAGAACAAGTCAACCGTAAGGTTTAACCACTGAAACGTAACTGAATTCAGAAATTTACATTTGACAAACCATTGATCTCAAAACCGAAGAAAGAGGAACCATCACACAAAATCTCTTGATGGATAATGAATCATATTTCGTGGAGAAGCTTATTACAAATGGCTTTCTGTCATCCGTTGAGAACCTAGATTCAAGAAGGCGGTCATACATAAAACAAAGTTTACTTAAGATCGAACATGAAGTCTTGTTCATTAGATAGAAATATACGAAAAATCATGAATCTGTACAACGTCCGAGCTAAAAACATGAATATTATCAAACAGCACATACAACACATTTTGTCGTACATGAATTCGAGATGTGTAGGCTGGAAGGATGTTGATAACTTCACTACTTGAGTGCATAAAATACTAGACTTCACCTACTGAAATTACCACAAAATATCAAACACAAACCAAAGATATGTTAGACGCTCCAGAAATGTGACATCGAAAAAATGGGTTTACTGCGTTTGCTTCGAATAAAATGCGTTTTTGCATTACTGACGCCAGCTCAAAATGTCATCGACCTTGAAGGTCATTTGTAATCAATGTGAGACTTAGTTAAAATGCTTCAAAGGTCCTTTAACGCAAATAAGGGATAACAGGATCTAGTTTTGTACGTTTGTAGCACTGCAGAGTTATTTTTCATGGAGTGATGGTCAGCGTTTTCTGCAAAAGTGGTTTTCAAGAAGGTGACAGTCTTGTATATAAACCTCCCTTTCCCCTCTACCAAATATACACATATAGCTTTCCTCCAAAAGTGCTTTGAGAAATGACCACCACAATTGCGATTAATAATATGTGTAATAAGTGTGAATGACTTAAGGAAAGAAAGGAAAAACAATAATTAATTGGTGAAATAATCTTAATATATGTGCGCCGGTGGCACACAGGTAGAATGCTCGCCAACCACGCATGTGGTCCTGAGTTCGACCCCTGGTGGCGCACTCCTTTACCTCGCCAAGTCGGTATGAATACTGGCAAAGAAGGAGGGTTGTGCAGGAGGTAAAAATAAACACCACTGCTGCGGAAACTTCAAGCCTCTTTCTTAAAGCCCTATTTTCTTTCGGGAAGGTAAAGAAACAAAGAATTCGCAGTATATGACAGGTGAGTGTGCCAGAGATAATATAGTTGGAGAAGCGTGTGGGACAATCCACATGTGAAGATATATCGAAGGTTGTTGTTTGCAACTTTCTATGAGGAACTTGCATCTTGGTCTCGCTGACGGTAATTCGAATACAGGTCCTCTGTTTCTATATGATATGCAAACCGCCATTTCAAAATTTCCATGGACGCCGTTTCCGCAAGGGCAGTAATTCATCTAAGGGGCTGTGTTGTGAGGGATACACTGTCAGGAGGCTGCTCAAGTCCTGACCCGCAATTATTTATTCTCCATAGGTTTCCTTATTATATTATCTTTACTAAATATGCTTACTAATCGTACGTGTAATTTATCGAATTGATGATGCCTGTAAACTGGCGTCCCTCATGTACAAAAATGAGAATATATTATTATTATTATAAGCGGCCAACCCCATAACATGATTAATGTTTTAGGGGATTTTGGCAATCAAGTATACCTGTTAACTAGCTGAGCATGAAGATACCAAGTCTCAGCGATTTTCTGTATACTTAATACATCTAAGGCCTACTACTCCCTTTTGCTATTCTGTAAACCATTTAATAGGGGTTAGTGTGTCTCGTGAAGAGCTATGATGCGATGGAATTGTGGCTTCAGGGGGATCGACACATTGGTTTTACTGAATCATACCATGATTTATTGCGTAGATGTATGCAGTTGTGTGATCTCACAATGTGACAAAGCAATCTCTCAACCTACTTCTTCCACATGGTTTGTACACTAATTCGTTTCCCCATTCGTATGATTCATGTTCCGGTTCTACCGATGGAAGGCTAGAGTCACAGAAACAGAGAGTTACCTACGGGTATTTCGACCACTCTGCACTTTCACGGGTTGAAAATCATCCCTAAGCCTTACTTCACCAACTAAGATTTTTACTTCTGTCTGTAACTGGTTCTGGTTCTCATTGCTTCTTTGGTCCCACAAGGTTAGCTTTGTGGTGATGCAAACGATTTGGGCTTAGAATATAGTCATTTACGTGACTTGAGCATGAGCCTATCTGAATGAGTGTCTACTTAATCGTTTGCTCTAATCCCTGTTGGAGAAAAGATGAGCTCAAATTCCTTTCAGCTGTATAAGAAACTGGCTCCCAATACTGTAACCTACCGAAAAGGAGGGATTTAAAAAATTTCTGTTTATTCCGACTGAACCATTGTTGAATGTTCGCCATAACTACTCCATGTAGACACTGTCTACTTTGGGATACGAAAGCCTATTCATACACCTATTTTGACTATTGGCGCATGAATGAAATTTAAACAGCATCTTCGGTATCTTATTGCTTCATAATGAAGGCGATGCTCCTATGTACATTCTTGAATGCCCCCGATACACCTGAAGGTAACTCAGATAATTTCATACAATCAGTGTATCACCTACGCATCTATAGCTGACTGTTATTTCATTAATTTCACACTTGGGCTTTGTTTTAGACTGTCAATAAAATCTTATGCTAATATACAGCCTAATAGGCTCCCCATCGCCACTGCATCACTCAGGCGATTAATATTATCGTCCATCTGGAATTGTATATCCCTGATACACAAAATAAGCAACGGGCTTAATTCCAGGTTTAGCAGCGGAAGAAGATCAGAGCGTTAACAGGTGATGTCTGACGTCTGGTAGAGTGGGACGTGACTTTCGTGGATAAATATGCTGTTACGTACTGGTCGAGAATTTAAATGTCCTGACGCAAGAAAGACGGAAATCAGAAAACCACTAGGTTTGCGATGATACTTCTATATTCCAAACACCAGGAGAATCAAAATGTCACACAAGAGTGTGAGAGCAAAATATATATGAATGTCCGAACAAGTGTGTGAACACAAGTGTGTGAGCGAATATCCAAAATGAACAAATCAATAGACAGTCTTAACATGATTGGCCAATTATAATGGAATATCGATCCATATATACATAGCAAAATATATCAGACTGTCAAACAAACACACCTATTATATGGATGCATATCACCAAGAACAGACTGTCAAACAAAACACATATTATATGGATATATATCACCTCCCCTTTCGAGAAAATTAATGATAAGTAGCGTGTTTTCCTGAAGGTTTATCTGGAACCGTTGGACCTGTTGTTGACGTCTGTCGTTTCGTCTGCCCGTTGGATTTGCGACTTCGGCTTCGTCCGGAATTGTCTGACATTTTATGTTTCTTGGCTGCATTGCATAGAGAATTCAGTGGGACATCAGCCAGATGCAAACGATCGAACCAATCAAGTCCCAAAAGATTTAAATCACTCTTGGTGACGTAGCGGATTCCTCTGAGTTCACCAATTAGTTTGAGCCGCCCACCACAGGCGCTGACAAGAGTCTGGGAGGTACTTCTGGTAGGTGGTTTGCCAATATCATTCCAAAGTTTCTCTGATATAACAGTAATATCAGAGGCGGTATCTAGCTGCAGACGTGTATCATGACCATTCATCTGAAGATCAAGATATTTCCGCATACCTGGTGTTGTGACTTGACAGGTTGCGACTAGACTCAGTGATCTCCTTGGAGATTTAGGATCAACAGTTTGTCGAGCTTTCGCTGTATTTTGATATCTGAGTTTGCGTGGCTGGCAAAATCCATTTTTATGACCAATGATTTTGCACTTGCTGCAACGATGATTTTTGTACGGACAAGACTTTACAAAGTGCCACGCGCCAAAATGCCAGCATGGTGATGGTGGGGTCTTCTTTGTCGTATTTTGTGAAGTTGGACGAGTATCTGTAGATTTCCGCGGAACATTAGGAGAAGTAGGTGGGTCAGGAGTAGCTGATGAGAGATTTTTGCTCTTTCGTAATGCATGAATATCAGAGCTTCTGGAAGGTGTTGATTCGACCATGTGTGTGTCTTTTCGCAAATTAATCAGCCGTTGATATTCATCAGCTATGTCATGTAATGTTAACTTGGGATTTTGTTCTAGCTGATTGAGCAGTCGAGTTCGGATATCTGTGAAACGAGGAGATTGAAGACTGCATATGAGAATCAAGGCTTTGAATTGATCATCTGTTAAGGACGTGAGTCGAAATCTCTCACATTCTCGGTTGACTGTGCCAACGTGAGTAAGAAAATCATCATTTTCATTCATTGTCAGCTTGAGGCAACGATAACGTATGCTGAATAATTAGGAGTGATCTCCAAAATGTTCACGCAGCAGCTTTATTGTATCATCGAAACACTTGTCACGTGGTTTTTGGGGTGAAATTAGGTTGCAGTACCTCTCATATTCTGCGGGACCCAATTTACGTAATAACACTCGCACCTTCCAGGCATCGTCTTGTGAGGCGAGATCAACTGTGAATAGGTCCTCATATCGTTGATACCATGTGTCAAAAGTGACATTCGCATCTGGATCATAATTGAACTGTGAAATACTGTTCACAATGCCGTCGACAGATGGTAGCATGGTATGATTGGGATTGCTTGAAGGTGAAGCTGGACCAGTCTGTTGGTTGACGAACATTTCCATTAATTTCATTTGTTGTTCAAATAGTAATTCCAATTTAGAAGGATCCATAGTTTTCCCCGTCGCCAAATTATTGTTATGGACTGGTCGAGAATTTAAATGTCCTGACGCAAGAAAGACGGAAATCAGAAGACCACTAGGTTTGCGATGATACTTCTGTTAATTCCTTTCGTACCTGTTCATTCTCAATCTTTCCTTTGTTAAACATTATACTACTTGCCATTAGTAAGTAGTATGATTTGTATATGTTAATTTATAACAATGACATTTGCTTACGACTGCAGTTAAATTACTTGTTCTATTATCATTCTATT